GCCCACCTGCTCCTGGTTGCCTTTCCAAAGAACTGCTCTGTGCCCACAACTTGGGGGCCTCTTCATGACTGGATTGCCTGGAGCTTTGCAGCCTTGATAAAAGGCACGCACCCTTCCCAAGATCCATATGGGAATGGCCTGCCACCTTCACTGGCAGAGCTGGCTGGCCTGCCCTTGACACCAGGCAACCACAGAGCTTGCATCTACAGCATACAGGGTGACCAAGAATTCTTCTCAAACATCTTGAAGATGCCACACTGGCAAAACAAATTCCCCTGTGCAGAATGCGATGCCCAAAAGCCTGCATTCAAGGGCATTAAGTGTCCTGATGGGAAGAGTGTCAAGCTTCTCAGGCAAGCTGATCAAAAGTTTGTATATGTCTCCCCTGAGCAAGCCCTCCTTGTTAAAAGGAGTGCCCATCCACTTTTTCAGGTGCCAGGCATCAGCGCAGCCATGGTGCGAGGAGACTCCCTCCACATCCTGTACTCCAGAGGAGTTGCTTCACACCTTGCAGGCTCTTTGATCCATTACTTGTGCTACTTTGATGGTGTGAAAGCAAGGCAGGCAGTGCCACCCAGCCAAAGGCTCCAAAAGCTGTTTGGCAGAATTAAGGAGCTCTATGTCCAAAATCAGGTCTCCTCCAGGTTGACCAACCTTCGCCTCTCCATGACTTGCCCTGATGCTGCCAAGCCTCACAAAAGCTTTGCGTGCCTTGAGGCAAAGGCTGCTGAGACTAAGCACCTGCTGCCCTGTCTGTTGCAGGTGTTGCGAGAAGCTCTGCCAGAAGATGACCCCATTCATCAAGCCATGCTGGCCTGCCTAGAAGCATTGATTCAGATTGCTGATCTGTATGATGCAATTGGGCTTTTTCCTACTTCTGAGGAGTTCTTGCAAGCCGCCAACCTTGCCAAAAGGTTCTTCAGCAACTACCATGATCTGAACCAGTGGGCCTTGCTAAAAGGCAGAAAGCTCTTTCACATCACTCACAAATTCCATTCCTTTCATCATCTCATCCTGAATTCAAAATATTTGAATTATAGAATCCATTCCAATTACAGGGCAGAGCACTTTGTGGGCAGAATGAGTGTGTTGACACATTCCACTGCCTTTGGGGTAAAATCCTCCAAGCTCAGCTCCAAGCTTGCAGTGAAATATAAATTTCTTCTTCACCTGCAACTCAGCAGGCCAGGTTTTGGCCAAGAGGGACAAGCCAGCTGACTATTGACTGCACAAGCTTCTGCTATAGAGGGTGCCCTTGCTAAAAGGGTGGCAGGCTGCTCTCCTTGTCCTGCTGCTGCAGGAAATGCCCTTGCTAAAAGGGTGGCAGGCCCCCATCCCTTTCCTGCTGCTACAGGAATGCCCTTGCTGAAAGGGTGACAAGAAAGCACCTTCTCCTGCTTCTGTAGGCATGCCCTTGCTGAAAGGGGGACAAGCTCCTACACTGCCATTGTGGAAAAAAGGGGTGTGCCGCATTGCAAACCTTATTGATATTTGCTTTTGATTTACCATGTAAAAATGAGGACACGTTTAATTGATTTGTTTCGCAATCTTGCTTTTGATTTTGGTCGCCTAGAACCACATGTTTCTTATTGAAAAAAAGGGCATATCAATAGAACAAGAAACCTATTGATTTAAATCAATAGCCGATGCCCAGGGTACAACAGCTGTGCAAACGGTTGGCCGCCCTCATCGACGAGGTGCGTACCGACTACCCAGCAGCCACCATCATTCCGATGATTTACTGGAATGGCAACGAGCTCGTTGGGAAGGACGGCCTCGAGCCCACTGGTACATATCCTTACGACACCCCCATCGGAGACGCCGAGCAACTTCTCGCTGACACCAGACGGCACCTGGCTTGGACCAGGGATTTCGCGGCCCGCAAGGGCTGCGCATGCCTTGGAGTCATGACCGGCGCGAAGAGCTACCTCTACGGCTTCTCTATGATTTGGGACCGTTTCATGACGGAAGTCCGGGATTACATCATCGGCGACCCCAACAATATGTTTGTATATGTTGATGCTACACCCTTCGTCGAGACCATCGATTTGCTGGACAGGTATCATATGTGCTTCAGTGACGACAATATCACGAAGACCGTCCAGTTTATGCGCGGAACCCATCATATGTTGTACATGCTTTCCATCTTGCGCCCCGCAATGGGCAGCGTAGCCGAGCTGACACGTTCGCATGATTGCACAATGCGTCCGATCGATGTGCTCGAGGTGCGCCACCAAGAGGATTGCACAGTCAACGTTGAGGTTCTCGCGTACTGCAAGGAAACGCTAACGAAGTGCGGCGTTTCATTGTCAGAGATGATCGGGCTCCCTTTCACCCGTGAAGAAGTGGAGTTCCGGCAGCCCCTCGATTTCGCCCCTGTCGATCCAGCCGAATTTGCAACTTCAGGTGAGCCTTCCGGTGCTGATGTTTCCGAAAGTGTTCGCCCGGCGCAAGCCGGTGCAAAGGCGGCTGCGGTGGCACAGAGGGACGAGGCGACGAGCAGGCCGGTACCACTCGACTCCTACGGGAGGAACGTGACTGGGGGCCACTACGATTGCTGGGTTTATAGCATCCATGACGGCGTGAAGTATGTTGACTATGGTGAGGGCCCCAAGCGACTTGAGATCATCAAGCAGCCTTCTTTTGATTACGACCCTTCTGTCAGGAGAATCAGCAATGAGTACCACAGCTCCCTGACGTGCATCTCGAAGATCCTCCGTGGTCGAGGGACAGAAGGATGTGGGTACGTGATGGATGAGGACGGCTACATGGACCTTGAAGATTTGGGACTCGCGCTTCGCAAGGAGCTGCGACATCCCATTCCATGGAATATTCAGAGCATCATGGACATCTTCAAGCTCGACAAAAAGCAGAGGTTCATTGCGCTTGGTTGCCCGGACGCAAGCCGGTGCGGAGATGTCCCCTGTTCTCATTGGATTTTCAAGATCAAGGCCTCCCAAGGCCATGAGGACTGGCTCCAAATTGACGACTCCGGCATCGCGAAGGAGTGGTACGTGAACCCGGGGACGGACCTCGGGCGCTGGTCTGGCTGGAACGTCTGCAGCAACCCTCCTACGGTGCTCTATCATCGCACCGATAAGCGGAACTTCGCCAACATTATGCGAAACGGACTGCTTCCAGGAGGAGGTGACCAGCACGAGACAGGCAGACCTCACGTTTTCTTCGCTGACATTCCGAGCACGAACGAAAATTACATCTCAGGTGTACGCGCTAACAAGCCCTTGGAAATACAGATCGACCTCAGGATGGCCATTCGCGCAGGGCTTTGCTTTTTCAAGACAGAGAGCGATGGCGTCCTCACGCGCGACAAGGTGCCCAACTACACGATTATTTCTGTATTGGACGCTACAAATGGCGATGTATGGTACACTCGCTCCGAGCAATCGGATGCAGGTGCACCAGCTGAGGCGACTGAGGATGAACCCCAGGGGATGAAGCGCGACCAAGCCGTGGTTGATGATCGGTCCACAGCACTGGAGCGCATTGCAACAACCCGCACCAATGTGGCGTCTCCTCGCGCCCCGCAAGGGGAAGCGAAGAGACAGAAGACTTTCAATCCAATGGAGAACGTTGAGCTGAATGTCGCCGCGTGCCCGGTTTGCAACAACAGTGTGTTCGAGGGGCAGGTCCACTGCACATCATGTGGGCAGTTGTCACCCCTCAATCCTCGCCTGTTGAAAGAGCAGCAAAAGAATTACCTTGTGCAGCGTTCCAATTTGCTGAAGAAGATGGGCCTCAGCACCCATGTCACAGCCCAGGTTTTGGCATCCGTGGGAACTTTTGACCTCCGCGAGGAGGATCGGAGTAGCATCCTTCGTGGCCTGAACTCCCCGGACAGTGCTGTCATTCAGGAGGCCCGGAAGAAGCACAAGTCCGCCCTGAAGAACGGCTACCACTCTCTACTTGATCGCTATGAACTCGACCTTCAATACAGGGTTCGTATGCTTGAAGTGGGCCGTCGGGATGCGGATATACTCCGCATGGAGTTGTGTGCAAACCTCGTCTTGGCTGCTCCAAAGCAGTCGCAAGCCCAGCGCACTCTTGGAGTTGGCCTTGGATCAACTTCTGAGTCGCGAATCGCAAGGCTCGCGTACATAAAGACAGAGGTGGAGTTTTTGCCCAGCGAATTGCAGGATGCACTCAGTTCCCGTTGGATCATCATGTTTCAGGGAATGCCATACAGTCCACGGGCTTTTGTGAATGTTGTCTCCGAGCAGGACAAGCCTCGCAGCATTGGATGTTGGAATGGCATCATCCATTTGCGAAGCAATTCCCTCGAGGACCTCCGCCACGAAATGGACTGGATATTCAGCCAGAACGAGCGATATGCCCAAAACTCAGTTGAGTTTTCAAAGAACGAGAGCACCAAGCACCTCGCTCGCAATGCCGCTCGCTATGCCGATCAAAGTGCTCCCGCCGCCCGCGAGGGTGAGCATTGGAGCCAAGGCAGCTGGCAGAACTGGTCCGGTTGGGGAGGATGGAATGACAGCAGCGGATACCAATCTACTTGGCAGTGGCGCTAAAAGCGCAACTGTCATGGTTTGCATGTATACAACGGTTCCCCATGACCTTCTCCCTCTGTTGTGTTTCTGTTTGGCTGCTTTGTGAAAGGCCCCTTTAACACGCAGAGGGGGGTGAAGAATTTGATCGGTCAGTTTGGGGTTTTACATCCGTTGCATCCGCAGTGTGGCTGTTCAAGCGTGAAAATGTGCGAGCAGCGCACTTGGACGGTTTGTTGTTTCCTTTTGGGCCCCAATCCGGTAACCCTTGAATCTATACTTTGTAAGCCACCCGTGCTCTAAATCAGAAACCTCATTAAGATCCGCCCTCCTTCCGAAATGCTCTCTCACAGGGCTGTCTGCACTCTGAGACTTGAGCAGCCTGATGGTTTGACGCGCGCAGCGGGAAGCCACAGAAGGGGTAAACATATATACGTTGCAAAGTATATCCCATTGCGAATGTGAACCTGAACATCTCAGGAGGTGAACGGAGTCCGCGGCAAGTCGGAACTTTTGGAAGAGCATCTTGGGCTGCAGCCGGGCGTCGGGCAAAAATAAGGGACGGTTGGCCCTCCTTTTCGACAGCAAAGATCGCGTGACAAGCCGAATTACGAGCCAGCGCTACGATCCATTTGTTCTTACGGAGGCAGTTTGTTTGGAGGATCCCATACCCCTTGTTGTTCTTCTGAGTAAGATCCAGGCCTGGTAAGGACTTCTTAATTAGCGGAAACCAGCTGGAGGGGGGGTTCGGGGATCGTATCGAGTGACAACCGGTGTGCCGCAAGCCTTGCTTTCTGTCAGTGGTTGCCAGCCAATATATCATTGAAAGCTGACCACCCAAGGCCTCGACTGGATAGCACCCAAATTGGCCAGTCGGGCTGACCAAATGTTATTGAGGGAGGGGATGATTCCACCGGACGGAGGCTTGATATTTGTGTACGGGGCAAAAAGTAAACCACCAGGGGGACTCAGGTTTTAGTCCTTGGTTCCATTTGCCGGGGTTCCATTCTGGGTATACCTATCTTTGACCAGCCGATTAAACTCACTGCCTTTGGCCTGTTGAGTTGGCGCCCTTTCAGTGAGGGTTCGACTGCTTGACACCGTGGAGCGCAAGCTTACCCGTGATTGGCTGTTTGGATTGGTGGGGATTCGAACCCCGGTTTCTCCAAATGGGAAGGTACTTGCCTAACCCTCAGACTCAAGCCATCAACCTTACCAAAGATCAAACCATCACCACCCCCCCTAAAAATAAAGTCATTAACAAGCCACCAAACCAAGCCACCAGCAGAAGGTGCTCATTGGAAATCCACCCGAGGCAGTGCAGAAATTCTGAGGCGCTGAAGCTGGGGGGATGGCCCGGATGTGTTTCTGTGTGTGTGTGAGTGATGCTTTGTGCCAAGGAGAATAGTTATATGGCCATGGCTCAAAAGCCCGGTTACCCTAAGTGAACATCCCAATCCCCACTAAAATAGGTTCTAAAATGGGTGGTGCACCTACCCCAAAATGGTACCATTGCTTTTGACCCACAGCCAGATATCCGCTTGTTTAGTGGCATGCTCTTCTCCGTTTGGTTCGAGATTGCGCTTGTTCTGAGCGGCATTGGGGGGAACTGGCTCAGGTTGGGTCACATCCGGGCGGCATGGGCCATGTTGCAGGGCAGAGAGTGCCACTCACAGCCTTCGCGTGAAGGCAGTGCCCTGAAATGGTGCAATGGATGCAGGCCCCATCTCCAGCCCGCAGAAGTCGCGAAGTTCGCGACTCTTAGAGTCTAGATTGGCATTGGGCCAGGTTTAGGAGCAACAGCCGCCAGTTGACAATGCTTGCCGCAGGTTGGAATTGACGATGCTTGCTGCACGTGAATGTCCCTGTTAGGCCAGCCATGCTATGCTTTGCCCCCCACCCCTACAGGCTGCAATCAGGGCAGCCCAGTTCTGCATTTTGTTGCACACTTGGATGCTCAGAAGTATGGGAACCATCAAGCACAATCAGCTGGCCATCCGTGTAGGTACTTCTTGGCATTTCGGGCAGCGAACTTTTGCTTGCAATTTGCCAGTTTTCATGAATCCGGGCAGGGCAGTCCAAGAATTCATGTGGGGGTTGTCAGTCTCGCCCTCGCCCCCTCCCGGCGTCGTAACTCACTTGATGGCTGGCTGACACCTTTTGCTGGTCAGCAGCTGAAATCAACTTGAACCGAAATGTTTGATCCCGTCAACGCCCATCAAACATGCCTGGGGCTCGGCGTCCCCGCCACAATTCGGCTCACCCGTTTCCGCGGTTTCCGTGGTTGCGTTGATCCGACGGAAGGTGCTCTGCCTGACTCTGCAGCGCCCCCTGCAGATGGGCAACTTGTTTTGCCTCAACGAGGATGCCACCGTCAGGGTTCACGCCTACGATTTGCCCCCTGCCGGAAGGTGTGCGTTGAGCAAGCACTGCTTCTTTGTGACCCCTCTTTGGTGACAAGATCTGGCCAGTTGGTGCGGATGACCTAATTAGTCCTCACCAGTTAAAAGGAATCAAGCATGGAAAAAGTCCCACGTCCATGGCCCGAATTGACACAAAGGCCCAGTCACAGGGTCGCCTTTCGGCGACCGAACCCTTCAGGATGCCTTCCGCTTGCCGAAATGCCTATCCCAAGAGTCTGCACTTTCGAAGGGGCCGGGTTTACTATGAGGCTTGGCCCCCTTCTCCGGGTCATTCCAAAGCAGGTTGCACATGGGCAGAATTGAGCGCAGCCAACCGGCTATCTTACCCATATATCCTGCCCCCTTTCAGATCAAGCAGGATGGCCTGCAAGGCGAGAGCATGTTGAAACACAGCCTCGCATCGCACCTGGCAGACTTTTAGAGGCAGCCTGCGAGCTATGGGCTTGTGGTGGCAGTCCCATGTTGGCTAAGATGACAGATGAGATCTGAACTACACAGGGTTGATCATAAAAACTAAAAGAGGTATACAGTACCAGACACGACTTGCCTTTCTTGCCCGTTTGCCCTTTTGGATCCTTCATGTCCCTTTTCACCAGCAAACAGAAAGCGTTTTGCAGCGGGCCTAAGCCGAAAGGATTCCGGCAAGCCTCAGGTTTGGCCATGACAGAGGCTTCCTTTCCTGCATGGCCAGCGGCTTGGATGCAAGATGCGTGTCAGTATGCTGCGGCCTAAGTTTCTTGGCGTGGCCACAGCACCTGCTTGCCGGAGCTGAGTGGAATCTAAGGGTTGGCTCAACTGCAACACCTAGTTTTGGTTCCATGGCGGGGATGGGGCGAGTGCCCAGTCTGGAGCCAAACCCGTATCACAGGCAAAACGCTGCCCTTGCTCCCCTCACCCAGACCCTGTGGCGACTTCCTGGGGGCACCATGCCGTTCTCATCTTTCTGTGCGGCAAGCCAACATTGGGGCATGAAGGCTCGGGCAACGTCCGAGGATCGCTGAATGCCCACACCACGCGCTACGGGCTATTTCACACGGGCCCGAAACCCAGAGTGTCGCTGGCCGACTGGCCTAAGCCTCGTCACGGCATGCGAGCCAACAGGACCTCGATGGACTTCAAACATTGCTTGCGGACACGGCGGAAGGCTTCTACGTTTTCGCAAGAAGTTGTTATGTTCAGGATAATATGGTCGGGAGTCCAGGGCGTCCTTCGGTTGAGAGGTTGCCGAGGATGCTATATATCATATCGCTCTCTCGCTCTCTCTCTTTGTCTCTCTGTCTCTCTATCTCTCTCTGTCTCTCCTTCTCTCTCTCTCTTTCTCTCATTCTTTCTTCTTCTTTCTTTTTCTCTTTTTCTTTCTCTTGATCTTTCTCTCTTGTTCACCAGGCGTGTCGCACAAGAGCAGGGGTGGGTGTGTATTTCGGAGCGAGGTGCGACGTCAACTAAGCGCTTGTGGCTCAAGTGGTGTTGTTTGTTTGCATTCCTTGCGTGCAGGTCCCTTACTTCAGGTTGATTGATCGATGATTTGCTCACTGACATGCATGGACTTCAGTTTCAAGCTTTCTTGCATCTCAATCACACCATGGCCACCGGTTGACTTCCTTCCGAAAGTAAGTTTTTGCTCTTGACCCCAAGCCCAAGTCCTGAACCCCTCCTTGGGGTCCCTTGGGACTCAGGTGTGGAGGTCTTCGGGTGGGAGTGGTTCTTTGGCGCCAGCCCTGATGGAGACCTGGCATCGTAAGTCGGATTGGCACGCTGATTTCGCGTTAACTCTCTTGGGGCCGTCTCTGCGATCCCTCCTCTTTGATGCTGTTCATCATAGGTTCAATCAAGAAGTCAATTTGGACGAGCTATGGCAACCTCACGAGGAAAGTTGCGACCTCGCCAGCCCAAAAAAATAAGAAGTTCCTTTCTTGGGGGGGGTCCCTTATTTCAGGTGAGGGAATGTGTTAATCTACCCAGATGCATGGGCTCGGAAAAATCCGCTCTACCTCGCCCAGTGTGGCCATTCGAAGCTTTTTAGTGGGACGCCTGAGCGACACATCAGAGCGAATGAGCTCCATCCCTTGCAGACTGGGGATAGAATGCATTTGATGTCCTGCAGAGCTATTTGCGAATAGAGATGTTGGACGTTTCTTCCCGAAATGCGCAAAAGACCGGAAGTCGCTGGCTGTTGGTAGGGCTAGAAATGCCATAACCATCGCTTTGCGGCCTGTACATAAGGATGGTGTCCTTCGAAAGGCTTCTGAACCCGAGGTGCTGTTGTGTGCAGTGACGTTTGTTCAGAACGAATCCTTTACACATGGAAAGCAAGCCAAGCATAGCTGCCCAGCAAGAAGACAGTTGCGGAAGCAGCATTGGTGAACAGCGCCTGGGTCCCTGTTTTTGAGATGGGCCAACCCGTTTTGGGCTGAGGCTCCTTCCACGGAGTGAATTCCATGGAGCCCATGCAGCACCCGGTGCACCGCCACCGAGTTTCAGTGGCTCGGCAAATCCAATGTGAGGTTCTGCGGCTTCGATGGGCGGGAGGCGAAAGCTGGACCATTCGGGGTGTGATTTGCGGCATGCTTCTATGGCAGGATGACAACATCGTTGCGGGTTGTAATGTTGGCAACTGAGAGGCAGTACTTTGTTTTGTTCGAGTTTGGTGCTTCACTTCTCATCCATCCTTTGGATGTGCTCTTAGCAAACAGACAGCTTGCCTTCCAAACTTTTGATGCAGCTTCAGGTATTACATTTGCGATGCGCGCTGGTGAAATAAACGTCGGAGCACTTGCAATCATTGAGCCAGGTGTTAATCTTTAGTGTTTTACAGCCGCCGGTATGTAAGTCCGATTCCCCCAAAACGACTATGGACACAAAAGGGTGATGTTGCCTGTTCCCATTGCCACTTGCAGGGCCTACGCGCCCGAATGCTTTCTGACAAGCGGTGCCCCTGTCTCTGGTTTTCTTGCGAGGCTGTCAGCCTTAGGTGTTCAAGCACTATTTTTGTGCGGGCTCCGAAGATTGCCCATGCTTGCCGACATCCAGCATGGATCGGGTGCGATGCATGGCTCTCTCTCTCTCTCTCTTTGCGAGATTGTCCACTTTGTGCGGGTTGGTCGGGCCAGATCGCGGCAGATGTACTTTTCAATATTTACAAGTGGCTTTCTTGTTGAAGTGAATGTAAAGCAGCATTGTTACCCTGCAAATTATCTTTGACTGCTTGGCATGGTGACGGAACATCAGCCGACCTTGCCGTACGGCCAACATGAAACTGCCATGCAACCTTGGTTTTGCTTGTTCTCCTAGTTGGTGGCGTAGATCTTTTGGGCAACTTGTTTTATTATTACTGCCAGCACTCAAATTTCAATATTGTTCTGGGTGCTGACCTCGGCAGGTCAGTACATTTGAGTGTTTGCTATGCTACGAGTTTCTTGTTCAGTTTTTGTGGAATCCACGTTTGTGTCTCCTGTTATCAGTGTACTGCGTAGCCCTGTTGGTCCTGCGTTAGAGGGAAGCCACCTACTTGTTCGGCGCTCCCCTCAAGAATCTCCACTAGGTCCCCCAGTAGTGCCCTTTTACTTCTTCTTTTTTTTTGGGGGGGGAGGGTTCCACTACTAAAATAAACTACAGGAAAAAAAAGGCACTCATATTCTAATCTCTCTACTCAAGAACCTAGTCCAGCATGGTCCGTGAGTCTCGCAGGTCGCGCTCGGCAAATCCTCCTTGTCCCCCGCGGACTTCGAGGAGCTCATGCCGTTCCTTGGCGCCAGATGTCTCCCACGCCGTCGGGTGGGAGGAACAAAGGAGAGGCTTTTGGACTTGGGGCGTGTCTTTTTTAGGGGACCCCTCAACATCATAGTTTTCCGTGTGGTTTCTTTCCCTCTAAGACCATCAGCAAAGTGGTACCCTAGAAACAAACACCCATATAAAGGCACATCTGAAATCCTAAAGCTATTCAACACTAGTGCACGAGTAGGAGATGGATAGGAGCCATGCTTGATTTGATGTTGTTTGTACTACCAAACATCCGGGCCTTCTAACAATGAGACGTAGCAGCAGCAGCAGCAGCAGCAGCAGCAGCAGCAGCAGCAGCAGCAGCAGCAGCACAGAAGCACAGAAGCAACAACAAAATTCAACAGCAACCAGAACCAACACAAGCAGGAGCAAGACCACCGCATGCACCAACACTGGGATGAGAGGCAGCAGGAACAACAGCAACAAGACCAGCAAGCACAACGACGACGAGGACAAGGATGACCACAAACAGCAAACAAGAAGCAACAAAACAACAAACAATCAATCAATCAAACAAACAAACAAACAAACAAACTAACAAAAACCAACCAACCAACCAACCAGCCAGCCAGCCAATCAAACAAACAAACAAAAACCAACCAACCAGCCAGCCAGCCAAACAAACAAACAAACCAAACAAACAAACAAACAAACACACACACACAACCACACAACCACACACACGCGCACCCACACACACAGACACACAGACACACAGACACACAGACACACAGACGCACACAGACGCACACAGACGCACACAGACGCGCACGCACGCGCACGCACGCGCACGCACGCGCACGCACGCGCACGCACGCGCACGCACGCGCACGCACGCGACACGCACGCGCACGCACGCGCACGCACGCGCACACGCACGCGCACACGCACGCGCACACGCACGCGCACGCACACGCACACGCACGCACACGCACGCACACGCACGCACACACACGCACACACACGCACGCACACACACACACACACACACACACACACACACACACACACGCACACACACACGCACACACACACACACACACACGCACACACACCCACGCACACGCACGCACACACACACACACACACACACCCACCACACACCCACGCACGCACGCACGCACGCACGCACGCACGCACGCACGCACGCACGCACGCACGCACGCACGCACGCACGCACGCACGCACGCACGCACGCACGCACGCACGCACGCACGCACGCACGCACGCACGCACGCACGCACGCACACACACACACACACACACACACACACTCTACACACTCTACACACGCTACACACACTACACAACACACACAACACACGCAACACACACACACGCGCGCAGACACACACACTCGCACACACACACACCGCCGTCGGCGACAAAACGCAACAACAGCAACAGCAAAACCAACAGGAGCAACACAAGCAACAAGAGCAATAACCATAGCAACAACGAACACAATACACACACACATATTCGCTCATGCACCACCTTGGTGCACTGAAAGCAAACTATGAAAGATCTTGACACCACTTTACACTTCCACGGGTTTCCGACTAAAAGCATTGAAATCATCAGTGTTGCTCCAAGGATCGGCTGTTCAGTTCAAAGCGACAGAGTCAGGGCCATTCTGGGGCGCATGCCGTGCAATTCAAGGACATTCCACCTAGAGTGGCGGCTGCTGCTGCTGCCTATGTTTAGGTGAACTCGCCCCAACCAAAAAGACATCAATCCGATTAAGCATATTGACTTGCAGGCCCCCCTTCAACCTCCGCATGGCCCAACACTCCTGGCGCAGCTCGTCTTGCCGAGGCTTATACGTATGAAATGGCCTTCCTGGAGCTACCGAAGTACCTCCAGGCCGGCAACTGCAGGTAGTAAGAAACTGGGTGGGGTACGCAGGTTTTGGTCCATGTTTCCACTTGCCAGGGTTCCATTTTGGCACCGGTTTTTTGAGCCAAAGCCAGCCGCTCAACCAAGACGGGAAGCAATGGCTTGATGAAAGGGGCCCCTTTTGAATGATTTGCGCAGGGCATGAATAGCCAAGATCATGCGGACTTCCGCCACCCCTTCACAACATGCCCTTCCTCAAGCATCTAAAGGACCTTGACCTTAAGCCCACAGCCCAATCAAGGCTCCGAGCCTTGTCAAGCCTCCACCCTGAGGCCTGCCTTCTGTTCCACCCCTTCCATTACCAAGGCCTTTCCATGCCTCCCAAACTCGTCAACAAAACACCCCACATTTAGCCGTCAAAAACTAAGCCGCTCCAAGAATACATCGGAACCTGGCCTTTTTTTTTGGGCCATCAAACCTACTGCAATAATAGTGATGACTGCTGTGAGTCTCGCCATGCTGCTCAGCCACAAGCTTAAGCATGCGCAAGACCGGGCAACCTGGGAATGCCCATTTGAGCGTTCGAAATTCCCTGCATTGACCGAGTTGAGTTGAAACCCAAGCGGTGCCTTGACAGGAACTGCCATAGCTTCTCGGAACCTTGGCCGCAGATGCCGAGATGGGCACATGCAGGTGTCACCTCTCATGTTTAGCCAGAACTTGATTTTTAGGAAGTGTAGAAAGGCATGTTCTGCTGGGAGCCCTGCTGGCACGGGGCATGAGGCTGGGACAAGCTGCAGGGCCGCTGTCATTTTGTAAAGCGAGGCTGTCACATGCGGTGACCGCCTTGAGACACACGTGCGCATTTCCAGTTTGCCGCATTGTACGTTTTGTCCGAGGATTTCTTCTGCAAGATCTTGGGCTTTTCCGCAGCTCCCAAGTTCGGATTGCGTCCTGGCAGCTCTGGAGCCCCAGGAAGTTTGAGAAGGTCGGGTTGGAATTCTATATTCAAGTTTGCAGGAATTACAGTTGGATATATTTCCTTTTGGTGCAACTGGAATGCTGAGCATTGCGGTCTACAACACGTGCAGTACCAGAAGGTTGGTTCGTTCATTGCCTTTGATGTCCTGAGACAAAAGCTTGAGCAAACTGCTTCCAATATGCATGAGACGGACGAAGGCAAGCACAAATGAACTTCAATGTCACGGTCCCAGACATACTTCTTTGCAACAAGGGGCACTCAAGCAATTGCCCGTGGGGAGGAGTCACGCCATACAGACTAGTGAGGTTGGATGCCAAGGTTGGGTTCACAACACGCATGGTTGAGTCAGTCATGTGGGGTCTATTGGCCTCTTGGCTGGGTGTCGCCCTGGGTACTTGCGCCACCGAGCTTGCACTCGTCGATTCGCGAGGTTCGGCTGCGGTGATGAATCCCTCGCGCCAGGCACCGGTTTGGCGGTTTTTGGTTGCTCCGAGTGGTCAAGGGCGGAGCCCCGGTTTCCATGAAATTCCTTGTTGGCATCCGACACACAAACCAAGTATTTGCATTCCAGCCAGTTTGTAAAACTAGGTGTGGCAGGCGGGCGGGCGAGCAGGCAGGCGGGCAGGCGGGTGAAGGGACAGCCAGATGCAGGCATTCCACATAATCTCACGTTGTTTGCGTGGCAAGACGCCCCCATTTGCAGAGCAAGAAGCTGCCGGGCTTTAAACTCGATCACATGTCAATGGGCAGCTGGGTCTTGCTGCCAGGTCGCTCGGTGAAATCTGACTCTCGCACCGTGCAACTCGGAGCATGAACAGTGGGTGATGCATTGCTGCCCCACTGTTTCGTCACTGTGTTCTCATACCCCCCTTCGGCATGCTCAAGTAATTTTCTGCCGCGAGTGAATCAATCGATTGCAAGTTTGGCCTGGTGCGAGCCGCATGCTGATACCTGCTGGGCCTTGTGGAACGTGTCATGTGAGGGCCAAACCCGGGCGACAGGGGTAACAGGGGCCAACTGCCCGCCATGGACTTGTTTGGCTTGGTGTGGGGAATGGTGCTTTGAAAGGGCTACGCAATGTAAGGCATCGAAGAGATTCGGCATCGAAGAGATTCGACGCATGTCTGCCCAACCCAAGATGTGGAACCAGATCGAAGCCGTAATATGGAAGTCGCATGGCGAATGCGGAACTTGCCGAAGGATCATGTGATTCTCAAAGAAGAGGTCAGTGCATGTCCACGTGTCGTTGCTGCGACAAGCTGACCGTCAACAACAACACGGGTGGCAATGGTTCGTGGTGTTTTGGGTTCTTAAATCTTGTTTATTGAACGTGAAACGCCGGAAGTTCAGGTACCTTCCCATAAACGAAGGGTGACCAGGACTGCAGATTTTCGTTCGCCCGGGGCTCATCGGAGTTGCATCGCGAGACAAGTTGCTTTCAGCCACCAACCCATCCCCCAAGTTGCTTTCAGCCAGAGGGCACTGTCCATTTTGCGAGGGGTGCCGCAGATTAGGACTTGACATGTTCAAGGAAGCTTCTTTTCGAGTTGGTTTAGATGGCAGACAACAAGCAATCACAGCAACCACGGTTTTTCGAGCTCTCCCAAGAGAGACCCCATACTGCCCGAGGCGAGGTTGCGGCTGCTGTGTGGTGGTGCGTGGGCAGGAGGCCTCCGGGAGAATGGTGCGGGCGTTCGACTTCCGGCGTTCGCTTTGTCTTGAATACCGTCTTTCTCTGGGCTTGGCTCAACCTGTTGAGTTGGCATACATAGTTGTTGGATTTTGTTGGGTTTGCAGCATGTGTTCAAGGCACGTCAAGGCCCAAGAGACCATGAAGCTCCTTTTGGCCAGTGCAAGCAGGCGAGCTTTCGGTATCGGGCCGTAAAAACTGCTTTCAAATGATCATATGGCTGTGGTTGTCAAAACCAATGGGATCCCATTTTGGGGTAGGTGAATTCACCACCCAAATTTTAGAACCTATTTTAGTGGGGATTGGGATGTTCACTGGGGGTACGATCTGGCTTTTGACCCATGGCCATATCTATTTTGTGTGTTTGCCGCGCTGATGGCGCAATGTATTTGAAGCTTGGGATCATTTGCCAGGATTTTGGTGGTGGCCAGACCTCAGGCTTTGTGAAGGCGAACAGCGACTTAGAACCATCCGGTGGCAAGGAAGTGAACGAGCACTTGACGGGACATTGTCACTTAGTTCGGAAATGCGATTGTCCATGTGCTGCAGTACCTCTGAAACACGCGGAGTGCTAAATCCACCCAAATGTCAATGAGCACGTGCATGCTTGTTCTGATATTGCCAGCCTCTGCTTCGATTGCTTCATTAGGGAGAACCACCGATCCCAAGCAAATAGCACTTTTTCGTGTGTGTGTGTGTATATGTGAGAGCAGTGTGCTTCCTCCATACCGCAGGGGAATTATCAGGCTGTCCGAGTGGGAATTATCACACTGTCCGCGAAAGGGACTCAGAAGTGGACATCTATTTGTTGCGTAAGGGCCTCAGTTCAAGGAATCGCCTGAAGTGAAAAGACCAGCCACGTCAAGGGGGAAACCGCGCACAATTTCGGCAAAGCACGGTTTGTGCCTGCATACGATTTCCTATCCCCCCGCCGTTGTTTGAGCAGCCTGCGGAGGCGAGTCGGACAGTTTCGCTGCTTGGCTGCAGGGGCAGGACTGAGTTCGTGAGTGCTTGCTCGTGCTCTTGAAGTGATTATGTGTTCAAATCATCTCTTTCAGCCTTTCAATTCCCCTTTAATTATTGCCCGTTTGCTTGTCAAGGTCTCCTTTTTGTTGGTCGCAGGTCCTTGAAACCTGTCAACTTCGGTGCTGTCGTATTCCTGGTTGCCATTGGCACGCGGAGAGAACAGTGGAAGACGTCAGCACGCAGCCCCAGTGGTGGCACGGGCCGAATTTAACGCAAAGACCTGTCCCAAATCCCGACCCCGGAAACTAAGAGGGATCAACATCCCTGACTTTGAAACACTTTAGCCTCGCCGTGCCAGCTGTGTCTCTGTGCGTGTGTGTGTTTGTGATGGCCAGCGGCTGGTCCCCTGCACCTTATTTCCTGGGCATTGATTCCTTTGCCAGAAGCCCATGCCTTGGTGCAATGCACGGCGTGTTGTTCCACCACCAAGCATCACCAAGTCAAGCTGAGCTCCGATCGCTTCTTTGAATTCTTGTCTGCTAGGGGCCTGGTTGCCAATGCCTTGACCAGGGTGCAACGATTCAACGTGCGCGCTTTTGTCTTCCCCCGCCACAGACGCCCTAGTTGATGTTGGCTTCGCAGGGGACTTGGGACTGCGGGCAGCTTCCATTTGGGCAGCAAGAGCCCCCCCCTTCGACTTTTGGATGTTCGCCCTCGCCGAGGCAAGATTGTACCCCAAAGGCTCGTTGCGTTGGGGACAGGGCACTGTGCTAGGGATGCCGGTAGTTGGGGGCCGGTAGTTGGCATGGTGTTGAGCGCAGCTTGTGAGGCGTGGGCGGCTTGGCGGGTTTTTTCCGGAAGAACGGTTGCAACAATTGCAATGATGCTTCGCTGAGTTCTTCAAGAATAGGCAAATCTGCCGGTTGACCCTTCGTTTGTTGCCTGCACCAGGCAATGCCACTTTGAACCCGCAAGAATGCAGTTCCGCTTTTGGAACAGCAAGGTATGCTCTAGTCTAGCTTGTGTTTTCATTTGTCTTCTAATGTTCGTGGGCTTTCCACGCTGATGCTATTCACTTCCCCCTATTAATAAAGGTCTCCCTAATAGTAAGCAATTGTTTCAGAAGTCCCAAATCCAGGAATACTACTTTTAGAATAGCCAATGCTAAACCAATTGTAAAGTAGGTATTTTCCTGCCCGTACTCAAATCCGGCCCCCTTAGGGGGACTCGGGAGCACGTTTCCTTTACTACGGTTGTACTACACAGTTGCGACTTTCGAGTCAGAGCTCCGGGAGCACGTTTCCTTTACTACGGCTGTACTACAAAGTTGCGACTTTCGAGCCAGAGCTCTTTGAGTACGTTTCCTTTACTACGGCTGTACTACAAAGTTGCGACTTTCGAGCCAGAACTCCAGGAGTACGTTTCCTTACTACGGCTGCACTACAAAGTTGCGACTTTCGAGCCAGAACTCCGGGAGTACGTTTCCTTTACTACGGTTGTACTACAAAGTTGCGCTCTCTCTCTCTCTCTCTCTCTTATTCTCCCACTCCAAAAAGGTTCCCTTTGTGTGATCCAAAGCCCGCAACCAAAAACAACAAAACGTGACCTCAACTCCCGCTACTTAAGTTCCTTACTCGGAAATGTACGTTTGATGTGATTTTTCAGACCGGAACAGGGGGACCACAGTTGCAGACAAGCTTACACAGAACAAGAGGCACCTTCAAAACCTGACCTCCAGATCCAGGGGACCCCTTCTTATAATAATAATATTTATTGTTTTGCTGGCTTTTTTTTTGGGGGGGGGGCATCGTTTATTTTTCGGGGGAAGGGATTAACCAGGACCATGACATGATGCAGGTTCTTTGCGCAACCCATCAACCATGTTTTTACACCACTAAATGGGGGGCCAGCCTGTGGTCGTCCATACTCATGGCAGGTGACCACCCCTTCTGGTTCAAGTGCGATTGTCACTTTCTTTGTGTAGGGACCAGAAGGGGGTCCTCAGCGGATGTTTCAGCTCCGAGCCTTTCTATCCGCTGGCGCTCACGATCAGATACTAATGGGCTTCTGGTTGGTTTAGCTCAAAATTCCGGAAGCCACCCAGGGACTGCTCTCGGGAAGCGCCCTTGAGGTTCCAGTTTAATGGGCTAAGCGAGAGAGAAGTTGAAGGACCTGGCTGCTGCAAGATCACGCGGGCCGGTTTGGGACAGGCTCTGATAATTTTTGGCGGACTGATTCTTTCAAGGCGTCCCTTAAACACCTGACGTGCTACACTGTCCTTGCAGGCAAGCAACCGAGCAGGGATTGGCTCCACAAGCCAACGAGCCGTTTTGCTGCGGCAGGATCGATCGCCCGGTCGAGCCGATCGCCTCCGCCAGGCGGATGAATACGGCGGCAGCCCTGCGGAGCTACGCTTCGGGTCGGCCGACCGCTGAAGGCTGATCGGCCAGCGGAATGGCTCGAGCGCGCAGGCTTCCTCGGGGACCCGTTTCGAAAGCCAGAGCCAGATGTAGTTTCAACGCGGCCTTCACACAAAAAACATCCCAGACAAGTCACGCGTGATTCTGGGTCCCTGGAGTCTCATTCCGCCACTTGAGTTTGAAGCTTGCCAGGTGGAACTTTCCCCGCAATGGGCCAAGCAACGGCATCTCGACCAGGGTTGGGCAAATTGGGCGCATGTTGATTTCCAACTCGCGACAAAACAACGAAAATATGCTTGTTATTTAGCACCCAGCTCTCCAGTCGAGGGAGAGAACTACCTGCACTGTGGCCGTGCTTCGATGACTTGGTTCCTTGACACTGAGGCACCAACCTTCGCAAAAGACACCTAACAAGGCGAACAAGGATGCTTACCGTAAATAGTTTGGAAACAGGTGGTCGGCCCAACCCTGGTTTTTGACTGCTGACTGCTGGCCCGTTGGATGCACTCGTGCCTTGGCCTGCTTCCCGCGGTGCAGGGTAAGGCAAGATAACTTTGCCTACGACCAGAAACCTAAGCAGTACTTCCACACCAGCACCAACCCCAGCAATGACGCAAGGCATCGGCACTTGAATCGTGTTTGCTAGCATCGCCACCAGCAACGCTCCCGAAACATGCATGGCTTATGTACCGACAGTCACAGCATACCGCGAGGGGCACTTTGATAGGGCGCCTCTCGTGAGGACAACACCTTTCGAGGGACGACGCCGTTAGGCGCAACCTCCGGCAGTCTGCGAGATACACCCACCCTACAATCGCCAAGAAATGGAATTGAACCCCCCTAAGTCCCTCCCCCTTAAGTCAGGGGTATTTCAAAAAGCTTTACAAGTCAAGGGTCAGGCTCCTTGCGGCTGGATCTATCCCTAGATCAAGGTTGGAATCTCGCAGCGGCTGCCCTGGAAGGATTCGCTTGTCAATGTTCTTCTGCGGGGCTTTCCAAATGGTGAACTAGCTTCAGGGCAGTTCCATTGCACGAGCCAATTCTCAAGAACATGGAGCGCCCCTGAGCGCAGTGATAGCTTGGTGGCGCGACGAATCGTGCTACCTGTCAAGATGTGGCTATCAGACGCTTTTCGCAGACAAACAGTTGCCGATCGGGCCGAGCCGTGGACAGACGCCGTGAGATTCGAAGAGTTTCGTTTGCTGTCGTGCATCCTTCCTGTTATTCACCGTCCTTTAAAACCAAGGATGGTTTCAGTTGGCCTTTGCTTGCCTTGACCGGCCTTCCTTTGCTGCCATGAACTGCCTTTCCTGACCTGGGGTCCCATGGTGCGAATTGCACCGAAAACAGTGGAACAGCGTCGCTTCTGTAGTCCAGGACCGTCATGGGGTCTCAGAAATGAACAGAGCCAAAGCTACTTCGGGTTACGAGATGTACTACTTGATTTTGTTTCTTGAGGGCGATTGCGCTGTTGCTTGTGCTTTGCTGATGCCTGCGCTAGTGGCTAGGGAGAGCCTATCATCCGTCAGTGAGCAACCCAGCAGGCTCAAGAGCATGGTTGCTGGCCGAGTGTCCGTTACAAGCACCACTGGTTTGCCAACCGGGTTTGCCTTTAAAGCCCCTTTTGATAGAGACGAGGGGTCGCGTTGTAGAGGATTTCTGCACTTGAGGGGGAAAGGCAACCGAATTAAGCCCAGTTAGCAGCTCGCGAGCGCTGCGCTCAGCAGCTCCCAATGGCGCCACAGGAGGGATGCTGGATCTGGCAGGGGCAAGCGGACCCCCACAAGCTCGGCTCGCGGGTACTCCTTTCGACTTGTTACAATTGTTTTTAAGGGAAACCAGAAGCCAACCGCAGGGGGGTTTTCAGTCTGGACGAGGCGTGCTTGGCGAGACAGGGCGAAGAGCGCGCATTTGGGGCTGATGAGATCATTTAGGCGTCGTTACAGAAAGTGCCCTCCACTTGGGGGATCCCGGTAGCCCAGCTTCAGCAGTTGGCATTTTGCATTTGGGGAGTCAAGTTCAAGGCAGGTTGTCTGCATGATGAGCGGCGCTTTAGGGTTGGTTCTACCAGTTTTAGCAATCGTCGTGTTGATTGCTCACTGATGCCGTTATTTGTTGGATGCCAGTCAGGGCAGCCTCTTAACAGTTCTGGCGCTTTTCTTCCCTACAGCCTAGTCGTCGCAGGAGGCTCGCCGCAACTTTGTGCAGACTATTGCTTCAGCCGGGCGGCCATGAAAGAGACACTTCCACGGCCTGGTGTGGGAGGTGTAGGGATACACAGTGAGATCAGTGTACTATCGGTATGTACAAATATGTGCTATATGTGTTCATTCATTACTTGACTCATTTCATTTCACAGGTTTATATTGTGTCTTGTCATGGCTTATTGTGTCAGGCCATTTCATGTTGTTTCATGTCATGTCATGACATTCATTTTGTTTCATTGATTTCATTTCATTCAGCTTATTCCGTTCCATTCAATTTCATTTCATTCAATTCAGCTCATTCCATTCAATTCATTTCTCATTCCGTTCCTTCGTTCGTCCGTGCATAAATTTATTTGGACCCTTTGACTGCTGACCCGTAGCGGCCCGTGGGGTCTTGCTGGCAAGGCCCACAGGCGATTGTCATTTGCATTGGGGGGGCGTTTGTTCGGCAATTTGTGTCGTCGCATTCCGGACCTAAGCGAGCTGAAGTTCAAGATCTCTGCGAAGGAGCTAGGGGCACCAATCTGCCAATGTGATCTGTTGGCAGCGCGTCCAACCTGAGTGAGGTGGAAGATTACAGATTCAATTCCTGCTAGCCCTGAGTCTTGCCGCGTTGGGAAAAAGTTAGAAAATGCTTGTATTGTTATTTGGTGTGGCTTCAGAGTTTTGTTTTTTTTGCGGTCCCCCGATTGTTGCTGAGCTTCATGATGCAGCAACGCAAGCCTGAACCCACATCTTGGAGAAGGAAAGAGACCGCCTCCGGGTGTTGAAGGTAGGTACCAGCTTGCAGCCTTAGCACGCGAATATGAACATGCACTGTCTTGAATCGAATGTGACGATAGGATGGCGGGAACGCCCTCATGAATACACATGTATGGGCTATCATATGGGTTCCTGGGAAAAGGGGGCCTCAAAAGTTTCAAAAGGGCAAAGTTTCAAAAGGGCTTAGCTTCCTTCTTCTTTCCCGAACATCATCCAAAAGTTCGTCCATAGCTTCCGGAACACCAAAGAGCTCGATGTTGTACATACGAACATGCGCACATACCTGCACCACCCAAGGGGACTTTTTTTGCAGGTCCGCAAAATCAGTGCATTTTCGTGAAATCCATACATTTGAGCAAAGCCTGTAATTTTCTTGCGAAATGGAAAACTCACGAGCATTCAATTACATTGGCTACAAGTACCTCTCGTTCAGCTCTGGTCCTGGCACTGGAGCTTGCCATGCTTATGGACCAAGAAGTCAGGTGAATGTGTGCAATTCACCAAGGATAACAGGTGCGGATTTCTCCTAGCAAATGTTCCGCTGATTTCCGTGCGATTTCCGTACATTTCCCGCCGATTTCCGTGCTTTTCCGGTTTCTGCATTGGCTGAGAAAACTGCAAACTTGCAAAGGTGACAAGGGAACCGTCACTCACAGCAAATGGTGACGTGAGGATGAAGCAAAGTTAAGTCCTGAGGGGCCATATAAATTGCAAACTTCACGTATATTCATAGACACACATGCATGTGCAGACCCCTCCTCATTTTGACTCAAACTCCTGGCTGTTGTGACACAAATCGAGGTCGCTGAGAAGCACGGCCTGGAGTTCTCCTCCCACTCCCATGACTGGATCCTGCAGGTGCGTGACAAGGCCTGACCGCGCTTTGCTTTGCCTGTCGAAGACCTGTCGTGACCAGGCCTTTGCAAGCGCCCAGCTCAGCTTTGAAGAGAGGCTCAATCCATGCTCCGGCATAGAAACTGCAAAAACACACCCACACACACACACAAACCGGATTTATCTTTGTCCTTTTTTCGTGCCGGGGTATCCTAAAGGTTTTAGAAGGGCCTTTTTGCTGTGCAAAAAACAAACTGGCCAGGTTTCGGGGAAGCAATGCTCCATCTTCGGCTACACTTTTGATGCCAACCCGGCCAGGAGCCTGACCGAGGGGGGAATGCTGTGCACCTGTTGGTCGTGCAGTGTGTTTTTTGGGGCAACCAACCCACTGCAACAGCCTGGCAGGCAGGCAACTAAGCACGGTCTTGGCTGCTAGGATCTTTAACCTTTAACATTTGTGATCTCATCTGCTCCCCACTAACCAGCTTCTCATTGACGCAAAGCAGGCAAGGTGGACACGCGGTCTTTTCCTTTTCGCTTGGAAGCTGGGCTTTTGCCCCAGCTTTGGGTGTCAAGTACGAACAGCAACTTTTGATCTCCAGGCGAAGTGACTCCAGAACATTCCAAATTTGTGGTGCAAGTGATGCTGCAAGATGGATAGGAGTTGGCCAGGAAGAATTGAGCTGTTCGAACAGGAGAGTTGAAACTCGACCCAGGCCGCAGCAGTTGAGATTTGCCAGCAGCTGAGATCGCCGCGTTGACGGCTTGCCAGCTGCAATTGGGGTGGTTGGATGCTGGAGCGGTGTTTGGATTGAATTCACAGCCAGCTTTATTTTGCAGTTACTGGTTGTAAGCTTTTGAGCAAGCGAGGGAGCAACTGGCGATTCCAAACAGAAAGACACCCCGGTTCCATCCAGCTCCGTTCTTTATCGAATTCAAGTATGTTGCACTTATATATTTCTGGGCTGGTTGTTTTTCTTGGATTCACGCCCTGAGCCGAACACACGGCCGGCTCGCGGGCCTGGCGTATGGTGTGTTGTTTGGGTCCCCGAGCCCTCGGAGACAATTCGAGAAACAGAAGGCCAGGCCCTCGAGCGAGCCCTCCGGCTCGATTTCAGAGGCTGAGAAATGTTGACTCCCGCTGGAAATCGAGTCGGACAAGTTTTCTGATATCCCTCGATTGATTTCCCATGTGCAGCTGGCTCCATTGTTGAGAGCGCAAGGGATGAGATCCCACATGCTTCGGCCATCGGGTATCCTCCGAGCAGAAGCTTTAAGAGAACGGCAGACGCGTGTTGTTCTGTGGCTGGTGTCTTTGAGGGCTGCCTTTTCTGTAGTTATTGGTCTGGACTGCTGCTCGCTGCCTCATTTCCAAAAGAAAGCTTTTGACTGATTCGGCTTCTACTTCCACCCAATACGGCATTGCCTTTGGACAAGGATGTTACACTGATGCAACCCAATGTGTCAGTGCAATCGGTGTGTTTACTTTGCCGGCTCTGGCGAGCTTGCTTTTCGGACTGTTCCCCGGTTGGGCGCCCGTTCTACCTCCTCCTGGTGCTACTTCGCCCGAAATGGGAATCCGGGTCCGGGCGCTGCTTGCAACCGGCTTAGGCAAGGAGAAGGCAGCCACCTCCCTGGTGCTGGACAGCCACGGGGCCTCTCGGACAGCAGAGCTCAACAAGAGCAGGACATAGCAGGACCAACCGACAGGAAATCCCGAAACCAGCTTGGGGGGGAGGAGGACCCTGGAGTTCCATTTGTAGTCCATACCGGGGAAGGCGTGTTTCGTTCTTGAACTCGGGCCTCCCGAGCCCGACTGACTTCACGTCATGTGCTCGAACCGAATCCGCCTTGAGCTGTATGCGCCCATGCCATGACGATGTCTTGTCTCCGTTGGGCGGACTTGTGTTCAGCGCTGAATTTGGCCAGCCACGCACATGCAAAGTGCCTCCCGCACCTTGAATGGCTGAACCCTGCACAGAGCGTTGGTGAGCCTATACACATGTTTGGTGCGCATGGGTGCGTACACACACACACACACATATATATATATATATACATGTATATATATATATAGAGATCTAGATATAAACATCGATATGTGCGTGCGTGCGTGCGGGTATGCATGTGTTTATTAGCTCGGCCAAGGTTTCTAGCTATCTGATTGAACCTGTTCAGCAACTTGAACTCGCTCTATTGTCGTTTTGGAGTTTTGTCTTTGGATCAAAACAGCAGCTGAACAAAAAGCATGCTACAACCAGGCCATAGGTTTGGGTTCACAGCATGGCCCAACCATCCCGCACTCTTGCCCGCTGTTGAGTCGCCTTCGGCCGCCCAGGTGCCGAACGCGCCTCGACCGATGTGGGGTGGGCGGTCGTGCTTGCAGGCCGATCCTAGAAGGACATGAGGACTGAGACCTGTTAATTAGAATGTTGTTTGATACTCTTAAGAACTGCACTGTAGGGTTTTGAGAGGGCACGTGGCGCCAGACTATGCAACAGACGCGCGCACCCACACTAGCGGCTTCCGCCATCAGCAAGGCTTCCTGAATCCGAGTCTGCGAGCTTGAGCCCCTATCCGCAGAACCTTCTCCAATTCCACAATGATTGGCGTTGAGTGGTAGGCTTACCTTCGCATGTGACGGGGATGTGGCACCTTAGCAGTGAAAGGGCCGTTCCGCAACCAATCTTTGAAGAAGCAACCTTGGAAGAAACAGTTGAACGGAATGGACTAGTTACCTTGCGCCAATGTTTTGAGGCTCTGCTTTGGCTTTCTGCCCTTCATGCTGAGGTTGCGCACCATGTGTTCCTGAGCCCTGCGAATCCATTCACGGCCAACTACGTGCCCAAGGGCGGCATGTGGGCCCCGGCGCCTTGGCGACATGGGCATGTGCAGAAATCCGCCAAGCTGGACGCACACCACTTGAGTCAAAAGCAACACCTTTGTTTCTTCCAACAGCGAAATTGGACTCGTCCTTGGTTCGAGCGTTGGGTTGTCGCACCAAATGTCATGACTACATGCTTAATCAGGAGCCCTAGTCCTCTTATGTGTTACAGGCTGTGCCTTGTTGATGCACAGGGCTTTCCGTTCAGAAGGCTCACGATGCAAAGCTTGAGAGGTGAAGAGCTCAATGAGCGGTCTGAAGGTTGCAGCCAGCATCCAAGCCACGTAGGAGACATTAGGAGACGTAGGGGCACAGAAGTCCGAAACATGCCAGTCTTGAGTCATTGAGGTGCAGGAAGTCGTCAACAAGCACGGCTTCCCCATAGTGGTGAAGCCTCTCAAAGGCGCGGCAATCACACTTCAGCCAGGGCAGGGGCAGCTGTGAGTCAGGTTCATCAAACATACCCGAGAATAGAAAGCATAGCTTTGCTAGTGCCTGCGCCGCATCAATCTGGCAATGTCCGGGCAAATAAAAGCAGAATTTGCCCAGCACATGGCAGGCATGCCGTATTTGGTTGAGAGCATCATGTTGCAAGGCACGCTTGACACACTACATACTGGCCAGAAGCAAGCTGACAACTAAAGGATTAGTCAGGGCGGACTGGACGACTGGAAGGGATGAGCAAGAGCTTAGCAAGCGCACTGTTTGGGAAAGGCCATGTCAGTGGTAACTGAAAAGTTTGGGCTTCTTTTGGGTGCAGCACTTTTTGGGAGGTCGAGGCTGGCAAAGCACCAGTGAGGAGCCCCTTTCCCACAAACTCTGAATGAAACAAATGAAGCAGCGAAAAGAAGGGCAAGTGATTTGTTCTCTTTGTGTTGCCGGGTTTGCTCTCAACATTTCAAGTGGAACAGTTGGCGCTCAGCGCTTGGAAAGCCCAAGGCAGTGGATGGAACCGAGCCATCGACTATGAATGAGAGCATGCTACTAAACAAGGAAGCGCCTTGCAAGCAGGCTTTGTTTTGTTCATCCAAATCTCACTTAGCATAGTACAGACCGATTCGGAGGTTTGCTAGTCCATGTGTGCCCGGCTTTGCGAAGCCGGACCCTTGAGATGTATGCCAAACCAGCGGGCAGTGATATTCAATCTCCACGGCGGGTGACGTGGCGAATGTCCTGGACTGGGTGAACTGTTTGTATTCCATGGACTCTTTGGTCCAACTCCAGCTCCTGCCATGCTGGGTTTCATACAGGCCAGAATAGTATAGTTCTCAAAGCGCAACCACAAGGGACTTGCATTTTTGCCCAGACCCCGTATGAAGCAGCAGTTGTAGAAAATGCACGGGGCGAACTCGTCAGGCACAGGCGGCTTGGACGTTACCAAGGCGCTCATGCGAGCAGTCACCTCTCTGGGCCGGAGCGTGGAAGCATTTTACAGCATTTGCAGCCGCGCCCTTTCTCAAGTTGGCAGAAACGGTTTGAGTCCTCGGCTTGTGGTTGAACATAGCGGGCACTTGCTGCCACGGAGTCAACGCTGGGTAAGCGGATGTTTGAGTTAGCGTCAGTCTGTCTTATTGGCAATGATGCTTGCAGCGTTCGTAGTGGGATCTACCGAATGGTTTTCATGTCCAGCAGACGACGGCTCCGGGCTATATAAATGCAGCGACCTGTTCAACGACTGGCTGAGTTGGGTCATGTTATTTTTGGGCCGGGGAGGTGTTTTCCTTTGCTTTGGCACCATCCCTTGGCCCAGTTGCTCAGCGACACTCTTCCCCTTTTGCTTGAGATTGGGCAAGACCCCTTCTCCCGCGCAGCCACTAACCCTGGGTTGAGCAGTGACGAAGTTGTTCTTTTTGCGCAGACATATTGTTTCGAGGTATTTAACGAGAAAGTGGGTTCATAAGTTATCATAAATTCATGGGAGAGGAGGCTGCCGAAACTCTGGAGACTGCCATTGCATGAATTGTAGTTTTCAAAGTTTATGTCTCAGTTTTCAAAGTTTATGTCTCACCTGGAGGCAACTCAGACCGCTGAAGTTGGACAAGAGAGTCACCTTCAAGTCATCCCGGAAGTGCCCTAAGTTCAGACAATTGGGCTTTTGCAGTTGTTTCTTCCTTGGTGTTTGCCACGTTTCGCGTAGCCAGAGGTCTCCATATGGCCATGAATTTCAATAGGGAGCCGCCTCAGAATCGATTGGTGGACATAAATCCCCACCTAAATGATGTCCACCAAAGGGTCCCTAAAAAAAGCAACAACAAACAAAATCCCCAAAAAAAGGTCCCCCAAAAAATCGGTATAAACAAATCGCAGCCCTATGTCGTTGTGGCACTCGACAGGGAGCCGCAAGCCCTGGGCACAGGCCACCTGCTGGCGAGAAGCGGAAGCCGCTGTGCAGCACATCTTCTCGAGGCGGAGGAACCAGGGCCAAAAGGAAGCCGTGGAAACCGACCATTCATGGTTGTTGGGCGACGTTTTTTTCTTTCATTTTGGCGTATTGTGGTTTAGTGGGAAGTCCCCGGTCCCCACTTGACTGCTAGAATTCATTTTTCTGCGCCCCTTCCAACGTCAACCAACCATTTGGAGGGTCATTTCAAGATGCACCACTTTTAGATGGCACACGCACACACACACACACACACCATTCAGTCATAAAGATGGGATCAAGCTCTTTGGGTGAAGAATGAGCATTCGAATGTTCATGGGCAAACTTGAAAGTTGTAAGGCCGCTTATATGGTGCGGCTCAAGTCAATACCGTTCTAGTCTTCTTCTCAATCCGGATTGGCATTGCCTGTGTGGGCTATAACCGAGGGCCAGGTGTTTGTTACTTGCACGCAGCAACCCTGGGGCTGCTTCACGTAGGTCAAGCCAACGCTGCCACGGGTGCTTCCTTTGGTTTGTGCAAGTGCTAGCCTGTATGATGAAAGGTCACACGCTCTTACAGACTTTTTGGCACACCGCCAAGTTTTCCACCAAGCCAGGGAGTATGGATTGGCGGTGTGCCCGTACAAACCCGTGGTGGACGAGTATCGCTGCATTTGCCCTGGGCTTAGCCACATGGAGAGGAGCCATCTATCAGCCCGATGGAGTAAGTGCAGGAAGCTGCAGCTTCAAACACGCAGTTGTGCCGTTGAGGGTTGACTGTGGCAGGCCAGCCACCGGAAGGCATGACAGAGCGCAATTTATTGTTGGAAGATGGTCATTGTTGGGGGGCTCCACTCTCTTCCGTCAACAGCTCCACGTCCTTGCAACAGTCTAGTGTTGGTCAAGGCTGGAAGCCAATGCCCCCAAAACAGCTTATATCTAGTCCGGCCATTGCATGGATGGAAGGAGCCAATCTCCTTAATAGCAAACGCAAACCATATGAAAGGATGAGCTCTTGAAGGTGATGCGCCATCCACCGAGCGTGCACCCTCTTTTGCTGGGCCAAGGCCTTGAACATGAGGCACGAAACGGGGGAAATCGCTGGCCGGGAAGATGGTCTGATGATCCAGCAGGTTGGGCGGTTGAAAAGACAGCTCCCTGGGACTGAGTGCCGGAATGGCTGAGTTGATGAGCAAGGTGGGAAGACACCTTTGGAGGGAAGCATCTCTGTATAGAAATTGTTTGGCTTTTGGGCCTGGATTTACCATCCTGGATTCCCCTTTGCAGCCGTTGATTCCACAGGCAACCTGAGACGCGGCCCTGGTGCCTGAAATGTGCAAGGACCTTATATGCGCACAGGCTACCACTTGAGAACCTACTAAAGGTGGAGTTGGAGCAATGTGTTTTGCCACAAGCCAGGTGCTAGATAGCAGTGAACGCAAGCACAACAAGAACGAAGCAGCTCTCAACATATATATATATATAAATAGTGAAACTGCAGTTAGCAAACATGTCTGAAGCCGGCTTGCCCTTGCACTTCTATTTGCCATGATCGAACCATCAGTTTGCCCGGGCTGAGTTGAAAATTGAATGCTCGTGCATGTTGTTTGTTCAGGTTGGGACGCCCATGGTTCTAAGGAGCCATGTGCAGGAAGCCCCTTGTTTCGAGTTAGTGTTTGACTCACCCAGTGATTCAATGTATCTGTGTAGCAAGTGCAACCAAAGGAACCACCCTTCAAAAGCAAAAAGGAACATGTCCGTTTCCTATTTGGCTGTGCAAACACCCAGTTGTAATCATTTTGAGTTTCCCCCTTTGGGCATGGGTCAAAGTAGAACCCCCAGAATGATGGGATTCCAATTCCCCTTCAAAGCAAGGTGGAGCAGGGTACCTCAGCGAAACAAACCCTGGAAACAGCCGGGAGGTGCAGCTCACGTACCGCAAGGTGTGGCGGAGGGCGGGGGGTGGCTCCCTGAAATGTGTGGATGAAAGCCTCCTCCTGGGACCGAATTCACGTGGCACCCAACAAGCCCTTCATTTTGCGAGGAGTCCGCTCGGGGATGCCCTTCTTGGGTTCCATGCTAGTGTGCAAACGGGTGTTTGAACCCAAAGGGCTAAAGCCAAGTTTTCGACATGTTTCGGGTCGCGGGATCCATGCGACCAGCGGAATCAACGGCAGCACACCAGGCCACCAGGCCATGCCTCCAGCGCCAGGTGAGAAGTTCGGTCACAGGAGTCGGCGGCTTGGAAGTCTTGAGTCTAAGAAGTAAGGCTCAAGAAACGAACAAAGCTAAGGAAGCTGGGCGTCCATCAAGTTTCTAGTTTGTTTTGCTTGAGCTCCGCGTGCTGTTGTGGATTGTTGTGGCTGGTTGTTTGTTTGTTGATCGGCCGGTCGATCAAGAGTCCAGCAACTGATTTTCCCACGGCGTCAAATTCTTTTCTATATCCCCAGCCGACTCAACCGACGTGGCTTTGTTTAGTTTGCCCGCCTTTTGTGGCAGGACAGTGCCACGATGTCATACATTGATGCATTGGCAGGCATAGACTTCATGCTGATCAGGGGCAAACCCGTGTGCCCAGCACCAAATGGGCGCACGCTCACCGAGGTTCGCCTCGCACAGGTTTTGCCTAACCCAGACCCCGATGGGTTCATATGCCAACGGGTGTACTCAGCCTCAAGCTCTCTTGGGCAATTTATGATTCATTTTTGCATGTGAGTTTACATGGGGACCCATTGGTGGACATCATGCAGGCGGAATTAATTATGTCCAATTGATCCGCTACTGTATTTGTCAAAGTCACAGACACAATGGGGTAAGGGGTAGCCTCAAAATCACACCCACGTGGGTTACAGGGAAGTCGTGTTTAGACTAAGTTGAAAACATAGTATGGCCTAACAAGTGTAAGTTTTCTGTTGGGGTCAAAAATGGACAGCCCTCCAAAAACCTTTGGTTCCCTTTCTGGTTCCCTTTGTTTCTTGAGGGCATACTCCAAAAGAACCGCAGCCACACCATGGGCCCCTGCCGCGAGCCACGAGTCGCGCAATCGCGTTCGATTCCGTTCCGAGGACGGCGAGCGCTCCGTGGGCGCACTGCTGGGGCAGCGCCTGAGCTCTGCTTCTCCTCAGGCGTGCTGAAACATCCCCACCCCGTAAAACCCCTGTGGTTCCATTTTCCCTTTTATGGGGAAGACTAGATAAATGGAATTGGGACCCCCCCACCCCCCTCCTCCTGAAGGTAGGGGGGATGCTGAAATTCGCCGGCGGGCGTTTTCGACTTGAACTGCGACCCTGCCTATTGGTTGAAGCAGGAAGGGCACCAAGAGGCCATGTGGAGTTGGAAGGGGCCTTACAGGGCGGGCGCATCCGGAAAATAGCCCAGCTCCCACAAGGCGGGCACCATGAGTGCCTTGTGGTTTCTTTTGCGGTCTGGGTCTTGCCTACACCTGTTTGTTGTTTTTGGTTTCAAACAACGACAAAAACAAGCAACCACAAAACAAGCAATCAAACAAACAATTAAACAAGCAAACACAGAAACGAGTAAGCATGCCATTAGATATATACTTTTAGAGGTAGGCTGAACATGAATCATAATCAGACATCTGAACAGCGAGGAATCTTTTGGGTTTTCGTGTTCGCAACTGAACAACGGAAAGGGTCATGGGCGAATTCATCAGAGCAATGGGGAGCTGCTCATTCCCATACTCGACTCCACCCTGACTTGGTGGATTGCCCAAATCGAATCATGCCCAAACAGGGTTCTCTTTGATGCTACTTGGGTCGCCGGGCAATTCGGCATAAGACAAGTACAGGGTGATTGTTTTTTGTTTAAGGACTTGAAAAAGGGTGCAATCAGATTGGTGTTGGGCTGACCCATTGTGGTGACAGTTGTGTATCTTGGGCGAGTTTGGGTACCTCGGACTTGTTGTTTGCCATAGTTTCACACATCCATGAGGGCAGGTTGAAACCTGTTTCCATCCTGGACTCACTTCTCGTAGGGCCTACAGCACTGTTGCATTTTTCCGGGGCTGGGGTACTCAAACAAATTGCTTCCTGGCACTAGACACAGTTGCTTCGTGATTATGGGGGGGCGATCATGCCTTCCATTTGCTTAAGAATATTGTTTCATTTTCCCCTGCTGGTTGTACAGGCAGTCTGTCACTATCGCATACCTTCTGACCCCTTCCAGGGGGCTCAAGCAAATCGAGGATGCTTGTAATAATAGATTTGCCCCCCCCCCCACACATGTGGCTGTGGGTCAACACCAATGGTACCATTTTGGGGTAGGTGCACCACCCAATTTAGTCTGTTTAGTGGGGATTGGGATGTTCACTGGAGCCATGTCTCCTTCAGGAAGCCGCAGGCCTCGTGGCCGCAGCCGCCGAGCTGCGCCGGAAGCCCTGAGGCGGTGAGTTGGGATGGTGGCTGAAACGAAGCTCTTTCGTTTGCCGAAGGGGTTTTAAGTCCGGACCAAGATGCCGGTCACACTGGGGGAAGCCTTGAGTGGGACGGGGAACGCACACTCCTCAATAGGAAGACCCGTAAGGAAGTCGATATGTCGAAGCCTGCAGGTCAAGAGCGAGTGGGACTGGCAAAGGCACGGGTTTGTCAACTTTGGGTCCTCCTCCTCAAACCCCCTGCTCTTCCTCCTGCTATGTCTGAAGCCTCCAAGAAGCCCAGTGCAACGCATCCGAGGCCCGGAGGATTTGGCCAAAGTGCCAGGTAAGGGCGAGGCCTCTGCACTGCAGTGGGGGCCTCATGAGTCGGTTCTGGCACGGTCTACAAACGCTGGAAGCAGCACGGCGAAGTTGAAACCGACAAGGCCCCGCAAAGGAATTTGCGAGCAGGGACACTAATTCCAGGAGAGCTGGATGCCGTCTCTTTGATCAGGGGACACGGGATGACACTCACTCAAGCACATATGTTACCAGCTGCGTAGGCAACCCATTGTCACCGTTTCCAGTCGACGGATCCAAAAAGGGCGAAATGAACGTCTAGCTCTTCCCAGGCCACTTCTCACCTCAGCCGTGCCGAGGTGGAAGCACAACTTGGGTCAGGGCGCGTCAGTGGACCTGAAGGCCATGGCCTCTGGCGGGCCCATGGGGCCGGTTTCGGCGATTGAAAGCTACCGAACATGCCGCAGGGGTGTCTCTAGAGGCTGCTCTCTTCAAGTTTTTTTTTAAAGATCGCCATGAAACTAGCCCGAACGCCTGCAGAAGCTCTCTTTGAGTTGTTGTTTGAAAAATCACGATGGGACCCAGAGGAAACTCAGATTCTGATGGGGATTGGCCACAGCTCAAGGTGCCGAAGGACATGGCAGCGCGCCTCGCAGAGGCGTTCCGCAGGGCTGGACGTGTCAGGGTGTCAGGGTGGGTGGGGGGTCCAGTGGGGTAGGGTTTTGTGTGGAGTTGGTATGTTTTCCTTGGACTAGAATTGAATTACCGAAGCAAAAGCAATTGCTTTGGGTGGCCGGGGCCAAAAGATGAGTGTTTCATTCTCAAAGTGAAGGAATGCCTCGAGGTAGTAAGTTGGTTTCCTCTTGATTTTCCCCCTTTGGGGTTTTCTTTGAAAAGGTGGTCCCTTATATTGAGCTGGATGCTGACTTGCCTCAAAAACACGAACCAGTAGATCGTCAGGCTGGGCAGTCTAACTTTCAGTGTGTCGATGAGTTGCCGGACGGAAAGCAAACATGACAAGCTCCATTTCCTAAAGGGGGAGCCCGCAGATTCCAACAGGACAAGCAGGACCGTTATCGCCCTAGGCTTACCAACCAGCCCGATGAGAGGGGGACCCTTCAGATTGAGAAGGTCTCGCTCGATTTATCAAACCGTATTGTCACTTCAGTGCTCATTTTTGCGTGTCTTCTTCCATTGACTGCACGACCTTGGGTCAGCCAAGTTGGCTCATCTCATTCGTCCAAAGTTGAGTTGTTTAGCCCTTTGTCCTGGTTTTGGCCACTTACACTCAAGGCTCTAAAGGCAATCAACATGGTTAAGCCGTCATTTTCCATATCCTTGGGGCAGTTGGCTCATTGGACTCCGCTTGCGATGGGACTCGCATCTGCGCTTGTCTCACCAGGTGGCAAGCTCGGCATCGCGGGCCATCGGCATGTGCTTCTGCAGCGTGGACATCATCGAAGTGGAGAAGGAGGCGATCTGCAGTCTGCACATGGGTTGCGAGATCAAAAGGTCCGTGACACATGCGTAACGTTGGGCAACATGTGTTTTTCTATATTTATAACCAGCCCTTGGAAGCTTAAGGAAACCCAAACGGAGGATGCTAAAACAATTGTGGTTTAACCCTGCGAACTCCGTGAGAACAGACATCAGGACCCCCAACCCACCCCGCCCCTCACCGCCAGCAAGGGAGGGGTGGGTGGGTTGTGACTTTTCTCTAGGGCAGGGGCAACAGCAGATAAACTGCTCTTCCAATTGCAGTCACTATATTGGCACGGTTTGCTTGTTTAGTTTGCTTGCGGGAAGTATGTTGATTATTATCAGTGACCACTTTGTTTGCATGTTGTGTTTGTGTGTGTGTGTGAGAGCAGGGTTCATTGTTTGAGGTTGCATGTGCGGTTGCAACCTTTCCACGCGTGGTCATAGCAACTCGGGTTTAAGTCCTTCATGATTTTGCTCCTGGCCCCCTTCCTTTCGATAAAGTAGATTAAAGTAGCCATGTAGATGGCCCACGTCGCTATCGCGCCTGAGGGATAGCCGGTGCTGAGGGCCTGATGGTTATGGAGGTGAACGGGGGTGTGATGATGGACTCTTTGCCAGGGCCTTAGGCTTCACGAGGTGGGGACGGACGTTGGGATCGAAGCCAATTTCGCGGATTTGCGCCCTGGAAGGTCCCACAAGGTTTCCGCAGCATTCTGATCGGGTGAAATATAAACCTGTGCAAATGCAAAGGCACACATGGTATACCTTTTTATGCCTGTAATTAGCTGTTTCCAAGAAGTTTTAATTTGCTGTCAGCACCTGGTCTGGATTTCACCCAACAATCGTTTGTTGCAGGGGGTAGCTCCGGAACCCAACTCTTGGAAACCCGAAAAACATGGAACCCTACTTTGGAGTTCCCGGAGTCTCCAGTGGCATGTGGCATCGCCTCGATCCGGTCCAAGGATGGAGCAACTCGGGGACTCCGGCAAGGCGCCTTCCCGCCGTGCGGGGGCTGGCCCTTTCAGAGCGAAAGATTGGGACCCTCAGCTCAAGCCCCCGGACTGCAAACCAGTCCGGCAAACAACGGAAAGCGCCTGCCACGGCATGCGATGGCTTTCCCTTGTTTTCCCTTGCTTTCCCTTGCCTTCCTTCGCTTGACCTTGCTTTTTCCCTTGCGGTGCCTTGCTTTCCCTTGCTTTCCCTTTCCGTTGCTTTCCCATTTCCTTGCTTTCCCTTGCTGTCCCTTGCTTTCCTTTGCTTTGCCTTGCTTTGCCCGTGCTTTAGCTTGCTTTGCCTTGCTGTCCCTTGCTTTCCCTTGTTTTCGCTTGCTTTCCCTTGCTGTCCCTTGCTTTGCCCGTGCTTTTGCTTGCTTTGCCTTGCTGCCCCTTGCTTTACCTTGTTTTCCCTTGTTTTCCTTTGTCCCTTGCTTTCCCTTGCTTTCCTTTGCTTTGCCTTTTTGCCCGTGCTTTTGCTTGCTTTGCCTTGCTGTCTTGCTGTCTCTTGCTTTCCCTTGCTTTGCCTTGCTTTGCCCGTGCTTTTGCTTGCTTTGCCTTGCTGTCCCTTCCTTTCCCTTGTGTTCCTTTGCTTTGCGTAGCTTTGCCCATGCTTTTGCTTTCTTTGCCCTGCTATCCCTTGCGTTCGCTTGTTTTCCTTTTCACTTGTTTTCCCTTGCTTTCCCTTGCCTTCCTTCGCTTGACCTTGCTTTTTCCCTTGCGGTGCCTTGCTTTCCCTTGCTTTCCCTTTCCGTTGCTTTCCCATTTCCTTGCTTTCCCTTGCTGTCCCTTGCTTTCCTTTGCTTTGCCTTGCTTTGCCCGTGCTTTAGCTTGCTTTGCCTTGCTGTCCCTTGCTTTCCCTTGTTTTCGCTTGCTTTCCCTTGCTGTCCCTTGCTTTGCCCGTGCTTTTGCTTTCTTTGCCCTGCTATCCCTTGCGTTCACTTGTTTTCCTTTTCACTTGCTTTCCCTTGCTTTCCCTTGCCTTCCTTTGCTTTGCCTTGCTTTGCCCGTGCTTTTGCTTGCTTTGCCTTGCTGTCTTGCTGTCTTGCTTTCCCTTGCTTTGCCTTGCTTTGCCCGTGCTTTTGCTTGCTTTGCCTTGCTGTCCCTTCCTTTCCCTTGTGTTCCTTTGCTTTGCGTTGCTTTGCCCATGCTTTTGCTTTCTTTGCCCTGCTATCCCTTGCGTTCACTTGTTTTCCTTTTCACTTGTTTTCCCTTGCTTTCCCTTGCCTTCCTTCGCTTGACCTTGCTTTTTCCCTTGCGGTGCCTTGCTTTCCCTTGCTTTCCCTTTCCGTTGCTTTCCCATTTCCTTGCTTTCCCTTGCTGTCCCTTGCTTTCCTTTGCTTTGCCTTGCTTTGCCCGTGCTTTAGCTTGCTTTGCCTTGCTGTCCCTTGCTTTCCCTTGTTTTCGCTTGCTTTCCCTTGCTGTCCCTTGCTTTGCCCGTGCTTTTGCTTTCTTTGCCTGCTGCCCCTTGCTTTCCTTGCTTTTCCCTTGCTTTCCCTTGCCTTGTTTTCCCTTTGTTCCCTTGCTGCCTTGCTTTCCTTGTGCCCGTGCTTTTGCTTGCTTTGCCTTGCTGTCTTGCTGTCTCTTGCTTTCCCTTGCTTTGCCTTGCTTTGCCCGTGCTTTTGCTTGCTTTGCCTTGCTGTCCCTTCCTTTCCCTTGTGTTCCTTTGCTTTGCGTTGCTTTGCCCATGCTTTTGCTTTCTTTGCCCTGCTATCCCTTGCGTTCACTTGTTTTCCTTTTCACTTGTTTTCCCTTGCTTTCCCTTGCCTTCCTTCGCTTGACCTTGCTTTTTCCCTTGCGTGCCTTGCTTTCCCTTGCTTTCCCTTTCCGTTGCTTTCCCATTTCCTTGCTTTCCCTTGCTGTCCCTTGCTTTCCTTTGCTTTGCCTTGCTTTGCCCGTGCTTTAGCTTGCTTTGCCTTGCTGTCCCTTGCTTTCCCTTGTTTTCGCTTGCTTTCCCTTGCTGTCCCTTGCTTTGCCCGTGCTTTTGCTTTCTTTGCCCTGCTATCCCTTGCGTTCACTTGTTTTCCTTTTCACTTGCTTTCCCTTGCTTTCCCTTGCCTTCCTTTGCTTTGCCTTGCTTTGCCCGTGCTTTTGCTTGCTTTGCCTTGCTGTCTTGCTGTCTCTTGCTTTCCCTTGCTTTGCCTTGCTTTGCCCGTGCTTTTGCTTGCTTTGCCTTGCTGTCCCTTCCTTTCCCTTGTGTTCCTTTGCTTTGCGTTGCTTTGCCCATGCTTTTGCTTTCTTTGCCCTGCTATCCCTTGCGTTCACTTGTTTTCCTTTTCACTTGTTTTCCCTTGCTTTCCCTTGCCTTCCTTCGCTTGACCTTGCTTTTTCCCTTGCGGTGCCTTGCTTTCCCTTGCTTTCCCTTTCCGTTGCTTTCCCATTTCCTTGCTTTCCCTTGCTGTCCCTTGCTTTCCTTTGCTTTGCCTTGCTTTGCCCGTGCTTTAGCTTGCTTTGCCTTGCTGTCCCTTCCTTTCCCTTGTGTTCCTTTGCTTTGCGTTGCTTTGCCCATGCTTTTGCTTTCTTTGCCCTGCTATCCCTTGCTTTCACTTGTTTTCCTTTCACTTGCTTTCCCTTGCTTTCCCTTGCCTTCCTTTGCTTTGCCTTGCTTTGCCCGTGCTTTTGCTTGCTTTGCCTTGCTCTCCCTTGTTTTCCCTTGCTTTCCCTTGCCTTCCCTGGCTGTCCCTTGCTTTCGTTTGCTTGTCCCTGCTTTCCCTTTCCCTTTCTTTCCCTTGCTTTGCCCGTGCTTTTGCTTGCTTTGCCTTGCTCTCCCTTGTTTTCCCTTGCTTTCCCTTGCTGTCCCTTGCTTTCCTTTGCTTGTTTTTGCTTTCCCTTTTTTTCCCTTTCCCTTGCTGTCCCTTGTGTTCCTTTGCTTTGCCTTGCTTTGCCCGTGCTTTTGCTTGCCTTCCCATGCTTCCCTTTGATTGTCCTTGCTTTCCCTTGCTTTCCCTTGCTGTCCCTTTCTTTCCCTTGATTTCCCTTGCTTTCCCTTGCTGTCCCTTGCGGTCCTTTGCTTTCCTTTGCTTGTCCTTTCTTTCCTTTGCGTTGCCTTGCTTTCCATTGCTTTCCCTTTCCCCTGCTTTCCCCTGATTTCCCTTGCAGTCCCTTGCTTGCTGTCCCTTGCTTTCCTTTGCTTTGCCTTGCTTTGCCAGTGCTTTCGCTTGCTTTGCCTTGCTGTCCCTTTCTTTCCCTTGTGTTTCCCTTGCTTTCCCTTGCTTTTTTGTTGCTGTCCCTTGCTGTCCCTTGCTTTCCTTTGCTTTGACTTATTTTGCCCGTGCTGTTGCTTGCTTTCCCTTGCTGTCCATTGCTGTCCCTTGCTTTCCCTTGCCTGGCTTGCTTTCCCCTACTTTCGCTTCCTTTGCCCTTGCTTTCCCTTGGTTTGCCTTGCTTTGCCTTGCTGTCCCTTGCCAGCTTGACCCAAGTCAGAGCAAACCAACAACTGCACAACCCTCCTGCACTGAATCACATACAAGCAACAACCCAAACCAGCGCCCGTACTTACACACCCCGTGTCGTCTCCCTGGGACCTGCAAACCAGCCTTGCGGTGGCAGAAAGTGCTCCAAAAAATACTCCCAACAAATGGGAGTATTTTTCCTGCAACATCCCCAGCATCGCCGACCACCACAAAAACTTCCAAAACAAGCGACATCCCCTGCATCCCCGGCATCCCCGGCATCCCCTGCATCCCCGGCACCCCTTGTGCGCCCAAGTCCGGCGAGGCCGGAAGCAAAGTAAAATTATGTAAAACTGGCACGCTTTTTGGCCCGCGAGAGCCACAGACGAAAAGGTCAGACATGATAGGCAGCGTCGACGAAAAAGCGCGAAAAACACAGGGAAAAACACCAAAAACCAGCCTTGCGGTGGTAGAAAGTGCTCCAAAAAATACTCCCATTTTTTGGGCCAGACCTGCAAATCACCCGGAACGAGGTTACCCCCCTCCCACCCCCCCCCCCCCCACAACTTCGTACACTAACTCCCAGCGCTTCAAGAAGCGCTTTCCGTCATCGATTTCGGCGTGCGGCGCTAGTAGGCTGACAGAAAAGCTCAGTGCGTTCATGGCCTCCTTTTGGGCCCGAGCAGGTGCCCAGAGGCTCAAGGCCCACGCCACCGCTGGCCCTTCAGGCCCTAGCTTTCCGGCTTTACGAGGCTGGGGTGCTGAAAGCGCTGCTCGGCTGAGCAGGGACACGTGTGGCACTTTTGGGAACTGTCATGCAACATGTCTGGGCAAGACATGAAGAGGGAGATTCAGAACCGGCATGCAGATTTGCTCATGACGTTTGTCCACTTGGTTCCGGCTAGGAGGTCCTTGCAATTGACCCCCCTGTGTCAGGTTGAATTGCTTGTTGGCGCCGGTTATTCCACCAATTTTGGTTTACATACATACACAATAAAATAAAGTAAAACAAATAAACACATATATAGATAAGTATAGACATAATATATATATATATATATGCGGAGGGATAGATCTTGGTTTTAAGGTGCATGGCTTGCAAGCGCCTAGGCTTGGCCGGTGATCCGGATCCGCCTTCGGCCTTGGGCAGAAACAATGGCCGCTGGGCGTGGAGCGCGCCATCTCCGCCCGAGCCGTCTCTACTGATGCCATCCCCAGCCACCGCTGGCAGACATGAAACAAGATGAGGCCATGAGGCATGAGGGATAGAAGATGTTGTGTCGGCGCTTTGGACCTGCATAGTTACTTACATGTGTATGTATACATAAATGAATAAATGGGGAATATGGGGACCAGGAGCCCTCGATATTGATCACCAGAACCAGTTGGAAGCCTGCTTGCAGTGCAGTTGGCCTCAAATCGTTTCTAAGTTCGCATCCTGCCAAAGCGAACTGAGGCGAACGCCACTTTCGAGTTTCAAAGAGAATGCTGTGACTCTGCCTTCAAGAGTGGCATTTGTTTCCTTGATGGCCCAGTTGGGCAGTCACGCATGGCATCAGTCGCTCAGCCATGTCACAAAAACAGGCTGCAAATTCGTATGGTTTGCATGGATTTGCGATTTAGTCATGGTCCGAATATGTCTTGCATGTCACGTTCATCTCTGACTGCAGGCTTTCAGTTGTGCCTCGTTGCCTTTGCATTTTACGCAATACTACATGCTGTGTTTGGATCTGATGCCTTGCACCCAGCACCTCTCGATCCCGTCTGGTTACAGACTATTGGGCAAGACTTGGCCAAGCCCCTTAACTTAGGTCATGGCCATGGCTATAGGTCAACTAAACACTTCGGCCCCAGCGAGAACACTGCGGATAAAGCGCTGACAAAGTAGGTTGAACATCCAAGCGAGCCGGCCCCTGGCCAGCAGTGGGGCTAGCAGAGCCACCATCGCCATGCTGCGTTGCAGCCTACCCTTAAGATTTCTCTAGTTGATGAACAAAGGGGCAGCTCCTCCTCATACACGGAAGGAACTAATTACAGCCAATGAGCATGGCAGAATCCGTTTGCCGCTCCTCGCTGGCTTTATTTGCTCAGGGGCTCCTGGCCAGCAAAGCTGGCGCAAGGCAGCCACAGGTCTCCAAGGGAAGTGGTTGGTATGGGCCAACGGGCAAGGGCACATGCTGATGCACTTTGAAGGGCTAAGCGGCGAACATGAAACTGCGGTTGCGCAGATATGTCCAAATTCAGTTTGTTTCTTTGGTAGGTGCACGGTAATTGGCAGCAGGGCATCGACACACTTCAATAAGTATGCAGGCCTAAGAACTTGTGCGCTTTGAGCCATGAAATCCGAGCCAGCATCGCCGCAATCTCCTGGCTCCCCTCCTGCAGGGTCCCCTTCGTTCTCTGCCACATTTGCAGCAGAGTTGACTCAGCCGCCGACCTCCACGTTGACCGGCAACCAGCGCGTGCCACCTTTGGCAACAGAGGCACTGGAGAAAGCGGACTCAGATCCCTCGTGCGCGGGCTCGGGTGAGCCCACGCGTGAGCCCACGCGTGAGCCCACACGTGAGCTCGCGGCCTCGGGTGAGGTTACACGTGAGCCCACGCGTGAGCGCACAGCTGACCTGCCATTGGGCCCCGCCCCCTTGGGTGAGCCCACAGGTGAGCCCAAACGTGAGCCCACACGTGAGCCCACACGTGAGGTAACGGGTGACCTGCCACTGGGCCCCGCCCCAACAGCGCACCCTGCCCCACTGGACACTCCGGAGGTCACACCGAGGCCGGTCTTGTCCCGGGACTCCCAGCCAGAGCCACTGGCAGCTTGGCTTGAGATAAACGATCGGTCGATCGTTTTCGTTGGAGTTTTGAGTTGAACTTCCTGAATGACACGGCTTGGGCCTCATGATTTGGACTTCCAGAGGTGGACGATAGAGTGTGGGCACACGCTCCGGAAAAAGTCCTTGTTTGTCTGAAGCGTGAAGCTGAACGCGAGGCCGGCTCGCTAGGCCTATGTTTAACGTCGACTGGCGCTGGCTAGCCTTTTTTTGTGCGAGCTTGGGCTTGTGACTCTGACAGGCTGAGAACCCTGAAGCAGAGGAGAGGGCTTTTGGCTGAGCTTGTTTTTCCGATATGGCTAGAAGCCTAGGTGAGGCCAGCGTGCTTCCTTCAGATTCCGGTTGCTTCACATGCTGGTTCTTCATCTCAACCTCCATTCAAAGCAGACCGTAAGCTGTAACCTGGCAGCTACCCGTCCCGACGCCATTGAGTTAACGCATGGAATCCGAAAGCTATGTCGACCAGGAATAGCGTTTGCATCAACAATTCCCGACTCGCAATATCGTTCCGCCCTTTCGCACGTTCCAATATCGTTTGCTTCTCCTTCACCCGAGGCATCCCCGGCGTCCCCGACGGCAACCTCCTTCGCCGACAAGGTGCGCACGGCTCAGAAGCCCAGCTCCACCCGCACCTCGAGCCCTGCGAAGGGCCACAAAGCGACCGCGGCGGCCCTGACGGCGTCTTCTGCCTTCGCCGCCTTCGAGAAGCCGCCGGTGGAAGTGCCGCCCATGCCGCTGGGCGGGGTGGCAGGGGGTGGCAGGGGGTGACATTGAAGTGGTGACATTGAGGTGCTTAAGCTCAGTTTCAGACATGTTGCGACCCTTTGTCCAAGAATGGTGGGGTGCACAGGAGGGGTTGGGAAGGCTGCCATGATCTTGAAAGGCCGTGCCAACGTGCTTGTATTTAAGCCGGACCAAGCATGCTGCATATTGAGAATCTTGCGGAGCGCGCACGACATTGCACAACGCCCCGGTTGAGACTTAGTCGCTGTTCGCGCGCTCCGCAAGATGGTTCACCCTGAGCAACGCCCCCTGTGTCGTCGGAAGGCTTCGGTGGTTTCAGCCGTCAGCGCCGAGGCCGGGGGCCGCCAGCTGTGGGCGCCGGGAGTTGGCGCGGCAGCGAAAGTTGGAGCAGCTGCTGCCCCCCGGGGCTCTGCAGGAGCGACCGGTCGGGTACAATTGGCGCATTAACTTCCACTTCCATTTGGATAAACAGACGTCTATTTTCAATACCTGCCTTTGCTTGCCGACGTGGGAATTGTACCATTTAGTGGTCCTGGTGTAAGTGAGTGCACATGGTTGTACCCCAGTCAAGAAACTTACCCCATGAGTGGGTTCCGACCTTGTGAGTTATGCTGCAAGTCCCGAAGTCCATAGACATGTGGGTGACCGATGCCACCTTTGAAGGTGGGCTGGACAAGACGTGGCTCGTTTCGGGCAGGTCCAAACATGCAGGAACACAAGCCAATGTGGTTTTGTTTGATGCACGTCACCCCAAACCGTTTTGTGTTGCGTGTTTCTGTAGCCAATGCCACTCTCGGACAGTCTCAGGCAAACCCTTTCACTTTTACGCAACTGGGTGCTGCTGCCAGCAGATCGCTTAACTTAGTCCGTTTGTCTAGGTCCACTTGTCAAGGGCTGTGATGTGGAAGCCGTTATGGTCCAAGCTACCGCTTCACTGCCGGCTCAAGCTCAAGCAGATATGATAGTTGCTAGTCTAACACACTCGTTTGACACATTTGATCCATGCGAAGCTTGGAGAAGCTCGCCCTGCGATGCCTTCCTTGTGCGCCGATGGCAAGTCGAATGCATGTTTGCCAAATCATGCCATATCCATCAGCAGCTCGTTGAACCCACACACCAGCTGCCCCATCAAATCCGTCAGACACGCTTTTGCGCCATGCTTGTGCCATGGTGCTACGGTTGCCCTTTGTTGGCGCGGCCCTCGTCTTCGTCTTGGTGAATCTCCCAGCCTTCCTCTCCCCGCAGCAGATCACACAGCGCCTGGTGCGGTGCGGCTCGGCCAAGGAGGTGCTGGAGATTCTGCGGGGTCAGCGGAGGAATCCCAGGCAGGAGTTCGACGTGCGCCTGTTGCACGTAGCGAGTGTTGTGTCCTGCAGCCGCCATTTTGAACAACCCTGTTTAAGGCGTGAGCGGCGCACCGGGGAAATGGGCTGAGGGGTGAGCTCTAGAAGTCCATGTGTAGCTCGATTGATCCTTCTTGAACAAGGAGATTGGAGACTCCCACCCTCCCCTTCTGGTAATCGCTTTTCCCTAACCCCCCCCCCCCCCGGGGGGAGTTTTATTATTAGGGGTCGCCAGTTTGGGCCCAGATCCAGTTGATAGTTTTGCTATTTAGTATTGGACTTGTATTGAACAGTGGGTCTCCTTTGATTTGGAGCAACAACTTCTCAGATTGCAACTTTTAAGTAATAACTGCGAAAGAGAGTGTCCCATGGTCAGAGTTATAAAAAATAGTTGCTTGTGTTGGGTTGTTTGGAAAGACAGACCCTAATAATTAATACGTAGAACTTTCTTGGGGATGTGTTTACCCTAATGATAGTAGTCTCAGAGGAGTTTAGTATTGGTTTAGTATTGGCTAATTTAAGTTTAGTATTGCCGAATTTTTGCCGCGGCTCGGGGGAGTTTTATTATTAGGGGTAGGTTGATTAATAGGAAGAAGGGATTACTGAGGCAGCTTTGCACGGACAAAGCGATTGGGAATTTGCAGGTTCCCCAACCTGAGGATTGAGACGGGCCCCAAGACGGATGAACATCTAGCCTTTCGTTCCTCGGATCTAGCCTCCCTAGGCCCTCTAAAACCCCCAGAAAGGTCGGATTGAACCCCCTCAAAGAGAAGGTCGTGTAAGCCGCGGGGTATCAGGTGTTGGTGTACTCGTTGCCGTGATTGTCACCTAGCTGCCCGAACTTCCAAGTCGAAAGTCGAAGGTCCCCCCCCGCCTCCCCGCGCTTAACACCCTTGTTATGAACCACCAAAGGGTGAGCCTCCAGCTGCCTGCTCTTTCCTAGGCTCTCTGGGGCGGTGGCTCCTGCTTGGGTGAAGCTTGCGAAGCTCGGATTGCGCGCGGATTCCTCGGACCTGGAGGAGCTTGTGGCTTTGACCAAGGCCTGGCTCTCTGGGCAGCTCAGCAGCAACCTGTGGTGGGTGGGGGGGGGGTCTGTTGACGTACCTCTGGTTGACATGCATAGAGGCGTCTCTTTTTGAGGGACCCCAGTTTGTTGGGTTTAAGGTTCATGTTGATTTACGCATACATCGGAGAAGGGGTTCGCGGTGCATGTGATAGCACTGCAGATGTTTTTGGGTTTGCTTCATTTCTTTCGCCAAATGGGGGAACAGCAAAATGGGACCAGGGTGTATTTGTTGACACCCTGCTTGTTGTTGGGCAATTGGCTGGAACACTCAGATTGGTGGATTATAGTTATCAACTAGGTGGTAGCTTCTTTCAAGAGGCAATTTGTCGAACCTGCAGCGTTTCATTCTTGGGAACGGGCGTGTCAAGCTGGAAATGTATACGCTGCCTCTGTTGGGAAGAAGACGCTGGTTGCGCCGGCTTAGTTGACAATCGCACCCCCCTCTTTCTTTGGGTTGCCGCTGAAATGGCTATCGGACTCCTTGGGCAACATTCTGATCGAACAGGGGATGGTTGGTGACAGAAGCCCCTTCTGAAGGGCCTTACATTCTGGTGGCTTGGTTTATCTTAAAGTGAGTTTCCCCCAGCGCCGTACTGTTGGAAGGGGCAACAAGGAAGCCTGAGCCAGCCCATCCCCTGCGCCCAGGCCCTCCTTGCGCGGCCGGCAAGTGGCCAACGCCTTTTGGGCGGTGGCAAAGCTCCAAGGCCGGCAGCGCCTTCCGCCGCTGAGTGGCTTGCAGCTCGCCCTAGTTGCGGCGGCAGAGCAGAAGATGCCAGACATGAACGCCATAGAGGTGGCCAATGTGATTTGGCCTTTGGACACGGTTTGGTAGGTGTTTGTTTTCTTTGTTCCGATTTGATACAGTTTTTTTCTAACAAACAACAAACAATCAAAAAAGTATCAGGCTGTCGCCGGTTTTTTGTATTGAAGAGGCCCAGGAAGGCCATTTGGGCCTTACAGCTGGCCAGATTTGCATGCACAGTGGAGCAAAGGTCGGCCACGCAGCTCCCGGTCAGCGCCTTGGGATCAAAGCTGCTGCCGGCGGCTACAGCACAGGCGGAAGTGGTGGCTTGCTCAGCCAAGCACGACCTTTTGATATGAGCAACGGACAATACTACCAGAGAATCGTTCTTTGTTTGGCGTGGGTCCAACAATTGGTTTATTGTTGTCATATTATCAGCTGCTCTGCTTTTTGGGGTGTGCTGCGCAAAGTTCTGCGTTGATCCATTGTACATTTACGAGTTGCGGCACTCCCACAGTTCCCTTGTAAATGTTTTGAGGCAACTTGATGAATTCATTGTTCTAATTTTTGCGTGCTTGTTGTTTCAAACAAGCTTATTGGCCGGTTGCTTTTTTGCTTGCTTGCTTGCTTGCTTGCTTGCTTGCTTTCCTTGTTGTGCTTCTTTGTTTCTTTGATTCTTTGTCAGTCTGTTTGGGTTTTCGATCCCGAGGTGGTGTCGCAGATGAACGCGCAGGACGTGGCCAACACGCTCTGGGCCACGGCGAAGCTCTCGGATCGCGGCCCGCCGCTGCTGGGCCTAGTGCCAGCCTTTGCGGTCCAGGCGCCCGCACAGTGGGATGCAGGGCGTCTTCTTTGGAGGTCAGCGGGTAACCCCTAGACTTAGTAATTCCCAGCCACCCGGTTCCTTGGCTTTTTTTTTGGGGGGGGGGGTTAGTAGTGCGGGGTTCCATTGAACCCACGTTAAACTTTAGCAGAGATCTGAGGACAGCCGGTTGAGGTTGTGTGTGTTTGTTGCTTCCCTTTGGCTGGGGAACCAAAAGACTGCCAAGGAGTGGTCTATCGTGCGCTTTAGGATGGACTCATGGTAGTTTATTCTTGGCCATGTTGCCAACTCATGCGATAGAATGGATACTCAACTCGCTGGAAACAGATGCTTGGGTTTTTTCCTCTTGGATGAAGTGGGTTTGGAAATAGTTATTTATAAAGTTCCTGTTTATTCCCTGATGAGAAGCAGCAGCCTGGCCGACGATCATAGCCGTGGACCATGATCCGCTTTAAGAGGATGGCAGTCTTCCAAAACCCTCCTTTCAGCTTCCATGATTGTTGGAAATGCGGGTTAATTAACGCTTCTGGGCTATTTGAAGGGCAAACTAAAGGAAACCAGCCACACCCCAAAAGCCGGACAGGTCCCTTGAGCCAAACCCCTTGGAAGCTCAGTGGGCCATGGTTGTGGTTCCCTTGAGAGGGGTTTCGCTACTGTTTTCTTCCCGCAAAAGATGTCCATGACCCAATTGGTGTTTTGACCAGGGCACGGCACAGAGATCGGAGTAGGGGCAGGGTGCTGGGTAAGCGTTTCGATGGTTACCCACTTAGGGGATTTGGGACCATGGCGCATGGGTTGTAACTCCACGGTTGCTAGCTGATTATTGGGACCCGCTCAGGGAGGAAAGGACTTAATAAAAGGGACTCCTTTGGGGGATTCCAAGGTGCGCCATTGACCTCTAATAACCAGGCTGCCACGGTGATACCGCAGATGAACGCCCAAGCAGTTGCGAACACGATTTGGGCCAGCGCAAAGCTGGTGGATTCCCACCGCGAGCTGCTGGCCTTGCTTCCCGCGCTCGCTGGCAGGACAAAGGAACCCCGGTGGCATCGGTTTCCCCTTTTGAAGCGATGTGGCCTTTCTCAAAATAGGGGACGCCTAGAAGTTGGTTGATTCCTCGTGGCTTTCCTGTGGAACCATCCCAAAAAGGAGCCCGCCACTTTGAGAAAACCCCCCTCATCTGGGCGTAGAAGTCATCTTCAGTGAAGAGGAGTTTGTGTCCCCCGCGTGTTCTGGGCAGCTAAGGATTTGATGACACGGATGGATGCTCAAAATACCGTGAACATCATTTGGTCCACAGCGAAGTTGTCTGAAGAGCCTTCGGGTGGTTCGCTGCTTGCATTGCTGCCCTTATTGGTGAACTGCTGCCACCGTGTCATGCCGCAGATGAACTCCCAGGCTGTGGCCAACACTTTTTGGGCCACCGCGAAGCTGTCGGAAGAGTCTGTTAGCACTGCCCTGCCGGCCTTATTGCCCGGTTTAGCCGACCAGGCTAGGCATGTAGCACCAAAGATGAATGCCCAAGACGTCGCGAACACAATTTGGGCTGCAGCAAAGCTCTCCGAGGAATCAGTGGGCGACTCACTTGTGTCCGTGCTGCAGGTTCTGGCAGGACAGGCAAGAAGAGTTATTCCTGGAATGAACTCGCAGCAGGTTGCAAATATGGCTTGGGCGATTGCAAAGCTTTCGGAAGGGTCTGTAGGATCTTCCATGCTCTTTCCTTTGCTGCCTCTGTTGGCTGACCAAGCACGCAAGACGATACCAGACATGAACGCGCAGGAAGCGTCAAACCTGGCCTGGGGCATGGCCAAGCTTTCTGATTCAGAGGCATCCTTGTTGGCTGTGCTGCCTTCCTTGGTGATTCGCCTAGGGCAGGTCATGTCACGACTGAATGCGCGAGAGGTGGCCAATACCATTTGGGCCGCGGGACGACTCGTAGAGCGCCCGGCCGGCCGAGCATTGCCTGCCTTGATGCCCTGGCTGATGCGACGCGCCAAGGAGACCATGCTGGACACGAGCGCCTACTCCAAGGGCTGTGGATAATTTCCGGCCGGATGTCGCTCATGAACTCGCCGTGAAGATTTTGGGATCAGACTGGGTCCACCGTAGTGGCAGGAAGTCACCAAAATATCAAGCTGGGACCTTGCAACTGCCAGCGCGCATGAATTTGCCGGCAATGGCGAGGACTGGAACCAGCGGAAGAGTGCAAAGAAAGGTTATCGGTCCTGACAAGGCTTCTCAGCCATCGCACTCCCGTTCATGAATTGCAGCAGCGCACCGCACTCTGACTTCAAGTAGGCCTGCAACCGGAGCAGGCGTGACCTCGATTCCGAGCACATGGGCCAAGGTGTATTGGGCGGCGATATGCCGTGAAGTGCCATGCAAGGGTGGTTGGGTGAAGTAAGCAGCGGATAGCAATTTGGATATCAACCGCTTTGACACTGCATTGGCAGCTTCGTCATTGATCTTTGGCAAGATTCACTTTCAACATCTGGGCGCTTCGAGATGAGAGACTTCAAAAAAAGCACGTGCCCCTGACATCCACTTCGCAGGCCAGTCTGCGGGTAGCGCCGCAGATGAACGGCTTGTAATGGTGGCAGCCCATGCTTGAACAGGGTCGTTCAGCGGGTCATCGATTTTGACTTGGGACCTGAGATGTCCAATTTGTTTCTTGTTGCCAGTGCAACTCTGAACATGCCGGCTCACCATGCCGTTGGCAGGACCGATTCCTCCCAATGACTTTGGAGGCGGGGGGCCAACACGGGTGAAGGTTCGCACTTTCACGTGCAGTAAGGACATATAGAAAGGATGTAGCCTTTGGTTGACGTGCAACAAGTTCAACAAGCGCATCATTCTCTTATTGCTGCCTTCCAGTAGCTTCTGTAGTCTGAAAGGAGTGCGGGCACTTGCATTTCAAAACCTCTGGCCACATGCCTTGGTGACCAAATTGACACTGGCACCTTGCTAAGTTCTGGGTCCTTCTGCACAAAGCAAATTTGCGGCGTGGGGGGCCAGCTAGCAGAACTGGTTCATCCACATATATGTTTGCCGCTCGTCACTGCTGTTTACACAAGTTCTAGATGAGAAAACCTGATGGCTGGCGGACATTGCGCGGAGCTCTTTTTTTGTGCGCATCGGTTGAAGACTGGTTCACCTTTCTTCTGAAAGAGACATGGTTTCAGAGGGCACTTGAGCTCCACTTCAACTATTGCGGGCATAATGCTTAGATTCACACGGTTTCAGAAGGCACTTGAGATTTTTGGTAATTGCGGGCATGATGCCTGGAGCCTGGTCATACGCACAAAATTGTCAGTTCGCATGGCCCAATTGAAACACAAACAAACTATCTGAATCTATTTGCCTACACACAATCGCATGAAACCTGTATACACTTATCTATGTCGGCGTGACCCCAAAAGAAACGCAGATCCACATCCATTTGCCAGGGCCATCCTGTGTTGCTGCACCTGGGCGGCACTACCTGGCGCGCGGAGAATCGGCTGCTACATGCAGAGAGTTCAGGCGGGAATCGGGGGTGTCTCGACCTGCGCTCGCCTCTTTGGAACCACGGCCACAGCAGCGGCGTTTATGCGTTTTGCCGCCATGGCCTTTGAGCATGAACTTGGGTGAGCTGGTGTTGCACACTTGGTACGTGGTTGATAGCATGTGGGGTACCAGTGTTTGATTGACTTGGGGCCATGCTTATAGCCTATTCACTAAGTGGACTGAAGATGTGTGTGCGTATGTTGTTGTTTGTCTTTGTTGCTTATTTGTACTATACATGTACTTGGCAAAAAAAAACATCCAAGGCCTCTTTGCCCAGCTCCTTAGTCTCTGGAGGGCACTGTGAAGCGTGTGACCTGGGCGACGCATTGGGCGACCACACGCTGCTGTTGAGGGTTTGCCCTTGAAAAGGGTCCTTTCTCGGATTCTTTGAGCTTTGTGAACCCAGATGACAGGCCTTGTGAACCTGAAGCGGCAGACAGGCAGCGTCAATCTTGTGTGGGTGAATTATAGCTTCATACAGTCGTTTGGGCAGATGTGTGACAGGGATCCAAGGGTGGCTTGGAAGGTTACTGTTTGCTTCTTGGATTAGTCGTCGTGATTTTGGGTTGGCAAGCGATCAGTTTGCTCCCTGGTGCTTCCCCGTTCTGGCCAAGCGATCGCGGACACGGGAAAGGGAGGCCTTTGCCTGTGGGTCCCACAACTCAGCACCGCCAATTTTGCATTGGCTCACTCATTTACCATTTACCCAGTGATCTTGCGGTTCTCGGGTACGCGCCGCGCCATTGCGTTTCAACCGGGTTTCAGGCGATAGGGGTGTTATACAATTTGCGAGGATATTCGGACCCTCGCTTGGGGTCAAGAAGCATGATTTGCATGTGTTTCCAAAACCAGGGCAAAGTTCAGCAACGTGTGTCTTAAGCTACACGTTTCGCAGTACCAACGTTCAGCACCAACTTGCCGTTAAATCTGTAACGGACCCCGGTTACAGTCAACTCCGGATTGACCAACTTGGCAGGAACACCTCCAACATATTTGAAGGTTCGGCCCAAGGTGGCCACTTCAATGGGGCAGTGATGCTCAAATTTACCGAAGTTTCCTTTCTGCACCAGCTCCCACCCGCAGTATGCCAACAGGCCAAGACACAGATACCAGTCTTGCTAAGTGTGGGCGCCCTAAGGTCGGATTTTGATTGCCCCAAATCTATCCAAACCTGTGCCAGCATGCTTGCAGGACCATGCAGGGCGTATATTGCTAATCCTGCCAGAGAACGTCAAAAAGGAGATGATATTTTGTTCAGAGCAAAAACATGACGCCCGGCACTCATGCCATGCACCTGAAATAACCTACGTTCCATAAATTCTGGTGCAGCCAGGAATGCGGACTCTGTGAAGTTTCATTCCAGGGAGGGGGGCAAACCTCTGAGAGCTCGCAGTTTCTCATGGTGGTTGGGGGATCAATCCTAATTGAATGCTTGGTCTTGAGATGCCTGGTAGGCATCGCGTTTCGTCGCACCATGTGCTTGAACGACAAGGCCGGCCTGGACAAGTCGTCGTTGTGTCAAAATTGTAGCCCTTTCTTCGACAGCTGCAAGAAGAACTGCCAGGAGACAAAAGTTCCATCCTGAATGATGACATGCTTGTCACAAGGGCAACACAGGAAGCGAAACCATGCGGCGAGTTGCCACGGGTTGATTTCAGCAAGTGTGTGCATCAAAGGCGACGTAAAGTATCCAACCCACATTCCAAATCTGAAGTCATACGCCGAATTGTAGCCATGGCCCAGTCTGCCTAGCATTCGACCCAGGTATTCAAGCATGTTCTTTTACACGGCTTCCCTTTCCCTCCCAGAAATCGCAGCAACCTTCTCGCTTGAGGCAATATACTTTTTAATCCGCTGTGGCGAGGCTGGGTGAAGGAAATAAGGCTGGGCCTTCTTGCCACCAGGGGTACGAAGGGGGATTATATGTTGAGGGCTGGCGCCCCAGCAGATGCACGTCAACTGGGTCCAAGCAAAGAAACCTGCAACCTCAAGGGCGACCAGTTGCACAGACGAGCATCATTCTACCACGTTGCATCAAGAAACCCGGCTGAAGAAGTTCTGTGCAGAAGGCTTCATGTTGAAATCTGTTTGGTGTCTTTCCAACCGTTGGGATTTTGCCTTGTGGCAACCATCCGCGCTCCAGTTGGAGAGCCTGACCCTGCCTTGGGGCTCCACGGTGGAAGCCGACGACGAGGGAGAGGGCTGGGTCAAGGTCAACGCACCTCGGCTGACTCAACGTGACGTCGAGTCGCATGGCCCGTGAGCTTATCTGTTTTCAGGGGTCAACGTCAGCATCGGGGACTTCCCATGAAGCCCACCCCTTGAACCAGCTTTCGGGGTGATCAATGGGTGAGTCCGGAGCCACCACGGATATCAACCCGTGCTTTGCCTGGGAGGAAGCCACACAGCTCAGGCTCACGGCTACATGGCCCTCATCACCGAGTGCAGCCTGGCCGCATTGCGACCAAGGCCAAAGGCCACATTAACTGGCCTAGCAGTTCTAAACTCGACAAATCAAGCAGACGTGGCCCTCTGAGCTATGAAGTTGGACGTGGAGCTTTGGCTGGTAGCTTTTCACTGCAAGCTAGAAGGATGCCGGTTGCCCGAAGACCGCATTGCACCTTTTTTGCCAAATGCAGGGAAACATGCAGGTCTCCCAAGGAAGTTTTCTAGTTGTTTTTGGTGACATGCAAGATGCCCAATTTGCGACCGAGTGTCGACTTTCGGTCAATACAACGTGTTGAGTGAGTCATGCCACCCCGGGTTAGGTTGCAGGGAAACTAACAAATAATTATATATATATAACATGTTTAATGTCAGACTTGTTACATGTTTGTTGATATAGCTTGGTTACCAGCCTGGCTATTCAGAGGTAAAGGCGCTACGAGGAGATAGGGGGAGGCTACATCGGGCAGATTAGCGATTGTCTACGGCATGCATCCCTCGACGGACTTGCGAATATCCGAAATTTTGTTCGTGCCAATCGGCACAAGACTAACCCGTTGGACCTTAGAATCTCATGCCATTCCTGCTGAAGACTTTTCCTTTCATGTAGGCCAGTCCGGCCCTTCCTCCATGGGCTGCTTGCTTTGACCAGCACTTGCGGTTCACTCCATGTTCACGGGGCCTCGTGTTCCGGAACCTGTGGCCACTGGCGGGGGTTGTGGTTGCTTCCAATACCGGCTCCGCACTTTGGCCCCTTCAGTTGCCAATGCTTTTAAGCTTTACTTTTGTTGCCCCCGTCCGAGCCACCGAGCAACCACCAAGCACACTGCAGGAAAGCCTCAGGTTTCCCACTGGAGCACATTGCCTTAGACTGGTTTTGAAGGGTTGTCATCGGGCGTCGGACATTCATGGAAATTCGAGATTCAATATCGTGCCAACCGGCAATGTCTTCCTTTCAGCGTCCACCGGGACTGTTATAACATGTCTGTAGCAGAGGTGACCGCGTGCTTGACGCCCCTCCCCTCATGCAGTTTGTGGTGGTTCTGAAGCGCCTTATGGCCTGTGAGGCGCGTTTGCATCGGGGTGCAGGGCTCAGGGGTAAAGTGTAGGGGCTTGATCTCACGTGAGGCTGTTATGTTATTCTTAGGGGGGATACCCTCAGAAACGCTGGGTGGACATGCTCGAATAATGACCAGCGGGCCATCGAAACAGATTGATGCCAGACAGGCTCGGGGCACAAAATCACGCGCTATGTTGACTCCTCCCGAGAGACTGCCAATCCTTGAGGTTGCCCTCCTCTCACACCTCCTTTGCTTTGGAGCTTCGGATTCAGGACGTGACTGGTGCTCTTCTGATGACTGCTGCATCCGCCTATTGAATCGCCCGACGCCAAACCAAAAAACGCGAAGTATCAGGCCAGCAAGCCAATATGAAGACACGAGCCGCAGCCAAAGCACGATGAACACCCGGGATACGCATGGCTCAGCATTGGCAACCATAGGTGTCCTGTTAGGTCAGTTTGGTTGAACATGGATGCCACTGGTTTCACTTTGGTTCTCATCATTTAACCAGTGCCATCGCTTTTTCCATCAGGACACCTCGGCGAGGATAAGTTTCGGTGGTTCTTGTGTGGGATCAATAGACCCCCGCATCAATTAAAAGCAAACAAAAAAAATGGACGGAAGCTGATGTTTGCAACATTGTTCCGAGAACCACTTCTTTGTGCACAAGCGTTCGTGTTCAGACCCCTTTTTGTTTCATGCGATATATTTGCCTATAAGTTGCAGTGGCTTGGAATCCTGCACTCACTTACATGCCTCTCCGGACCATCGTCCCGCTTGGGGGGGCTTTTCACCCGTAGCATCACGCTCCGTCAACCGCTGCCATTTTGGCTTTGCAGGGGCGCATGGACACGGATTGGTACGTGGACAGGTTGAACCTTTGGATTCCCTTGACCTGTTTGCTGTTTTGGGAGCCGTCCAGAGGTTTTTTGTTTCTTGCCCGAAGCAAACATCAAGCATTGGACAAGCCAACCAATGCGTAACCGTTTGTCAGCATGTTCGTTCACTGATTGTGTCTCCTGCGCTCTTTGGCAATCAGTGCAAGTTGGGCCTATGATATGCCCAGGGTTTGATATCAAGGAAGGAAGGCACAGCATCAAACATGGCGGAGCAAGAGCTCGTATCTTAACGGTTGCTGCATGTTTCTGCTCATGACAGCGAGTGAGCCAAGAACTGGCCACCATGAAGCAAAGCGCCTGCTATTCAAGACAGGAAGCTTACACAAACAACAATGCCCGTTGTTAACTCCTTTACCGAGTCCTGCTGACAAGTTGCAGATGGGAGAACGTGAAGCACAGGCGAATCAGCTACAAGCGCGTTCATCCAGCCAGCTATGACGAATGAGGACTCCGACTCGCCTACCTTGGCATCAGAACGTCTAGGCGCCATTGCAGTCGTTGCATCGAAGGGATGGTTCCAAACGTCCCTGGAGGTGTTGACTATGCATTGAAACTGAGGCGAGATCATTCAATCAGGACACATTATACTGACCTGAAGGAGGCCTTGCGAACGGACACGTGAAGATTCCTTTCCTAGGGGTTCCCTCATTTCAGGTTGATGAAGTGTAACTGACCCAAGTATGGCTGGAACGTAAGGAAAGGATGTTGAGCTCGGAATGGAGCCGTTTCCCTGAATCGACTTGAGTCTCTTCAGCATTGGGGTAGGGCAAGGTTCTGCATCATTCTCCTTATTATTGCGCTGGGCTATTTTGGCCCTTGCCGCTTTGTGCTAGGCCCTTGATAGGTTGCCGAAGATGTGAAGTGTTTTCGGGGATGGCAAGCAGGCGACCGGGTGCTGGAGGGCTGGTGGAAGCTTGTTGCGAGCGAGACGTGCGAATTTCCAGACATCGAATCACCCTCTCCATGTCATAAACTGACTGGACCGATGAAGGCTACAGGTTCTCACAAGTCCCCATTTGCAGCAAGAGTTTGCCTCAATGTGCATCATTGGCCGAGGTTGCCAGTCGGGTAAAAGCTGCTAGTGTTCAAGCCGTTCCTGGCGGAGCAGACGTACTTGTCACATTGCCGAGGTAAATAGGGTTGGTCCATAGTCTATGCACTGATATCCGCACATTCCAGAACAATCCTGCCGCGCGTGCATGTCGTTGCCATGCGCTACTGCGCTACTTTCAGCGCATGGCCGGCACTTTCTCGACACATCAGTTGTTCAGTGGCATGGGTTGTCTCCCCTTGCTCCCAGTTGGCTCTACCGTGGCCACGGCCTCAAGCAAAACCGCCGAAACCGTGCGCCGTTCGCCACTGCACTGGCAGGGCACTGGATCATCAGCCTGGACGGCAAAAGCTCGAGCTGGGTCATCTCTGAGACCAAGAAGTTCTGGAAGCTCAGGGACGGCAAGGTGGTGCAGCAGCTTGGCCAGCGAGCGACCTTTGGACGGTTGGAGCCGGACGTTGGGGTGCCTCCAAAAAGTGAGGCATCCCACGGAAAGGGATGCCCCCCACTTAATCAATCAGCGGTTTGTAGAATGATGTGTTTAGAGGCTGGCAAGATCTACATTGTAGGTGACAGGAAGCCAGGGCAACAAGGTCCAGTAGGGAAGCACGGATGTTGTCCATACAAGAAGGTTTGATCTTGGCGTGTGCACGGGAAGCGGGGCTGGACATGAAAATGTGCATCAGCCCCCCCCCACCCCAAATGAGGGCATCTATCTTGTATTGTTGTTTTAATCCTGCGCTTAGGCCTCCCCAGCGCACAGAGGGTGATGTTCCACAGTCTGCTCAGTCTGTTCTCAAAGCAGGCCATCAGATGGCTGAAGCATTGCCCTGCACCACTTGAAGACGCCGATGAACATATTCTATGGTTTCCGGTTTGAGGGTGGGGGCGGGGGAGGGATCTGCACGGATGATGGGGAGCCCATGTGGAACCCTTATCTCAGTTTTGTGACTTACATCGCTGGTTTGTAGCTGTCCTGGCGTCAAGTTCAGGTAGCGCATTGGTTGGACCAAGCTGGCAGGCAAGCATTCAGATGTCAATTGATGTAAGCATCGCCGTCCACATGGTTCTCCTAAGGTTTGGTCGCTTCTCAGGTTGTTGCACTTCCGGTGTACGTAGGCGCATTTTTACAGTGGATCCACCGGTTGGGTTTTCACAACTGGCAGGTGGTATGTTTGTTCTTGAGATCCTTGCCTCGCTGGTTGGCAGAAAGCGTTTACCGGCATGGGCCTTTCGGAGCAGCGTGGGGCGCCCGAGGGCAGAAGGCCACCGGGCACAAAGTCGCCTCAGGGATTTGGTTCGGACGTTGATTTCAGCCAGGGTGAGGGTTCCTGCCTGAGGGGGTCCCTTTCTTATTCTTGTTTTTTTAAAGTTTTCAGGTATCCAGCGGAAATAATGAACAGTGGCCGTCTTTGAGGGGGCGATGTTCCTGAGCAGCAAGGGATTGTGATAGTTTGTTGATGGGCTTGGGCACGCGGTTTGCTAGAGAGCCCTACCTGAACGACGCATGGTCGGGCCTTCTTCCTTTCAAAGTGCTACATGCATCGGTGTCCCTGTGGGTCAGTTTGACCAAACGTTCAATCCGACGGCGCTGGTTTCAGTTGGGTTCTTGTCATCAATGAGTGTCATCCAGCCAAGGAAAGCTTCCCTTGGGAAGAAGTGGCAGTGGTCAGATCGGCCGCCACAGTCGGTGTCTCCAAGCCGCTTGGCCGTGTTTTTTTTTTTTTTTTTTTTTTTTTTTTGTTGCCAGGATGTCAACATTATAGGGCCAACGGGTTGTTGCTTTGTGATTGTGGGGTTGCCTGGGTTGCTCAAAAGCCATCCTGAATCATCCCTCCGATTTAACAGCCCACATTCTACACAGCATCGCGCAGCTTGAGCCTACATTCAAGCTGGGATGAGACACGTTGACAGGTGTGATTGCGTGCAGAAAACTCAAGCAAGGGAGCCGGGTCCCTGCATCTGTGTTTGTGGCATATGTCGGCCGCGTACAAAAATATGAGTCCATATGAGTCCTTGAATCTTGTGGCCTGTTCACATGCTACAAGTGTTTCTGACTCCGGTTCCGGTCAGTTCTAGAGGGCCCGGATGTTGAACTCGCCTGAGGGCTGGCCGTAGATCAGGGTTTGATTGCGAAATCCAGCTGGCTGTCAGGGCTGGTTTGACAGGGGCTGGAAACCTGGAGTCCGACTTGTGGTGCAGGTATCATGCACATTGCTGCGCTCTCCTGCCAAATTGGCTTCCGGCAGTGGCGGAGTGCAACAGGTAAAGCAAGGTAGCAGCAGATCTAGCGCGCTTGAGTGGTGTACCAGTGTTTACTTTGGGGCTTGCATGTGTTTTGTTTTGCTGATCGCATGGCGAGCTTTAGCAAACAAGCCTTGGCCTGCGTCGCCCAATCAGCATGTTTAGTGATCAGTTACGCCCTAGGTTGTCCTGCACCAGCTTCCGTGTGCAAAACGCGGCACTGGTTGCTTCCGCAGCTTGATTTGGAGCCCTGTTCTCAGAATCAGCGGCGTACGGAGGCTTGACTTGGCTTCTGAACCTAGGCCTGCTCAAGTAATACATTCCTGCGGGTGTGTGTGTGTGGTTGCCAGGGATGGGTAGACAGGGGTTCCCCCTGGCCAGGTGGCTATCTTGACCCAGGTTTAACCTCCGCTTGACTCACAGATATCAACGGCTTCGGGCTGAGGCTCGGTTCCTTCAGCCTGCCCCTCCCCTGAGCTTAGCTTTCAGCTTCCGCCGGGCGCTTGTGGGCTTCACGGGTGCAGGGAGTGGCTTTGACATCACTCAAAACGGGTATGTGTGAAATGGGGTGGCGGGGCCTGCAGGGATTGTCCGAACAAAGGGGATCACGTCATGGTCCTCGGGTGGTGCGATTCCAGAGGCAACTCCAAGTGGCAAGTTGCATACCTTCATGTTGATTGTCGTTTGATGAATCCACTGAATTTCACGGAGGGATTTCTCGTTTTGAGACTCAAGGCGCAGCTTCTGGCTGCCATCAGGTCGGTCGATCCCATGGAGCCAAGGATCAAGTGTTCAAGCGTTCAAGTGTTGGTCAAGAGCGCTAAGGGAAACCCTTGTCAAACGACAGGGATGACATAGGATGACTTACTTTGGTATCACTGGCGCGCTGATCCATTCTCAGGCCCAGCTACTCGGGCAAGGCCAGGGCTTCTGCGCGACGCCAGAGAGAGGGCCGAATGGATCCACTAGTTAGGTTGCCGGCTCGACTCAAATCACGTCTTTACTCGCCCTTTGGCACTTCAAGGTGCCACTGGGTCTATATCCTCTTTTGGATTTGTTTTAAAGTGGAGGTCAACAAGAAACACACCAGTTTTGGTGTGCCATAGCATGCCCCCTGTTTTGAGTAGTGCTTGGAGGCTCATGTTTGTCATGCTTTCTGGGTCTCCTCCAGTATTATTGTACATTTGAAGGCTGACGAAATATGACACATATTCTGAGAGACTATGATTGTTGGTGTTCCCGACAATCGGGCTTGAGATTCTTGGATTTGCGGCCAGTGACAGGAAAGTCAAACTGATTTGTCAGCACATTAAGCTTAGCGCTCTTCACTGCGGGCTACAGCATTTCTTGCAGCACGGCATGGCGCGCACGGGCAGGAATCGACCGCGTAGCCTGTCAAGGCAAACTGTAATTGAGAAACAAAGCGACGTGCAAAGAGAGAAGAAGGCAGCAGGATTTCAATTTCCGTGTTGGTACTGGGCCCTCAGGAACGGGGAAGGAATGGCGCACCCTAGTCACACTCGGCCTTGCAGGCCCGGCTGGGGGTGATCATTCGTGGCATGGGAGGCGCTGATGGGGAGGATGGGTGCTGGTAGCCGGTTTCATGTTATGGCACATTGTGGTGTGAGCATGACGCCTTTGAAGAGGCGAGAGCATCATCAGTTTCAGAATCTGTCAGAGTGTTGAAGCCAGCAAGTTGGCTTCAGGGATTATGTCCAGCGTGTAGGGCGCTCAAGATCAACCATTGGAAACCCACCACTGTGCTGCCCGCGTTAAAGAAAGCCCTGAGCGTCTGCTCTGCGGGCAGCCAGGCATGGGCCGTTCCAGACCACTTGCGCCATTCCCTCATGCCACTTATGCGTGTCACTTGGCTTCGTACGCGAACAGTGCTAGTTTCCCGGGTCTGTTTGAATTGTCCGCTAAAAACAGAGGACTCGTTCATTTGGGTAAGTGGCGAGCGCATATTTTGACCGTGGCTCATTTGGCCCTGGATGCGCACGCAACATGTTCTCAGTATCGTTTTGACCCCTTGAGGGGCCCTTGGCCTGCTGGAGGTACGGCCATAGTTTGCAAACCTTCGGTTTGGAAGACTGCACCTTGGCCAGTGGAACCAAACAGCTTCGGGCTGCTTGACGCAGAGGTCACCGCCAACCATGCTCTTCTTGCGTTGGCCTGTTGTTTGACATGCCCATCAAATGCAAACCAAACAAGTGAGAACAGCCTTTTTGGACAGGCCTGTTGGCAGCCCAAAATCCAGCTGATTTTGTGTTGTGTATTCCTCACCTGCAACTTATCGCAGTGTGTTGATGCTCACCATGCTTGCTTCAGCGTGAACATTGTTCGTCTGAAAAGAGCTGCCACCGCAGACGTCGCGTGTCGTTCTGGCGGCGCACGCGCTCGCGCTCGCATCGAAGGCGCCAGCTGGGGCCGGGCGGTGGCGGAAGAGCCCAGCTGCTGGCACCTGGACACAGGGCACATGGCCAAGAAGTGTGCGGAGAACCTGCGCCTCGCCTTTTGTGGGTTGTCCTTTATGTGGGATAGTCGGTGTAGGATGTGTTTCTTAGGGACTCTCCCATGTAGATAGATGATAATATCTATTTATATATGTGTGTGACATAAGATTGTGTCTTGTTGCTTTCACAAGATGTGGGACGCTACTGTGCTTGCGGGGACTTGTTCAATTGACTGCCACGTCATATCACAACCACATACCCTTATTCCTTTAGCCTCCCGGAGGAGTTTCCTTCCCTGGCCCCAGGGCACCCAAAAGGCAGTGGTCCATTGATCCTTCATGTGCGGACGTGCGAAAGCAGCTTCCAATCATAACCTGGGTAGCGGCTGAACAGCATGCCAATGCGGAAGTTCTACTTCAACCCGCTTAAGGGACGGACCAACCAACCATCCACTTGCAAACTTGGCTGGCCCAAGTATGGGGTTTGCGTGGGGGTGGGGGGGGGGGAATGGGTACTAGACCCACCCCAGCCTGCCATCCTTAGGCTGTGGCGATGGGATGATGCCTTAGAGCTTGAGCTGGAGTTGGCAGGCGGGGGCACGGCAGAAGGTGCGGCTTTTGGATTTGTTCTGCGGCGTCCAAACATGGAAAGGACCTCCTTTTCTTGTGTTGGTGACCAGGAGAAACCAACCACTAGTAGGTTTTCTTTTGAAAATCAACTTGTTTAATTAGTGGGAATGTGCCAAACTTGGGAACACCTTGTGGGATTGATTGTGATTAGCAAGGCTATCAGGAGAGGTGCGTATTTCTGACACACCGCCACGTGATGGGTTCGTTGGATCAAGTAGCCCAGTGATGATCCTTGACGCGAGTTTGTCCCTGGAAGGTGGGCCAGGAAAGTTTCTTATCAATCAGAACGGTTTGCAACCGCGCCGCCTGAATTCTATGTAGGCGGTCTTTCTGACTGATCCTGGACTTGTGATCTACAAACCGGGCGCGGTACAAAACCTCGCGATGAAGACAATGATGCGAAGGATTTGATGATGACTTTCGAATTTGGTGACTGCTTTTTCACCGTGCTGTGTGTTGAGTGAATGGTCAGCTGGGTAAGCCTTGTTGGAAGCGCGAGGGCGAAGCAGCAACCTTGTCCCAACCGATAGCTATAGCGAGAACCTTTGTCAGCATACTTGAATCAACTTGGCTTGCGCTCCCTTTGCACACTAAATGCTTTGGCAGCCGAAACGGAACACGCGTCAAATACGTAGTCCCCTGCAAGTTGAGCGAGTTGCTACGATTTGCCTAATCTTCTTTGAACCTGGCGTTTTCAGTTTCATCTCTCGCCCAAGCATGAACTATGTGTGTTCGATTTTCATTTGGCTAATTTATTTATTTCCCAAAATGTGTGTCCTGAAACTGTTTTGCCAGTTGTTGAGTTGTACTTTCAAACTGCCTTCCTGCGTGTTAAGCCAATTTTCTTTTGAATAGCCTCCCAAGTGCCTTCAAACTGCTGGCCATTCCAATTTCCAATTGCCTTCCAGGCCCATGTTCTTCCTTCTTTGTTACCTGGTTGGCTTAGTTTGCGTCACTACCATTCTTAGCATCCATGGTGCTCCTCCACCTCCTGCCCAACAAAGAGACCAAATTGCGTTCAAAGGGCATCGTCATCGGTCTTGACTTTTTGAAGGTACAGTTTTCAGGTTGGTCTAAGTCTAAAGGGAAACCAACAGAAATCCAGTATGTCGGGTCGTACCCTATCCAAACATGCGCGCCAATATGATCTCCCGCTGACGCGTGGATCATCAGAGTCCATACTGCACTTCGAAAGATCTAAGCAACGTGAAAGATGCGATTCGCTCCAGGTGCTTCTCGCAGAGGCTGTCCTGAAATCTGAGAAATCAGTTGCAGAAATGCCTATCGGAAGTCCTACTCTCTGGACCAGGCAAAGGCTTCTAGGATCCCGAGAAAGGAAACAAACATGTCAATCCGTGGGGACTTGGCCTTGGCTATCGCAAGATCCCGTTCTTCAATGTTATGGCTGCGCATGTGTTGCCTTGGTTGCTGCTGATTTCAATTTCTGACCCCCACCCTCGGAGCCAGCCTTGTCCGCAGCAGGGCTTCCAGATGATGAGGCAGGCCGAGGGTGGGGATGGGTGGGGTCTAACTTTGCCGGTGGAGATGTTATGGGAACTTAGGGGCGAATTGGTGGATGACTTGGTGTTGGCCCGCGTTTTCAGATGGCCTCAATTCTTCCAACCAGGCCTACGTTTGGGGGTCGGCCTTTGTTGCACCATTTTGCTAGATGTTCGTCTAGTTTTTGTGTTCCCCGCCGCGCAATAACTTTTACCGTGTTTCCTACCCCCTGATTCCGCAGGGAGAATTGTTTTGTTTTGAGCGCTTCTGGGTATATCCATCCTTTTGTACATGCTATCCAAGATTGCTGGCAAGTCCTTCAACGATAGGCTCTGAGCAACCAAGTTGTCAATGTCCAGTATGATGAGGAGAGAAATGCTTCCAGGAGCCTTCAAAGCACAAGGGGTGGTTCATGAGCTTTTTATGGGGTCCAAGTATGTTTGCAGCAAGTGCTCACCTGCCATCATGAGCATGGTTTTCCACCCCCAGCACGGGTTCCTTTTTCAACGCTGACCACTTGAAGGAACCTCATGACCGCTCGCTGATGAGCAGTTTCTGCGGGAGCGCTCATTGAGCGCAAGCACCCCATGGCCCTCAAGGCGTTTTGCTTCCAGTTTGCATCCCTGGATGCGAGAGTCCATTCCAAATGCCGCCAGCCGTGGATCGCCCAGGCCGCCTCACTCTGGGAGGGCTTGCCCCAGGCTTCGGGGGAGTGGGGCAGCACCAGCACCAGCACCAGCAGCACCAGCAGCACCAGCACCAGCACCAGCACCACCACCACCATCATTATCACCACCACAACCAGCAACAACGACTACACCAACACCAACACCAACACCAACACCACCACCACCAGCACCACCACCAACAACAACAACAGCAGCAGCAGCACCAACAACACCAACACCAACACCAACACCAACACCAACAACCACAACCACAACCACAACCACAATCACAACCACAACCACAACCACAACAACAACCACACCAACACCAACGCCAACGCCAACGCCAACGCCAACGCCAACGCCAACGCCAACGCCAACACCAACACCAACACCAACACCGTTCCGCAAAACAACAAGTGAACTATCCCGTGGTTGATTCTTGTCGCTTGCCAGGAGACAAATCAAAGCTGCATCACTTTTTTCGATCCCAACTCGTGTCTACGTGATTTGGTTGATGCGAGGGGTGGCATCATGGTCACATCAAATAGCCCCCTGCTCCATGGCAGGGACTGATTCTACTTCGTAACTTGACGGTACCAAATCCTTGCAGAATTCCGGCTCGCTCCACTCTTGCTGGATTCGTGGATTCTTGTTCTTCCGCTCCAGGATTTCACACGGAAGAACCAACACCTTGCTGATTTCGGGCTCCAGATTCCTATTCTCGGCGAGATTCCTCATGGAATTGCTCATCCCCTGCTGAGTTCCCACTTTCCTGTTGCGAATCTTGCGGGTTCTTACTCCAACACTTCTGGGTCCCTTTTCCTTTCAATTCATTGCCTGGCCCTACCTTTCGATCCCTTTAAGTTGATATGCAATCAACCAAACAATGCTGGTTCAGGGTGCTGGCCTGCTCATCCCGCCAGGAAAAGTTGACACAGCCGTGGCCAGTTTCTACATTTGTTTCGCAGGGGCTATGCTGAGGGCTTGGGCCTCCATAGGTGCTGAGGGGCAACGTGGCACAAAACACGGATGACGAACAGGTATCTCTGATGGAAATCGCGTGGTCCGTTTCCCTTGTCAAGATATGCCAAAGTGGTCTCAAAAAGCGGAACAGGACAGTCGGACAAGCCTGATTGGGAAGAGTCAGGCCCAAAGACTCCTGGACCTTCCATGGGTCCTAATGCAGCTGTGGCAATACCTGTTGATTCTCAAGTGATGCCCTTCCGGAAATGAACCACCAGTGAGTCTAATTCATGTACTTGTTTGCGTGGGTACTCAGTGCTTGAACCTTTGGAAGGCTTTCTACAAAGGGAAGAAAGGCCGGGGGTCTTGGCACTCCCGATCCCTATTGTTGAATTCGACACAGGCCCACTGTGACATCTCTCAGGTCATTTGTTGTGCACTGTAAGGGACATAGTGGCAAAGTGATTTATTGACGCACGCTTTCCCCTTTTTCCTTAGTGGCGTTCCCCAGTTCGAAAAGGTTAGCTCCGAAAAGGGTTCCCTTTCGACTAGGTTCACTGCACAGTGTAGCTTAGGGGGCAAGCGGAACCCAGAGAACCCCTTGCTTGGTGGCTCCCAGCCATCCCCTCAGCTTTTTAGTCTTTTGGGTTTAGTGGGGGGGCCCACTAAAGCATGTGGGATTTGCCTGTGCTCGGTTGCTTTCTGCTCCAGTTTTAAAAGTTTAATTAACTTTTAGATTTTTAGTGGTTTAATACGGAAAACCCATTGGGCAAAAAGTCATTCAGTCCTAACATCCCTTGGCAAAATGCACCAAAGTATGCACAAGAGTTGTGCTTTTCTTCATGAAGCTAGTAAAAAGCGTTTTGGAGCCGGAACCTACACCGTGTTTTGGGCGAGAAATGAACGAGGGAAACCTGAAGAGCTTCTCCACAATTCAGAGGCACCCGAAAAACTGGGCTGCCCGTTTTCAGATCCCTGATAAGAGTGCAGTCAGGCCATGCTGCTGCACTGCTGCGGCTACCTCTCCCTGCGTAGCGCGCTGCCGGTGGCGGCGACCTGCCGACGCTACACGGAGCACTTGGCGAAGGCCGTGCCCGTGGAACTGCCGCCCCCGCAGGCGAGACCTCCCGTTGGGGTGCCTGGGGATCGCGTCATGCCAAAACGCGGGGATCCTTATTTCCAACAAGCATGGAAGTGGACAGGGGCCCTTCCCAAAAGGAAAGTAGGCTTCCAAAACCCTCCTGTCAGCTTCCACTATGGGAGGGAGGGTGACACAAACTGGCTTTGCCCCGCATTTCGGCATATTTCGGTTGAGTTTTTGTACATTGACACGCGCGATCCAGGCAGAGTGCCCACCACGGCCCGCCAAGAGTAGCATTGGCTTTGGGAGTTTGGCTTCGACGTGAAGAATCCGTGCGAGGGTTGTACATTTGTAGGCAGTTGTCAGTCCTGCAGCACCGCTGCAACAACTGAATTCCAAGTGGGAAGTTGCAAACGCGAGTCTTCTTGAATTGTTCGGGTCGGCCGCAAGTCTTCGAAGTCATTTGTCCAGGACATCTCTAAACAAGCTCTCCCAGCAATGTCTTCGCGCAGGTCTGTTTGAGAAATCTCTCTCAGCAATGTTTGTGAACAATATGTTTGAGCAATATCTCTGATCTTTCCGAGAAATCGTTTGAGCAAACTGTATGGCAATCTCTTTGTGCAATCTTTCTGGCGATCTCTTGGTGGCACTCCGTGTCATCTCTCAGGGGGAAGTTGCTCAGAAGAATGCTTTGCTTTGCTTTCCAGAAGAACCGGGCCAAAAGAGTAACACCCGCATTTCGCCTGGCAATGGCGCAGCTTCCATGGTGAGCTACCCGCCAGCATGGTGGACTTCTTTCTCTGCGCTTTTCCGCTCATGGCCACTGTGTTTCAAGCATCATCCAACAGATGTTTCCTTTTTCAGTCGGCCCTTGGATTCCGAGCATCCGGCAAACCAAAAGGGCCCAAGGCCTTGTAGCGTTCGGCTACGCTTATGGTGGGCAATCCCAGGCACACACCATAGAACTGGTTTTGACTAAGAATCAAGATAAATACACCCGGCGATACGAATGAGAAATACAACTCCGAATGCAGCAACAGGCTGCCCAAAGAAAAGCCTTTGGGCTGCCAACGACAGCAACTTCAGCCTATGCACGGCCAACTCACCCTGCCATGGCTTCAGATCACCCCGCAACAAACACAACAAACACTGCGCCCAAACAAGAACATGGCCACTTCCCCACCTCGTCACCGTCCAGTCACTATGCCCTGAACCCAAATCGGCCTCCACCATTCAAAGGACACATGTGGACTCTTGGCCCTGCAAAGGCGACTCTTTGGTTTGCGAGGCCCTTGGACACCTAAGAGGCGTATTTGCGCGAAGCGTCGGCACGTGAAGTGGCAGGTGGACGCTTTGCTGGAGTTCTGCTTGCTTCAAGTTCTCCTTGCGCGGGCCTTGGAAGTTGGCTGTGGCCAGCTGACATGCATGAGGCATCAGCCAGTAGGCCTGACCCAGCCATGTCGCTTTGGAGCGCCCAGCCAAGAGATTGTCCAATCCCGAGCCAGAGCCTGCTTGGGCTGAGAGTTGGCGCAGCTGTTGCGTGCCCATTCCTATCACAATATCTCCCTGCCAACCTTCTGGGTAGATATGTTCAGTGTTTGCAAATCCCTGTGCGATGCCAGTTTAGGTTTTGAAGTGTTGGAACAGTGACCAAGTCTCCGTGTAGCGCGACCAGGGCTTCGACGAGGAGCGGCTGCCATTGCCAGTGACGGCGATCTACGCGGAGATGCGGGGGGCAGCCAAGCGCGCGGTGGCCCCTTGGCCAAGGACGCCGCACACCGGGCAAGCGAGGTGGCCACCTCTGAAGTTCCCGGTTTCGGAGCTTCCCTCTGGCTGGAAGCGCCATTTGTGCAGATGCGATCCTCAACGTTTGGGATTCCAACTGTGGCAATGCACAAAAAACAGGGGCTTGTCATCATACTACGCCAGACGCTGACGCATCATGGCAAGAAACAACAACTGAGTCGAGAGAGACAAAGGAAGATGTTCAAGAAAGGGCTTTGTCATCCCCCCCAAATGATCAGGGCCAAATGCTCGAGCATAGGTGTGGCTGCTGGGCTGGGTCCCACCCTCTACGTTGCACATGCAAAGGTCAGTTTGCAGAAGGTTGTCCCGATGCACAGGCTATTGGGGTTCCACTCAACACAGGAGTCGGGAAACTATGTCACAAGGCAAACTTCAACGCGCTGAGCAGGGATGTCCAGGGTCGGCAGGGACATGACAACGGTGCTTCTTGGGTGGACCTTAGGATCAGCTTTGGCAAGTGGTTAGGAGCAGAACCTTCAGTGAATATGCGATCACCGATCATGATGAAACGCTTTCTGCAGGCTAACAGCAAGACGGAGTCAGGTTAAGCAAACAAGGCACGCAAACGGGCCTGGCGCACGCTTCTTGGTAGGATCACCTCGTAGAGATACAGGCTGGCGCCACTACGCGGGTGCCAGCCACTTCAAAGATGCGGGCGAGCACGCCTGGTGGCAAAATAAGCCCTCCCTGATTTCAGTTGTTGGAATTATTCCCGAAACTGAGGGTTTATGAAACGTGGAGCTTGGATTCCGGATGGCGCCTTAGGTCAATGCGGAGGCCCGACTTCGTCTGGAGTCAACGGTGCTGCAAACGGTGGGCGTTTCGGACTGCAGGGCAGATATTTTCTGTTTGTTTCCCTGTGTGCCACGTACTCCTAGTTGCCCATGCGAAGCAAAATCCAAAGCGACTATAGGAACCCAAATCTAAAGCGGTACAGCAGTTGTCCAGGATGCGAGTTCCGGACCTCAAGTAATTGAACAACCCCACAGCTATCAAACGTAGCAGTTTCCTAAACGCTTGAAGTCAACCTACCATGGGGGGGGCACTTGCTGGGCAATGGTTGATTCTTGCTGCACTTAGGTCTGATCAGTCACCACTAGCTACACTGGCCATGCAGGCAATCAGCAATATGTCAGCGCTTCCTGGCCCATCCTTCGGCACCAAGGTCGCAGTTGCAAAGCGCAACAGAAGGACCTGCTGGATGGTTTTGCAGACGGCGGGGGTGATGTATGCGGTCGAGGGAAGTGGCCCCTTCAACGAGAAGCCGGAGTCAGGGTTGCTTCAAACAGTCAACAGTTGACCAACACCCAATGGTAGAGCAGCACATGGTTTCGTTTTTGGCTTTAGTCATGCGTTTCACCTTTGGTATATATATATATATATTGGCGTAGCTTTGATAGTTGTTGTCCATTGCTTGGTGGGGAGTAAGGTCGCTTTCGCAGGGCGGGTTTCCGAAGAACCTTGTGCACACGGATGTAGGCTGTGCGTTCCTGGGCGTCCCTTCATGCATTGCAAAACCCTTCAGCAATCTCAAGCAAGCTGTCGCCCGGTTGCAATCGCTGAATTCTTGTTAGTTTCGTGTGTTGTTTGAGGATTGGCTCCGCAAGTTTGTGAGGTGTTGTAGGCGAAATTGATACGCTGGTACATGGACACCGGGGCCCCTTGTGGGTTCTGCATGCATTTGACAATCAAGCCCTGACTTGATCGACTTGCACAGGCTGCAGGCGCCATTTGGAAACTGAATGACAGGCGGTACCTATGGTCACGGCACTGGCTTCCCTGCCCGGTTCAGAGGTACCCAGCCCCCGAAGTGGGTACTTGGCTCTCAGACAAAGACCGGACACCGCATGAGTTGCCCGCTGCTGGGAGGTCAATGCTGGAAACTGCTCCCCTCAATGAAAACACGTTCTTACCAGCTGCCAATGCTTTGCTGACACTTTGACGGCATGTTTGCCTTTTGGGGTATACGGAATTTGTTCGACTTGTCGCTTGATCTCATGCAGCTCCGTTGAAAGGATAGGACACAGGGTTATGGGTCAAAATTTAACCACCAGGGGACCGCAGGTTAAAGTCCTTGGTTCCATTTACCAGGGTTCCATTTTGGGTACCCATTTTTGACCCACAGCCACATAGTCAGAGGCATAGCCAAACCAAGGATTAGAGCATTAATTCTGTTATAGCTGTTTCCACTTCTGGGCTGTAGCTCCCACAAACTGTCATCACAGCTAAAGGAAGACATGTTTTTGGGGCTTTGTTTCTTGCTGTTTCGACACGTCTCCACGTGTTGATCTACAATCGGCGTTTCTGACAGGCCGGAGCCACCCGCATCACGTGTCCTGGATGCCGGCCTCTTGGCAGGTTGGCCATAGAGATAGCGGGTATTATGGTCTACTCACCTTCGTTCTCAGGAACCGGTGCTTTGGGGTCACGCTGACTTACCGTTGCGCCTGAGACGAATCTAGGGGCAGATGTGTGCACGACTACTGAATGTGGTGGGCCACGCGTCTTTGGCCACTCAGCCGAGGGAATCATCTTCCCAGCTTTGACAATCCGGCAGGGTAGTTACCCATGCTGGCGCTAATTATCCTATGCCTATATACTAGCCCTAATTCGAGTGATCATGTCCGAGGACTCTCCAATCTAGGTGTTGGGTATACAAGTTTACTCTTCACCGCCATTTCAAGCGGGTCATTTGAGAGCACAGTGACCAAAGGGGCTCCAAATGGAGGGGGTTCACGGGTCAAAATCAGTGGTGTCCCTGGAAGCCAATGGGGTGCCCGCAAGAGATCACCCCTATTGCACTGATTTTACAGGGGAATCATCAGAAACCAGGGCTTCTTAGGTGCGAAATGGATTGTGTGACCGCTTTTTTTCGCCTTTTGCGGGGTTTCCGAATTTAGATCACCCCTATCGCACTCAGAATGGGAAATTCGAATCCGACGACTTGGAATCAACGAAGGATGTGAAGAGCTCCTGCCACCGCAGCCTGGAGCGAATGGCCAAGCACTTCCACAGCACCAACCTCATCGAGGCATCTGGGGATGGTTGGGTGGGGGGGGTTTGGGGGGTTGCGTAGCCTGCTGCCCGAGAACGGCAAAAAAGGGAGGACCCCTTCAAAAGAAAACCCGCAAAAATCGCCGAACGAGAATGAAGGGATCCCCCAAAAGTGCAGGAACCCTTTCCAAGTGGAGCTCTGTTGGCCATCATGTTTGGTGTGCGCAAGTTTTGCCTGTGAGGACGTGGTAGCGGAACATGTTTGAATCCCAGGTGTGGCTTTGAACAATCACCAAGTCAGGGAGTTGGCTGCAAGTGTCAGTCGCATACACTGAACGATGGCTCCTGCCCAGGTGACAAAGCAACGCTGGCACAAGCGGATCCACCACAGCATCCTGGCCGCAACTTAGGGGGTCGCTCCAAGCTTAGGATCCGAAGACAAGGCGTGGCTGACCCAACATGTCATACTCCCGCCGACACCCTACACATCCCCATCCCCTTCAGTCTTTCCCTGAGGTATGTGATTGGGGGGGGGGGCAGTGCCAGCCCCCCCTCCTGCACTTGTATGCTTTGTGACAAACATCACAAACCGATGCGGCTGAGGCGTGGTCCTAAATGAAAGGCGAACCCACAATCGTGTGATGTATCCAATATGCTCATTGGTAGACCCCGGGGTTTTTCTGCATTACACTCCAACGTCTTAGATGCCATTGCAGGACGTTCATTTTAATTGGACTGGAAGCGCATGGCGCACACGGAGGGAAAACAGCAGACCAGCGTCTTCACAGGAAGTTGTTTCAGACCCTGTGAGTTTTAGCAGTCGGATTCTCACTTCTTTGTCAAGGAGTTGTCGTGGCTGCATGGGCAATTTTGCTGTTGCTTTCCCAAAAGGCCTCAAAAAAGGCTCAAGCGCTTCCCACCAGCGCTTGGCCATGCTTTTTGTCCCCTCTCAGGTCCCAACACGCGGACCTGCACCGAACTTCTGCTCATCGGCGTCAATCGGACGCACCCACTTTTCCAAGAGCATGAGGCTGGGCTCCAGGACTGGGCCACTTTGACTTCAAACGGTTTTTTCAGCCGCCATTTTTATGTGTGAAAATTCGACGGCCCGTTGATCTCCTCGGCGGCCAGGGCAGGCGATGGGCTTGGCCGGGCGCAAGTCGTGCTTGGGCCCTGCTTGCTGGCTTGTGGCCGTGCCAGTCTGGGTCGGGAGCGTGCGCAGGTTGCAAGGTTGAGGCAGGAATTGCAAATTTGCAGGCGTTGATTGCAGCAGTTGCGAAAATGTTGTTTAGCATGGGGCGGGGACTGGGGCAAGCCGTGCGATAAGAAGATCCAGGGCTCGACAAATGGATGACATTGACCGTGGTGAAGATTGTGGTCTTCGCATTGTTTACTTGGTATTTGAGCAATATTCAAATATTCACGAGCTCCGGTTGAACCGCGCAACCCCACGGTATTTAGCGCTGAGTCTAAGTTAGGTTGAAACAGTGTTCCAGTGAGCGGCCACTGTCTATAAAGGCAGCGTGGATGAGGCTAAGCGCCCAGATTGAAATCCAAGTGGCATGTGTGAATATAGCCCTCCCCGAGCAAATGCACTTGTACTTGTGGGGTGTTCCGTTGTTGTTCTACATGAAGGTGCCGGATTGTGGCGAGGTATCAGGACATATTTGAAACGGTCTTTGATTTCATGTTGCAAAATGCCTCAGTTGCTGCGAGGGTGGGGAGGCTGTCGCCCAAGAAGCATACCTGTATGTCTGTGATGTGATGTCCATGCTGTTAGGCAGCACAGCAGCCGCCCGCAGTCCAGGTTGAACATCCCAAGTAGGCGTACTTGCCCGAAAACTGACACATGCGCCAAGATCAATGCAAGTGCTTATTTGGGATACGAGGAGAGGCTCATGAACCCTCCAGTACGGACTCTGGTCATGATTCCTCAGCGTCACTGATGCGGCAAGCAACATGGAAAAGGCTCACCACGGGCGTATCCGACAAAGTTTCAACTTCCGCAGTTGCACAAGGTACATTGGTGAAGTTGAACTACCAGAGTAAATTGCTGTGAGAAATGGACACCTTTTCTTGGTCGCCTTCCTGGAAAAAATATCCCAGGGCCGTCCACCCGCGCTGAGCATTTGTCCCAATTCCGCGAGGCTTGGGCACTCCACACCGAGCCGGGGACCCGACGCGAACCGGGAGCCCTTGGACTCGTTGAGTGCGTGGTTCTAAGGGCTGGTGGTGAGATGTGGAGACGACACACCGGTTGATGGAAGAGGGCGTGGTTTAGGGTTTAGAGGCGTGTGAGGTTGGTTGGCTTGTCCTGGCTGTTCGGGTGTTCGGGTGCTGGGGTGCGGGTGAAGCAACGATGATAATTAGCCACTCTTGCAAGTGAAGGGTTCGCAAAGATCTCAGACCGCCGGTTTTTGATCTGCATATTCTGCATGCAATAGAGTATGCAAGGCTTGCAACTATCCGCGTTGCATGGGACCAGTGAAGGGCACGTGCAGCGTACGTGCAGGTTTTGGGCCACATCACCGGTCTTTGAGAAGCCCAAATTTAGGTTTGTCAGTTTTGGTTTGTGCAGCATCCTCTCATTGAGCAGCCCACATCACTACGCAGGGTGATCAGCGCCTGCAGTTGGGTAGATGCCCAACGCGAGATTTTGCTTCGGGGTGCAATTCTTGTGAGGCCAGGAATGGCCTAACACGGCCTCGTTGCCTCCTGCTTCTGACCACAGCCCAGGCCTCGGCGCAAGTCCAATCTTCCCTGACTGGGTGAATTGGTGGAGCAGCGGCGAAGCTTGAGAGGCAGGAAACGGATGCTTTCGGTGGAAGGCTCAGCGAAGCATCATTGAAATCTGTTTGCAGTCTGGGTAATTGAAACTCATAAGCTGAGATTGTGAGCTTCCGCAAGACGCAACGGCAAGGGACGATAGAGCAAACAGCAGCAGGGCCGACAAGTGGCTCACTGCCTACACGTTTCCAGTCGTGCTGCGGACACCTTCTTCGCAGCAGCACCACACTCCAAAGCCGAATTTGGGACGCAGACCGTGACGTGGCATCATTGCGTCATCCCAACAAGTGCCTGCACCTTTGCGATGTCAGATCGACATGAAGTTTTGAGCAGCTGGAGTCTAACATGTGTTTCCGACACTTCCGCCTCTGCTTTTGCCGCTGTGCGCTCGCATGTTCTGCTGAGCCAAGCTCCAAATCCCAAGATGCAAAGCGTGGGGCTGCCACCTGCCGTTGTAATAAAGCAGGTGGTGCATGTGTGTTTTGGGGAATTTTGTGCGATGAAGCATTTCAACACTGTTGGCGGAATGCATTAACACAACTGCATTCTGAGGAGGCCTGGCCTTGGAATGATTGACATTGGCCCGCCCAACCCTCGCAGTTGGTGACTTGCCTGGTTGCAAGTCTCTTTGCGTGACCAGGGCAGCATTTAAGCCACTATGGTTGGCTGATGGCTTCGGCATGAGTGGGGGTCATGTCATGCGCTTTGCGTACATCTTGTTCGATGGAGATAGCTGCATGGCAACTGGTCAAATGATCAGAGGCTCAGCGAGCACGTTTGTGTGAATTAAGAGATGCTGCCGGATGGTCGGCCCAGCGCGCGGCACGAGCCTAAGCACACACACACACACACATACAACCATCTAATACGCCAGTGCTTCATCGATCTCCGATGGGTGCATGTGACATGCAAATGGCGAGATTTGACACTTCAACCGTGCCTCGGCCACTTGCCAGCTTCGCGCCTGATAGGCGCAAGACAATCCAGGGTTACTCTTTCAGAATGCGGCTCTGGTCGTTGGGTCGGAATTTGGGCGATCGGGTAGTCGGGGTGCTTTTCTTTCCGCAAAGGTCTACGCCCCCAACTTCTGAATGAAACCTCCCAAGACCCCCAGAGTACTTGCCCCGCCTCGTCTAGGTCCTCCAGTTGATTGCAACGCACGGTTGCAGATTGACAGGGGGGGACTTCCATTTCCATGGCGCTGATTGGCTCTTTTGTCTAGCGCGTACCCAATCAGGGTCCACGTTTGCCCTTCTGCATTTGCTTATAAACCCGTTTCATGTCATCTTTACTCCATCCAAATTGATTTCTCTGCCATCCTTCTCTTCCTGAATTCAATCACACACACACACACACACACACGCGTCCTCCTCGGTGGCTCCTTTCAGGTGGTACTCGTAGAGGCAGCAGGTGAGCCATCTTGTAGTTCGGAAGTTGAACATTTTGACTGGCTTGCCCGGCTTTCTAGGGTGTGTGTTGGGCTTAGAGGCCAAGCCCAGAAACTGCCAAAGCCAAAAATGGGGAGTCTGGGAAGCTCCGGGGTCGAGGATAGACGCTCAGTTGCAAACTCGACGTCCTTCGGCTTTTGGCCCCCTCATCACTTCCGGATCTCAAGAAGGTAAGCCCTAGGGAGCCTCCCTAGAAGTAAAGGGTGAATCATAGATTTTGTCAGCTTCACTTGCGCCATATCACCCGCTGTGAATCCTAGCCGCCTCAGCTTCTGCTTTCATTTTCCCGTCCGCTTGGTGCACAGTTTGAGTCCCAACTGGACAAACCCCCAGCCTGCCCCGTGCAATGCTCCGGCCATCGAACGCTCCGTCTGGCTAACAGCTGATACCATCAGATGACACGGCTGCAGTCATATTGAGGTAGCGGCGCAGGACGCGTGAATGCCCCCCAACAAAAACGCTTTTGATGTGCCAACACAAGAGCTTCAACATGTGGAGAGTGGGTACTTCAAGGGTCTGTGTACGTGCCAGGGAGTGGTTTAGACAGGGAACGCAGCGTCACGGAATGCCCTTGAGGCCGTGATGGCAGCAGGGTTTTGCCGAGTTTCTACCATGCACCAATTTGTGACATGCACAGACACACAAATATAGACATACACATACGTAATATATATAGACATATACATATATAGACATATACACACCACGCTTGCGCGTGAATGAACAGGCATATGGATGCTTTCACTAGCCAAACAAATGGTGGCAGGCACATTGGAGATGGGTGTCGTACGGGGGCCCATCAAAAAAATACCGCGAGGGAAAGTGGGCACTCGACATATCTAAATGACGCTCCCCGGACCCCTAAGAAGGACGCCCGCCTGAGAGTTGCAGTGCAGAACCCAGATGCGCTATGTCGGACGACCCCTGTACATTGGCAGCTTCCTTGCTGCAGGCCTGAGCTTCGTTGCTTGTCGGCTTGGTCGGACTGCCACAAAGCGTTGTGGGAGTCGAGGGCCTTGATGTAGGTTGGTTCATGCTAGAAGGCCGGTTTGTACTCAAGCTATGGCACCTGATATGCCAGAGGCTGGAAAGAGTCCCAAGTGAGCGCTGCTTTTGAGTTCTGATTGAAGGCTGGATCACAAGGTCACCTCAGGCAGCTTCCTGTTGGTTTTTTCACGCAGAAAGTGTGCGCTTTTAGCTTGTTCGTGTGTGTGTGTGGGTTGCCTTCGTTCCTTCCATGCATTCGTGTGTGCGTGCGTGCGTGCGTGCGTGCGTGCGTGCGTGCGTGCGTGCGTGCGTGCGTGCGTGCGTGCGTGCGTGCGTGTGTTTGCTTGTGTGTCTGCTTGCTTGTGTGTTTGCTTGCTTGTTTGCTTGCCTGCCTGCTTGCTTGCTTGCTTGCTTGCTTTCTTCCTTGTTTGTTTGTTTGCTTGTTTGTTTTGTTTGTTTGTTTTGTTTGTTTGTTTGTTTGTTTGTTTGTGCAAATGTATTTGTTTGTTTGCTTTGTTTGGGCTTTCATCAAGGCCCACGTTGGAGCCAGTTTTTCCTCTTGTCGGCAGGCCACCCCAGGACACCCACCACATCCATCCAAGAGTGCACCTTTTTCCTTGGTCATACTTGGTGGCCGCATGTGTCTTCTTTTATCATTAGTGAGTTATGCTTGCCATGAATTGGATCATGCCATGCTACTGCACCTTGCAATGCCTCAGACTCAACCAGAAGCCCGGGGTTCCTCTCAGAAAAGTTCTGCTTTCAGAAAAGCTCTGCTTTCTGGGGATGCCTGATCTTGACCATGGCGTTTTGGGAAGACTGCTTATGAGCACAGGCGTCAGCTGCCAAGATAGTATTATATACTTCCTCGCTTCCGCAGCTAATCAGAGGTGACCACTTATTGTTTTGTGAGCTTTGTGAGTTTCTTTATTTGATAGAGGTTCCAACGTCAATGTGGATCTGGTTCGTACTGCATAGGCATACTGTTCAGATTTTGGGTGAAATGCCTCAACTATGGTCGAAATCAATGGACATCATGTCACCAAAGTGGGCGCCCCAGGAATGCCACACCTAGGTTGTCAAAGCCGGAACTGACGTTGAAGACGGTCAAATCACGGGGCCAACAATAGATTCCACCTCGTCTTCAGGAGGCGCAAGCGGGCAATCAGCACGCGGTGCTTGAGACGCTGACAGCTCCTGGGCAAGCCTGGGCATAAGTTCTGTTTGGCTGGCCAATGCTTGCCAAATGGGCCCAACAATGGCGCAAGACAATCCATTTGATACCGTTGGGGAATCCTGGGTATCAGTATATCAGTCTTAGATTAGGCCCTTTGGCTTAAACATTTTGTTCCTCTAAGCTTGGAAGTGGAGCGCGAGCTAATTCAAGCCACAAGCGAGCTTGTGTTCCATCTCCAGGCTGATTTTTATAAGGCTACTGAGAGAGGGAGGAGGTCCGTGTGATTTTCAGAGCCAGGTCGCAGACAAAGAACTGTTGGGACGACAGAAGCTAAAGGCACTGCCGTGCTACAAGGCATCCAAAGGGGCAGCTTACATCTTTGCCCTGGACTGCAATGAGGGAGGAAGCAACTATTGAATTCCTAGGTTCGGTGTGGTTCGGTTTAGAGTTTGGGGTTGACCAAGGAAGGCTCGATGCCGGATTTGCTTCTGAGGCGCTCATCCGGGTGGATAGCTCCCCTGTGTGGCGGACGCTCCGAGCGCGCCTGCGGCTGGAGAAAGGAGAAGATGCCTGCGAAGATGCGCAGGAGGCGGTGAAGTTAGCACCCAGGACCAGGAAATCCGTGTTTTTGGTGGGTATTTGGCCAACTTCCTGTAGAAATTTGTGTAGCCGGTGTCCATGGCGGGGGCCCATTTTTACATTGATTCAAATCGAAGTCTACGTTGGCATCACACAAAGGTATATTTTGAAGTACTGCCCAAAAGGGTTTGCACGCCCGGTTCAGATGGTCAGATGTTGGTGAGTTGTTCGGAGGTGCCTCCCCTTCCACTTGAACTTGACATTTTCCACTAAACAGGACCTGCCTGATGCTGTGCATGTTTTGCTCGAGTAAGCCAAGTTTGAGCTAGTGCCACGTAGTGATTTGTTGCATTTTTCCTTATGAGGGAATCAGAGGCACGGGCGTGATTCCTTTCAGGCATGCGCCGAAATTCACAATCATGAGCAAGTCATCTATCGCCCCTCTTGCGCGTTAGGCTGTTCAAGTGTTGCAAACCTATTGCTTTGGCATGTATCCGACGCTTATAAAGTTGAAGCTCGTTTGCCGGGCGCTGTCCGGCCTCCAGGGACGCTCGCTCAGGAGCCCAGAGGCCCTGACGTTGCGCCTCCTCGCGCTGGACGCGCAGCATGGGGACGCGAGGAGTTCAGAGGTTCTGGAGCTCGACGAGGCTTTAGCAGCGCATCCAACGGACCGAGGGTTTAGGGGTGGAGCAAAGTGTGAGGAAGGTGAGTGGCCAGCTGGCTTTTTTCTTTGCTTGACTTGTGCAAGGGCCGTTGCTTGAATAGCAAGTGTTTGTGCCCCTTTGGTATCCAGGACCAACATGCCTATGAAAGAGCAGCATCATGCCACATGCTGTTGCATGTGAGCATGTTTGATAGCAAGATCATTGGCTATCCAAGCCAGGTGGCATCGGCCGGATCGCAGTGCAAGCAGGCTTCAATTTGGTGCACGTGACGCATCTCATATCTTGAGATATATAAAGCAGGATGAACGTGCTGGGTTGCATGCTTTCTTGTTGCGGCCAAACTGGTGGCATGCCACATGTACGCTTTAAACATGGGGGACCCCTCAAGCTGGTTGGTTTCCTTTCGTTGTCCTTGACAAGGGCAGCACACCCATGTGTCATGCCAACTCCGCGCGACTCTTTTGCACGGGAGGCTTCTTGCTATGCCGGCGAGGCAATTGATGGTCTTATTCCTAGTGGACCAACCTGCCGGGTAAGGGGAAGAGCGTGGGCCCTATCTCACTTGTTCAGTTGTTTGTCTTTATGTTTATTCTAAGTGTTGTGGGAACGAAGCCCCCACACCATTCTATACAAGATATCGGCAGCTACAAAGGTTGATCCCCCTGCTCCAAGCGGTTTCACTGAAAGTGAACCGGGTCTCTCTTACTGGGTTCCCCTTTGATTCACGAGGGCAGTGTTGGTCACGACACCCAAGAGATCAACTTCAAGGCGCCGGGGCCATGTCTCGCAGGACGCGCAGCGTGCCGAGTTGGATGCCTTGGCGCAGCGCCAAGCAAAGCCCCGGCCTTAATTAAGGCCAGGAAGCAAGGCTCATGGGTGGTTTGCTTGGAACATCTTGGAACGTTGGGACATGGAACGCCCTCAGCGGTAGACCCTCTTTCCAATGGAAGAGGATGGAGGGGGTTCCCAACAAGGAAAGGCTTGCACAACCTTCCTGTCATCTTCCGTGATTGTTGGAGGCAGGGAAGTCGTTTCATAAATCCAGGCATGCAAGCTAGGAAGCCACAAGGAAATCACAAGTTCAGTTGATTTTGCCAGACCCCTACGAATCACCTGATACGAAGCTGATTTGAAGGGCGCGGCACAATGCAGGCGTTGTGGATGACTCTTTGATGAGTCGTAGCACTGGACAGGGCGGGCGGGAATTTTGCTGAAATACATGATAAGCATTTCATGTCAGGCTTCTCCAGTAAGTGCTAAATGAATGCTCGGATGCGTTTTGTGCAATACTTATGAGTTACAGGGCCATGCCCCTCCGAATTGAATCAGCATATTGTGTTTGCACTTGGGCTTCGTCCCACGGGCGACAGGCATTGGGCCACGGAGGCGGTACTGGGTGACCAGACATGCTCCTTTTCATTTTAAAGGCTGCCGTATGTCAGCGAGAAGAAGTCCCCGCATGATGACTTTGGAACCGGACCCCTTGCGATTTGTCCTTGTTGTTCGGCCAAGAAAGGTCCCCCCCTTTTTGGTACCATTCGGGCCACAAACAAGCAGACTCCGGTTTTCAGCCAGGCTCCCAGTGGAAACAGGGTTCGGACATACAACCAACTGGATCTTCCAGATGTAAAACACGGAAACACCGCGTCGGACCCGGGACCCGAGGCGCGCGGAGCCGGACATTTGCACTTTGGGCTCCCAGGCGACGGTGGCTTGGCGCCAGGGGCGCCTGGAAGAGGCGCTTCGGCGCTTTTCGCTGGGACGGGGGGAGGGTGGGCTGGGGGCGGGGGGGGGGGGCTGCTTCGTGGACAGCTGGGGCGATGTCTGTCGCCACCTCCAAGAGAGGGAAGTTGTTATTTCGCTCACGGCACCAGACTGAAAAGGTCCAGTGATTCCTGGAACAATCCTTGGCACTTGTGTAACACGGCCATGTTGACAGGATCCTTAGTCCCGCTTCGAATTGGATTCGATTCGATTTTTGCCCATCCAGCGCCTGTCACTTGGGTTCGCCTTGCGTGCGAGGCCAAGGGGCTCTTTGCGCAGCTCCTGGTGCGGGACCCCACCTCCACCTTGTGGCCGGTGGCCTTTGCCAGGCAGCACTGGGGGGGTGGGGGGAGGAAAAGGTGGACAGGGGGGAACTTAGGGAGGGGGGTGGGGGGGGAAGCGGGGGTGCTGTATATGTGTGCGTTTCCCCGGGCACGGGGCTAATTGTTGGAATGGGATTGTGGGGTATTGTGGAGCACTTTCAGGAGAAGCACGCCATTAATTTGTCCCATACATCATACAGGGTTCCATGTTCTTTTGCCGCCAACACAAGCTTAAATCCCGGAAAGGTCGATTTGCCCAAGGCGAAACCCCTGGGTTGAGTCTACCTTGCAGGCAATCAGCAGATTTACAAAGAAGCTTTGACCTTCCAGGGCCTCATATGAAGGTCCCTTCCGGCGGGATTCCTAAATTTCTAGCAATCTTGATGCTGGAAACCGCTCCCCCTTCAACTGGCTGGATCCGAATCAGTGGGCAACTTCGATGGGACATCATTACCCCTTTGCCAGGGGCACAGACATCAGTCCTTTCGTGCATGTTGCTTGGATGTTAGGACTTTAACTTTTTGCCAACTACTGCATTTTCTAGAACCACTAATAGTTAAATCTTTAGCAGGGGGAGTCACTAGTCGGAATCTTGGGCTGGCTGGCCGCAGGATCCATTTGGCAGAGGAGCACCCAGAAGAAGCCTTGAAGTTATGCACGGAGGCTTTGGCCCGGAGGCTCAGCGTGTGAAGTTCCGAGCCCATGGCACACCTGGCAACGCAGCCTGCGGGACGTGCGTTCCTTTCCGCGGCCGCGGTTTTGACAGATGTTTGGGGGTACTGGTTCAGGGTACTGGTGCAGGGGTGCAGTGAGACACCCGACGTTGGAAGTAAATCTGGGGCTTATGGAATGAAGCTGGGGTTCGTGGAGCAGCTATTTTGTGCTCAATTGTGGCGGTTGGCCGGCTACCAGCGACACGTGCATTGTTCTTGGCTTATCGCACCACATTGTTTAACAATGCTCATGGCCATGCGTCTCTGCTAAGGATTCTGCACGTCCGAGGTTCTTGAAAGCTCATTGGAGAGTAGTTGCCCTTAGGAGGAGAACCTAACATGAAACTACATGCAAAGTTTCCATCCTGCCAGATTTGATATAAGTTGGATGCGTCAGGATTAGCGGGTTCCCGTTGAGATCAACTTTCAAAGCAAGCCACTAAATCCATGTTTTTTTGACCCACAATAGTGCAGACCTCATGTTTTAGCCCATGGGGAGATGAAGCCCCTAAAAGGGTCCCCCTCAAGGAGAGAGGCATTGCAGGCCGTTTTCAATCAATGTGTCCGAGTTTGGATCCGTGCACAAGGCCCGCACAAGCTCGGGCCAAGCAGAGCTGTTGCTGGTCCGCGCGCTGGCGAACCGCAAGCTCGGCCACGAGGAGGAGGCGACACGAAACGCGTAACGCCCAGCTGCACCAAAGCTGTTGTTATGTTCGTACGTTATGCATGTATCCGTTACGCGATGTCAAACAACAACAATCTTGGGGGTTGCTTTGTGGCTCGCTTTGCTTGGGCGAAAAGGGGGCCTAACGGAGGGTGAACGTGCATTGACAAAGCGGGTATGTACATTAGGGGGCTGAAACGCACATGCTTTCTCGTTGCCCGTACTTTTCTGGTCGGGTCGGGCCGCTGTTTGTTGGAGCCAGCGCAAAACTGCCAAGACGGGGCAAGCAGGGCAAGCCTAACCCTGTTAGTGCAGGCATGATAGTGCGTGGTTGCTCACGTTTGTGTGGGATCAGAACATACATGGTTCCTTGACCTTTGATGGACCATTCATCAAGTTGCATGTTCAACTGCTATTCCCCAAAATGTTGAATTTGTTGTTTCTCGTAATCTCAGCCTCCCATCCTTCGAAAGAGCTTCAAGGAATGTGAGGATCTCTCCTGCTGGCCCTTGAGGCAGCAACTGGTAGTCCATTTCCCATAGGTGATTTTCTGCTGGAGGGGTGAGTCCCCTATTATGTCGGGAAAGAAGGTCATGAAGATGCGGCGATTGCATTAGCCTAAGGTTCCCACCTCCAAACTACCCCCAGATGCGCATGACACCGGAAGAAGGCCAATCCCTGCCGGAGCGCCAGGCCCGGGAGGACCTGCTGCGTGTCAAGACCCTGGGCGGCCTTGGCCGGGAGGCCGCCAAGGACCCGACCAACAAACAGCTAGCCAACCAAACCATACCACACCAACCAGCCCGGGAACAAAGACAATCAAGCACCAACACACACACAAACAATAACAAACACGAGCAAGCAATGAAACAAACAATAACAAGCACAAACAAACAATGAAACAAACAAAAACAAACAAAGCCACAAAGAAACAAACAATTAAACAATCAAACAAACAAACGAAGAAACAAGCAAGCAAGCAAGCAAGAAGCAAACAAACGAACGAACGAATAAACAAGCCAACAAGCCAACAAGCCAGCAAGCAAGCAAGCAAGGCAAGCAAGCAAGGCAGGCAAGCAAGCAAGGCAGGCAAGCAAGCAAGGCAGGCAAGCAAGCAATCAAGCAAGCAAGATGCGCAAGCATGCAGCCAGGCAAGCAGCCAAGACAAGCAGCCAAACACGCGCACAAACAAACAACGAAGAACACGCACAAAGCCACACAAGCAAGCAAACAAACAAGCAAACAGACAAGCAACAAGCAAACAATCAATCGAATACACATTAGCAAACAGCAACACACACACACAATGTCACTTGTTTAAGATGGTCCCGTTGAGTCCTTACTTGATTCAGGTGATTGCTGCTAGCAGGTCACAAACACGACCAATGATTCCCATTCATGAGGGAACTAGGCCCTAGGCTCTCTCAACGACGGCTTGCAGCTACTTCAGAGTGCGACGTGAACCTAGGCTCTCTAATTTGAAGACGAACCCATGTGATGAGAAAAAGAGACACCGCGCTGCTTGAGCTTGGCACAGCATTGCTACCTTTTCAGGAGCTGGATCACCTTCGTGGCGAGCTCTTCAGCTGCTCGGCCAGGTCAAGGGGAAATTGCCAGCCGTGGGGTCGCTGCTGGCCTGGGGGTGGCGTACTCTTCACCATCCTTTGGATGTGCTTCGCTTGCTTTCTTGCTGCGGGATGCGCGCTGAACGCAAAGCGCTTGCCATGACATACCCAGCGTGGGATAACTCCAATGTGGGATGTGTCGCCTGTCTGCGCGTGGTTTACGCGGGTAAGATTTGAAAAGCGTGATGCAAGTTCTGGCCATAGGTTGGGCCTTTGATTGCCACGGTTTGCTCGTGCTCAAGAAATTGGACCAACTCCCCCAAATAGTCTTGTTTGCTCATCCGAGAGGGGATCTTTTCTTCGGCTCGAACGTACCGTCACGTACCTCCAAGCTGAGACTGTCCATGGAGTTCCTGAATCAGCAGACATGCAAGCACCCCCCCCCATGCACATGATGTCCATCAATATTCCAGTTGGCATCAGCGGCAACCTCCGGAACCCATCTAACCTGCCGGGAGCTTTCAACACCTGCTGGGCCCCGGCGCTCCATGGAACGCAATGCAGAACCTGCCGGAGTCCAGATTCCTCCCAGCAACTGCTCCAGACTTCCCGAAACCTCCGAACCCGACCTCGCTGCTGACTCCGAAGCTCGGGGAGGTACCCATAGCTTTCAGGGAGTTTTGTTTTTTTCCCCGTGGGATTCCCCACAGGACCTGAGAGTCGGACGGTTGACACGAAGGACGACGCGCAGAAGGACGGGGAAGCTGCACTGAAGTGGCCCGGATTGATCCTGAAATATATATAGCGGGCTTTGGGGAAGCGAGCTCACGAAGGTCCTTCGCTGGGGCGTTCCGTCAATTCTAGCTTGGGAACCGTGGTCATTTGCCCGGCTTGATTCAACTGGCGCATTCTTGGGGGCATGCTCCCCCAAGAAAAACTAAGAAGGAGACGGATCTCTAAAATGTGACATGTGGCAGCTTCACTTGCGGCGAGTGGTCCGGCTGAGCGACGCATGGGAATCGGTACTGCATGCAGGGCCCCCAAGCGCTGGCCTATGAAACCTGATCCCCCCAGGCGAGCGAGACTCCTGCGCAGAGCTCAGAGGGGCTGGGCGCAGTTTCAAATCCGAAGTAATTATTGGGCCGTATGCGGTTTCTTTCCCCGCACGCACCTGTCAAGCTGGAAGGTCCGCGTTGTCGCAGCTCGCACTTGTGCGCCCGCACTTTGTATGAGCACCTACACTTGGTTGAGAGGCATCCTTCAAGTGGAAGGCTTGTGCCGTCGCAGAAATGGCTGTGAATCTTCCGGAACTCCCTCAGGGTGTTGGTTGGACATAACTCTCTGTGTATATCATGTCCACCAAAAGGGTCCCGATTTTTGAGTTCACACAGAACCCCCCCCAAAACAAAAACGAAGTCGCGCAGTCCTTTCAGAGCTCAGGTCCCGGAGCCCAATGTCACTTTCCAATAAACCCAGCGACAGGCCTGCGATTTTGGAGACGGGAGATGGCCAGTGCTTTGTATCCGGCCTACCCTTATGGATCGTATGGTTTCTTGTTTGTTGTTTTGGTTTGTCTCGGTCGAACATCGTTTGGGCCAGGCTAGCTTCAACAAGCAGCTTGTTGAAAGTTGCACTCGCAGCCACTTTTGATAAACAGGGTGACAAGAAGCATCCTGAGAGGGAAGTGTTCTAAGTGAAGACAGCATTAACCCCATTCAGGCGCTTGAACGCCCAGCGTAAAAGGAGGCCTTGCCGCCCAAGACATGTGCCTCGGCTTTTGCCACCCAAAAGCTAAGCGAGGCCAGTAAGTTCATTTCAGAACACTCTACCGTGCAGCCTTGTTTGGCTTTCTTGGTTGCGTTGGGTTTATTTTGGAGGCTACCTTGAAGCTTGCCAAAAGGGAAACGAAAAGGGAAACCACGTTCAAGGACCTCACACCTTAAGACACGGCGTTATTTGTCGACTGCCTTATTCCCACGTCCTGTGAGCTACGAAGCTTCCCGCTTCTAATTCAAACATCGAAGCAAACAGGTGTATGATTTGCAGTGATTCCATTCAACATGGGTAATCAGGGACACCACAAAACCACCACCCTTCAAAAGCCAAGAGCGCTGGTTCTCTTCTATGGTACTTGAATTGGGATTAAAGCGTTTGCCCACAGAATTTCAGCCCCAAACCCGCCAAAGGAAGAGGCCGCGTTTGGCCCTGGTTGGGCTTGGGGGCGGCCCAGGTGCCAAAGGAGCCCAATCCAGAGGCGCACTCGCTGTGGTTGTTTGCCCGGAAAGCGGGTCTGCGGCCATTGTCAAATCGTGATAACACATGGCAAACAGACATCTATATATCATATGTGCATAGATAAAAATCTGAACATGCCTTAGTACATGTCAGCAATTTGCAACACCCACGTCCTGTTTCGATCAACTCATGCACGCAGCGTCCCCGAATCTCGCCGGATTGTAAGGACTTCCATGTCGAGTTGGTATTTGGAGGCTTTGCCTGCTCTTTGTCGAATCCGCTTCGCAGAGGGCCGGACATTGTCTTGTGATCACAGGCGCCAAAGCAGAGCCAGGAGCCTAGAGGGCATCTGGTCGATTTGGGTCACCTCCCGCCTGTCATCAATGGGCGATTGGCTGAACCAGATTCAGCAGTTTGGTTCACCATTCAAAATACACGAGAAACCTGCTTCCTTGCCCCTGGTGGAGCAATTCAAGATTGCGCAGTAAATTTTGGCCATAGTCGACCGTTGCAAGTGTTTTCGCTTGAGTGCCACCCGGAGCAATCCAACGAATCTGCTGCAGCCCATTTCGGGACATGGATGCCCCATGAGATAGTTCATTTGCTTCCAAATGTTGGAAGCAGCTCCGTTGACTAGAAATTGGGCAGTGCCCGGCGAAAAGCCTCTCGGTTTTGGCTTGTCACTGCACGGCCTGGCAAGGTGTTCAGACTCCGGGAGTCCGGCACTTCAGTTTTGGAGCCACTTTACTTCCAATCCCTCCAAGTTGCGGATCATTCGTCCATCCCCCCCTGAAGCTCCCCCCCCGGACCGGGGTAGCCAAAGCCTTCCCCGCTGGGATGCGGAGCGCCCGGTGTGAGGCGCGCAGAACTGGGTGGCGCGTGCGCGCCTGGCGGAGCTCGAAGGGAACTTCCGGCTGGCCCGCAGTCACTGCGAGGAGGCCGGAAGAATAAGTCGCCGAACATCGAAGACTGTTCGGTGGTTTCTCAACAGAACGAGTGAATTGAATGGGGTTGAAGAAAACCAGGTTCCCCAATTTTGGGTGGCCCCTGTCAGTTTTGCAGATTTATATAAATGTATATATATAGATATATCGGATTGGGGCAGTCATTTCCTGTCCTCCCTCATTCCTGGGAGCTTGCATATTCGTGGGGAAGGGGAGGGTGGGGAGGGATGATCTGCAACGCTTTTGAAGAGTCATGAACTGTTCATACTGCTCATTTCTGTTGGTCCGTTGCATCGAGCAGGGTTGGAACATGCTGTGTAACTGTTCATGATAGCATCAGGTGATCAACAGAGTGTAACTGAACCAGTGGGGAGAGCCTATCACAATTACTTGGTTTTCCACCCGCTGTCCTTTTGGAACGACCGAGAGGAACCTTACCCCTGAAGGCCCTGGAGTTGGTGCCTCACATGCCGCAAGCCGTGCTGTGCTTGGCGCGCATGGAGCCTTGGCATATTCAGAAGCAGGTGTGCCTTCACCAGACTTGACGGGCAATCCCGTCATATGGGCCTTCTGTAGTGGTTTGCACTACATGCGACTTTGCCTGGACCAAGGCTGTTCGCGTATGCAAGGTTCAGGTGAGGTTGTGTGTTTTTTGTTTGTGGCGTCCGAATTTTACTCTTGGAAACAGCCTGCGGACTTTGTTTTGCACATGTTTGTTTCGACCATAATTCGGTTATGACCTACAGGCACCATCTTGTACTGTAGTGACTGTAGTGGCTAGTTTGCTCAAAGCCACCGTAGCTGGGCACTGTTGGTGCGCATGCTGTACAATGCCGAAGCAAGGCCACCTCTACTGACATGCCGGAACAGGCGGGCATCCCAACTCGCAGCATAGTATAGATGTAGTTAAGTAGCCCATCATTTGCAGAGTCCAAAAGGGAACCAGCCAGGCGATTTATTTCCATACACCGTATTTGACACCCGGCGGAACTTCAACTACATCTCATTTGCCGTTCGCCTAGGAGCTGGCGAACAGCGAGTACGAAGCTGTTGCCGAGCTGTTGGGACAGGCGGATCCGGGCTTGGCTTCCATTTGCTCCCGAAACGTGTTGAGGCGGCCCCAACCCCAACCCCGAATTCGGCTGAGGCGGCCCCATATTCCGGCACATTTGCATTTGCGGAGCCAACGCACCATGTCTTAGGATATATTTCTCAGAATGCAACATGATCTCAAAGATTAGCAGACATCATTTATGTCAATGGCGAGCGTGGTGATTGCTTACCTGCTGTGTTTGCAGTGTTTTGCGATCATTTGTTTGTGGTTTTCCACCCTAAGCTCACCCTTCGGCAAGCTGAAGCCTACACACCAAGCCTGCACCGACTGAACACCGATCCCAAACCAACCCTTGACACATCCCAGGTACGCCCGGACTCAAAATCCCCCCACTCCAAGCCTACAAGCCTAATCCGAGTGCCAAGCCTTAACCCTGCCCTGACAGTATCCCAGACCCTGCCTACAACAAGTGGCAGCTGCTCTACGTCAACAAATGCACCCCTCCTGCCCCAAGCCAGCGCTAAATCCGACCTAATCACATCCTACCCAAGGTGAACCCCTTGCAAGCCTTCATGAACATCTTTCCGCACTGCCAAAATACCCGTCCATCCCATATTCCTACCTGGTTGCCTCATCAACGCCAGATATGACACACATTTCAGGCCAAGAGGTCTTGGAACATCAATCGCAATTTGGGAATGCGTCAAAACGAGGATCTTCGTTGTGGCGGGCTGTACCAAGGAAACTGACAGGGATGCCGTCGAGAGTACCCCTGACGATTTTCAATGGTGCAGCGGCTGATCCGAAGAACTTGTGCGTGCTGCATGGCTGGTCATCTTAGTTCATGGGACCTTTTTTGACCTCTCAAAGTTGAAGGTTTGCTAAATGCCCTGGACTTGCCGTAAGGAGGGGAGTCTCCTAAAGCAATTGCATATTGGAATTGATATGTCCTTGCCCCTGCTCGTTTAGGAGGCTGCCCCGCTTTCGCAAGGGCAGCAAGGACCATGTCGAAAAACAATTCCAGCCCCCACCCCCCACCCTTCCCTTAAGTTCGATGGACTAGAATCTCGAAATTACATGTTTGGCGGGTGCCGAAAGCTGAGATAGCTCTTACCGCGGTCAGTCCCTATCGCTGGCAGGTGCACCCCATCGTGCTGGCCAAGGTGGGATGAGCTAACCCCGTCTAAGCTCCCGGGCTTGGGGTCACGGACAGCCATTCGGAGCAGCCAATTGGATTGATGCATCTGAACCTCATGCATCAGGATAAGCAAAGACAGGTTCAACGATATTCATTGCAAGGCCGGACAAAGGAGACAGCTTCGCTGACAAAGAGACTTGACGAGGAAGGGGAAGTTTGTGAAAAAATACCCCTTCGAGCAAAAGCTTTGTTACACCTGGGCTGGGATCCACTGCAAGCAGCGGTTTGTGTTTGATGGACATTGTGTAATCACTGATGTTCAACAATGCGTGATTTGGCTGTATCATGAATGAAGCTCCTTGCGCTTAATCCTTGCGCCCATGTGAAGCAGCATGAAGCTGTGAGATGATCAGTGTCCGATTTGCTCACGAGTCATGGGGAGATAGAAAGAAAGAATATCATGAAAGAAAAGAAATAATGGAAGGAACGAAGGAAAGAAGAAAGGAAGACAAAGGCATAACTCAAGAAAATGGAAACAAACAGCGAGATGCATACTCAATCAACAAAGACAACGTTGCACAATAGGTAAGACACGTGAAGAACGAGAAACCAATAATAGCAGCAGGTATACATCCAGAGAGAGAGAGAGAGAACGATCAACGTGTTTTGGGGTTCATGATAATGTGCTTGGCTTGTCCAAGGTTCTGTGGAGAGCATTCGAGTCCTTCGATCCCCACTATTTACGGGTGCGCAATGCAGCTTCAACACAGCACCAAGCAAACTGGCGTGGCCAGTTGACAAGCACCATACCATGCGCCGCAGTAGCTGGCGAATCATTGGCACTTTTGAGCTAAGAAATTGCCTTGCCTTACCTCGCCAGACTCGAAGCGCCTCGTCTTTGCGCCAGGCGCCGGCGCGCATCGAGGCGCTGTCCCTGAAGGCCGGTGCCTTGGAGCGGGAGAAGAACTGGGAAGCGGCGCGCCTCGGCGGAACCGCCAAAGCCGCCCCCCTCCCCACGCCCCCGCCAGCGGGGGCAGAGGCCCCGGGAAAGGGGGGCCCTTTAGCGGAGTTGAGGGGGAGATTGGTCCGTTGGGCTTGGGAGTTGCAAAGGTCCATGAGTTGCAGTTTTGGGCTGCGAGAGTTTGACGCAGCGAGTTTGAAAATGAGGGGATTCCAGCTTGGTTTCGACAGCGTAATGGAAGAACAGATTAATTTTCCTGGACACTCCGCACTTTCTTGACTACAGCGTTCACTTCTGTAGTTGCACCAACTGTGCCATTAGGCCGCCGCTTCCAGCAGCATGAAAAAGATTGGAGTTGTGGCAGGTATCCAGTCGTTGCGCACCTTCAGCAGCAAACCCAAGTTGGCTGAGTACTTAAGTAGCTACCCTGCGTCGCTGTGGGTGGTGTAGAACTCAGAGGCGACCGATACATCGGAGTGAGGAACGCTGAGCTGGAACTCCTCGCGCCTTTGGTTCAGAAGCTGGCCGACGAGAAAGCGACGCCGTTGCCGCCGCAGGAGCATGCGCGGAAAGCCATGACTGGGAGGTTCTCGTTCCAGGGTTGACCTCGGCAGATGAGGGGCCGGGGGTTCCAGGGAATCAGATGGCATAATTTAATATTTTTCAGGCAAAGCCTCTGAAGAGGCCAGCTTTCGTGACAAAAATGTGCCGCGGTTCAAATGCAAAGCCATACCCTAGCAACAAGCAGCAACAAGCTGGAGTAAGAGGGTTGGTTTTGCTTCTAGGGAAAAAGTAGCTTGGGCTGGGGCCGGCTGGGGGAGGGTGCCACCCATGTTTGTGCAGGCAACACTCTGCGGCATTGCCTCTTGAAAAGTTCGGCATCGTCCGAAACTGGCACCGCGTACGGGTTTTCGGCAAGGTCCCTTCACTTTGTTTAGAGTGGGGCCGACCGGCTGCCCAAAACTTGGAACAACTGCTGAAGTTTGGTCGGAATGGTATTGAAATTCTGCTGGACATGCTTGCGCTTTTCCGAGCTGAGCCAGTGTTTGAAGAGAACAACACCCGTCGAGTCTCAACGGATCACGAAGGGCATTTCAGTGCCGCGTCCTCCTCCCTGGAGAGAAAACCCTGGCCCCAAGCCACTCCGGGAACCCGGACCCCTACAGTTTGGTAGTAGTAGACACCGTTCCCCTTGTTGACTTACTCCTCCTTTTCACCCTCATGAAAAGTTGAAGCACTTCCCACAAAAGGAGGCCTTGCAGTCCGTTTCCCAACTAATGTGGGACACGCCTTAATGGCAGTAGCCTGTATTGTGTACAGTATTTTTTCCTAATTCAGGATCGTGGGACTGTTTTGGGGTCCTCTATCGTGGCAAGTTCCACCCCCCCAAACAAAAAATCCAAACAAGAAATGCCAGGAAAGAATCCGGAGCAAAACCAACTAGCCAAAGAAGTCTGGCAAACAAATCCGGGCAAACATTAGGAATTCCTGTTTTTGAAATGGCTCCCAAACCATCAAAATCAAGATAGCTTCTTTACACAAAGTAAGGGCAACCATTCACACAAAGGGGGGGTGCCCACAAGAGGCACTGATCCTCTTTACTGCAACTGTTCCGGGGTCCTCTTTAGTGTCCAACTATTTTAGGGGGGTTGCTGATATTCTCAAATTAAAGCCTTAGCCTTGTGCATTACAAAGGGGGTTCACCTAACCAAGCTCTCCCCAGTTCAACGGGTAAAGGCCTTGGATCAAGGAAATCCATTTTGCCAGTGGTCCGCAACCGCAAACCATCAAATTTAAGATAACTTCTTTACAAGAAAGTAAGGGCAAACATTCGCACAAAGGGGGGGTGCCCACAAGAGGTCCTGATCCTCTTTAATGTGACTGTTCCGGGGTCCTCTTTAGTGTCCAACTAATTTTTTTGGCGGGGGGTTGCTGAAATTCTGGGCCTTGGCAATACTAGTAGAATTGGCAAAACCAAAGTAAGCACTAGGAATCTGAGAGTCAGCCTTGGCAATGCTAAAAGTAGAAGGGGCAATACTAAAGTAAGTACTGTCCCTCCCAGATCCCCACAATCTTCCCCAAAAAGAGGGTCCAGAAGACTGGTTCCACTGTTCAGGGGGAGGGGGAGGAGGTTGGGGGGTCACATTAAAGCAGGTCCCCCACTAGAATCTGGCGGGTCGACAGATGCATTTTGCAAAAATCGCTGAAACACGGCAGGGGGGGCTTTGACCCGCTGATGCTACATGTTGCCCGGGCGCATGCTTTGCCATACTTTTTGGGCTGGACTGCTTTCACACCTGCTGCCGCTACATATTGCCAGGCATGCTTGGGCTCACGATTCACGAGCGTCCGGGCAGGGGGCGAGGGCGATACCTACGAAGAGGACTTGTCCAGAATCATTAGGCCAAAGGCAACGTTGGCACTTCTGGCGGTCCTCCTGTTTTCCCATCAAAGGCACCCTCCGTCTGCGGCATTCCTCCGGAGGAGGGCTGGGTGCCGGAGCCAGAGCTACAGGAGGTCCTGGGGCGCTTAGCTCGGTCCAGGCGCAGCGGGTTGGAGATGTCAAGGGCGAGCAGAGGGCTCTTAGCTCAGCTTCTGTTTGCTTGGAGCTTGTGTCTTGTTTTTCTATACGTTTCTGGTGAACCAAAAAAACTGTTTTGTAAACTGAAACTTCCTGTGAACATTCGTGTGTTCCGATTCACCAGCAAAAAACAACACTTGTTTTTTGTTTGCGGGGGCAACAGCCACTTAGAAGTAAAGGACTTGGTAATCACGGTCCTGGAGGTTGTCGGCTGATTTCACGCGTTTCGGATCCGGAAACCGTTGACCCCAACATGCATCTGAACCACTTGTGGTCGGCAGTCATCCGTGCCTTCCACACTTGAAATCGCATAGACCAGCAGGTGGACTAGCAGCGGGAAACGTCTTGGTTTAGGACGTCGCAATGTCGCAATTTGGCTTCCCACTGGTCGGGTCAGCTCAGGTCACAAGAACCAGATGGCAGAATGGGGGGAAGCACTAGGTACAACAAGTTGCATGTGGCAGGCAAATTGCTTGCTGGAAGGTCCAAGAGATGTGACTGGCAGGCCTCCCTATATACTGGCCCACCTTCTCTTGAAATCAGGTTTGCGCCTGGGTGCCATTTTGGAAGCTTATTGTTGTGTAGTCACATAAATATTGGATGGTTGTGATAGGTGGGAATGCCCGAAACAGCTTGGGGAGCCTTTTGTGCATCCTCGGCTGCAGGTTGAAGGTGGTTCCAAGCTTCGGTGAAAACGACTCATGTTCCAAGAATCAGCTGCTTCCGCCTATGTTAGGAACATCGAGGAATCCTTTCCGACCCTTTCAAATCGGATGCTTTCAGCCTGTCGGCCTCTTGGACTGGGGGAGGTGTTGGCTCTTGAATTTTGATAAGTGCAGCCCCAGAAAGAGCAAGACATCTAGTACTGCTCCTTGGCGACACTCGCTGGCGTGCGTGCTTGGGTGTGTGTGTGTGTGTGTGTGTGTGTGTGTTGTGGGGCCGTTTGATGCCGCTAGTGCCTTATTGGATTCAATCTTGGTCGAGGACATGATTTGGTTTGGGATATAATCGAGGCTTTCGGAAGCCATACTATGTGTGCATACACATTCGCACATACACACACACACACATATATATATATATATATTTATGTAAATACTTATGTGTATAGGCTTGTGGTAGGGGACATGCTTTGAGTTTTGTCGCAGGTGGCACTCAGGGAAGCGACAAGCTGCCACCTCGCTGGCAGATCGGATCCTGGAGCGGTCGTGGCGCTTTGGGCCCATGGGTTGACCAGACAAAAAGATTGGACAGGGCCACCTGATGGACATGACTTTGTTGTGTGTGCTTTGTTTGCCAGTTTGCGATAGTTTGCAGATGACAAGTGTCAAAACGCATGACTATTTTGCCGGCACCATATTGCCGCCCGGAGTTTACCCAAGGGTTGGCTGGGACTTTGTTGGCTACTGACCGTTTAGCCAACTCCTGGGCCTGAGTTTTAACTGTTCACTATCGTGTGTTCTGAGCTTGTGACCTTTTCGCACTACTGATTTGGTTGCAGATAGGCTTTGTTCGGCCTTTCTAAAGATGGGCTTCATCAGGGGCATGGGCTGAGTAGGCTTCGGAGAACCTGGCATGTGTCAACGCTCATTGACGAACAGCACAAGCAGCTTTGAATACGACTGTGATTTATGCGGCACCTGTCCACCATCATAACCCCCAAGGCTCACAGACAGAACCTGAAGCACGTCCATGCAAATGCCTAGGTTTGCGAGGCTGTCCTTGGTTCCACAGCTGGCAATGTTGCTACCTTGTTTGACAGCATTCCAAAACTGAAGGGAACCTAAATGATCATGCTCAAGCGCCAAGCACTTGTTTCAGTATAACTTTTAGGCATACCTTTTTACCCAGGGACGCCTCGCGTAGAAGCATACGATTTGCTCGAAAAAAAGGGCCCGGCTCACCGCCAGGAGGTCGCTCCAACCCAGCTGGAAGCCTGCGAGGTGGCCTGCGCCGTTCTCATGGCGCTTTGTCCCGAGAGACAGCGGGCTGGGACTCGAGGGAAGGTGTGGCGAGTTCGCCAAGCCCGGGATGCATCCGAGAATTAAGCTTTGGTTTGTGTTTGTTTCGGTGTACCCCACATGTGGGCCAAGACTATTTCTTTGATACCAAGGAGGCCGCTTTTGAAGTGATAAAGCATGTAGGGGGCTGGCCCACTTCGGTATAGAACAGCTGAATTCCCGCAACTATGCACCTTTTTTTTCGTGCCTTGGTGCTTGTGGCCTCGCTCAGGTCCCAGCAATCTGGGTTCAACATCAACCAGTAAGATCCTTACGCTAGATGGTCATTTCCCTAGTATGGCTTAGGATTAGGGGATCCCATTTTAATGGGAAAGTGCTTGCCCGGAGCGCCCTACTTGAAGTGGAAGGATGTGTGGGGTAAGTTGCCAGCATCCATGGCTATAACCCACTTTGTTGGGGTTGTTGGGTCATCACCATGGTTTCCTGACCCCGTAAGTAGCACTACAAGCTCGTGGCCAAGTGGGCGGTGTGCAACAGGTTTCAGCCATCCTGAAACTGGGTGGGGACTCTTTTTGCCACAAGGTTACGTTCATCTAAAAATACAACATGTTTGTGTGTGAGGCCAAGGCTCAGGCAGTTGGACTTGGTGGCCCCCTCAAAGACCAAGACAAGTTCTGCACTTTGACGGAAGTCCCTTTCTTCCCCTCACTCTCAATCGTCTTGAAGGGGCCCCGAACGGAAATGAAGCATTCCCAAGTTTAGGAAACACCCAGGCCCATGCCAATCTACTTCAATCGGTTTCAATCTACTTTGTCTGTTTGTCTGTCTGTCTGTCTGTCTGTCTGTTTGTTTGTTTGTTTGTTTATTTGATTGTTTTTTCCAAGGACTGTACAAGTGCACACATTCATATGTAATATGTAATTGAGCATATTGCTATCCTTGTATTGTATACGTAGTTTTTTTTGTATATTACTTTTGTATTTACTTATATATGCTATGTACATTTAAATTATACGTACTCTCATACATTCAACATGATTTACATTTATGCATTACAAGTATATTATTGTAACATATAACATGTACGTATGTATTTGTAGCAGCGCTTCATGGTGTCTGAGACTTACTGCACCTGCACCTGCCTGCCTCAAGTTGGTGAGTCAAGTTGCTGCACTGCATGCATTTTTTGTGAAGACTTTGCCCAAGATCTCGGCAAGCGCGTTTATGATATGCTTCATTTTGCATATTTGTTATTATTGGGTCATTTTTGTTCTGGTCAATTCATCAGCATGGCCGCTCCGGCTATGGATGATTTCGCCCCCGAGCTTGATGAGAACAAGTGTCGGCTCTCCCGTGCGTGGAGTCGGAAACACCATGAGACCTCGGGAGCCATCATTTGAGCAGCTTTTTTTTAAAAAAAAATCAGGAGCCAAAAGGAGAGGGGAACTGGCATGGTGGCTGCGTAGCCTACTCCTGGGACCGCGTAGCCTCGCGTAGCCTCTGCCTAGATCCTCCGTCTTGAGTTAAAGGCTTAGGTTGAATGCTTGCATGTCTCAGAGAAAGAGGGTGAATTTGATTTTCCTTGGCCCGGCCCGAAATGAGTTCGCTCCTTCCGCGTAGCCTCCTGCGCGTAGCCTCCGCGTAGCCTCCAAGGCGTATTCAAGGCCACTGGCCCACATGCCTCCTACTACCATTATTACCATTACTACCACTACTACTACCACTACTACTACTACTACTACTACTAGTACTACTGCTCCTACTACTATTACTATTGCTACTAGTACTAGTACTAGTACGACTACTACTACTACTACTACTACTACTACTACTACTACTACTACTGGTACTAGTACTACGACGACGACTACTACTACTGCTACCACTACCACTACCACTAGTAGTACTACTACTGCTACCACTACCACTACTACTATAATACTTCTACTACTACTACTACTACTACTACTACTACTACTACTACTACCTCTACTTCTGCGACTACGACTACCGCTGCTGCTGCTGCTGCTGGTGCTACTACTACTTCCGGTTGCCAACGCGTATTCGCGTAGCCCCGGCGTAGCCCCCCGCGTAGCCACTTATCAACAAATATGTTCCGCGTAGCCTCCGCGTAGCCAAATTCCTAGGGGGAAGACAGCTGCGTAGCCTCCGCAGGTATGTGCTTCCAGTGTATAGGCCCCACACCATAAAAAAACAAAAACACGGCTCATTTGTAAGTTGCCCCGGTGCCTCTTCGGCGCATCACTGTTCAAGAGCTGGCCCATATCACCACAGGGCTTCGTGATGGGGTTGTTGTCAGTGATGTGAAGATTATGCCACGGCGCTCTTCCCCCACGTGCGTCACACCAACTTCACATACCCTGACGCAGTGGCGCTCACTGCAAAGCTCGGGTACGTCCCGCCGTGTGTGAAATTGCAGCCAGTTTCGCCTGGCATCACACACCCGGACGGCCATCCGTTCAGCATTATGTACAAAGTCCTTTGCGTACAGCCGGGAGAGCTTGGGATCCCCGCTCAAGGTCATGAAGGCAACCCAGACGGAGGAAATGAAGGTGAAGAGTTGCTGCACCTTGAATGGAGGAGCATAGCACGACGGCCAACTGGGCCGGACTCAGCGTCAAGGATCACAAGGACTCAGCCTTGGAGGCCATGTCCCTTCTCAGCCAGCCGCGTTGGCTTGGCACAGCACCTTCATGAAGACCATTTTCGGAGTGTGTTTCTGGTGCTGGGACCATCAAGTCCATCCTCCTTGGTGGAAGGTGCAGAGTCCGCGGTTCTGCCCAGTCCCTTCAGCTGAATGTCGGAGATGGAAAATCCGAGAAAAGACTTTTAATTCTGAGGAACGAATAGTAGGCTCAAAGGCTTGGAGCCACTCGAGAAGCTCGCATCCCGCTCCTTCGGCTGGCAAAACCACCTGCGCATGAATGATCGGGACACCATTCCCATCAAACATATGGATGCTCTGCGGGAGCGCCTCTCTGAGCTGAAGTTGACTTGTAGCGGAGAAACCTCCGGAACTTTGTCCAGGGTTCTCGCTTACTGAGAACTTCGCTCCGCGTTTGGTCCATTGATTGGCACTCGGGACCGCGGCGTACACTGCGCAGCTGCGCACAAAGAGGGCGACATCCCAATTGGCCACAGGGATGAAAGGTCTTCGTGGCTGGTCTCAACGGCTTGCACACAGAGATCACTCGTCGACTTCGGAGACGAGAATTTGTTGAGATGGCAGCGCTTGAGGTTGATCCCGACCTCGTACTCGGACACGGACAGCCAGGAAACCAGGGCTGCGCTTCTGGAATTTGGAGCGAGGAGACCAGCAAGGTTAAGATTGCCAAAACCGTTGGAGCAAACAACACCTTTTTGACGCCAATTCCAGCGTGAATGCGGCTGTTGGCTCCATTGCCGGCTGGCGACACAAGCTAGATTGCTCGGCGGCTGCCTCCTTGCAGGTGCTTTGCCTGACACCTGGAATCTTGCCTCTGCTGAGTGAACTGAGGGCGGTGACTGGCGCTTGAGGGTTCCGTGGTGGCCGATTGTGCAGGCCTGGTATCCATCAAGAGGTGCCTCATCCGTTCGGAGCTGTGGAAGAGCAAAGGCACTTACGTGGTGCCCAAATCGCTCTTTCCTTCCAATCAAGAGCTGGACCACAAGATCACCAAGTCCGGGCTCACCGATCTCCGGGCTCACCGATCTTGACAAGCGACGGGTGGTGTCCGAGGTGCTGATGGTTTCTTGCATACGACGTTGTCGAAACTGCAAAGATGCTGCCCCCATACCCCATGACCCCGCGGTCGAGAGGCCGGAACGAACTCGAACAAGCTTGGTCCAGTCCTCCTGGGGTTGTGCTGGATTGGGGACAGACAGTGGCATGGAGCCTGTGCTACAAGCAAGATGCGCATGCCCAGCCCCCGTTAGCCCGCAGCCAGCCCTCGGGATGTGCCACACATGTGGGTGTGCGCAAGTTGTCGCAAGTGGAACAGGGGCGCCCATCAAATCTACTACGCCACTGCAGCCACTGCAACCTGGTTATGTCCGGACTGCTCTTGGATCTGGACTCGGCAAGTTGCTGGATCCGCCATCCGGCCATGGCCGCCGGTTGAAGAAGACTTGGCAAGGCATTTTGCCGCTTGTCGGTGACTGCCGACCAGGCGCAGCCCACTGCAGACCCGCTGGCTGGCGTCGTGTGCGGCGGTGGGTCATCCGCCTTCTGACGCAGATTGCATGGGCAACTGTCGAAGAGTTGCGCGCACGCTGCTGCGCTGCCATCCCTGGCCCTAGTACCAGTGCCATCCTGGACGGGGTTATCCGCGCAATGGTAGTTTGGTCATTTATGGATCCAGGCTCTGTTTTGTAACGTAGTTCATTTTGCGATGCGCGGATTGAGAGTAATTAAGCTAGCTGTACGCAAACTGTTACCCTTGCCCAGGCAGCTAAGTACCGATTCAATCAAAATGGACGCAATCTTCATCTCAGTCCAAAAAAATGCCGACGAAATACCATGAACTATATTACGAAAGGGAGCAAAAAGCGAATGTAAACGGCACATGGCCTGTCTTTGCAGGTTCCTTTTGCAATTGCGGGCTTGCACGGAGCCTGTAGCGTGGCTGAGGAGCGTGGGGACGCCCCGGTGGCCTTGGCAGTGATGGTGCGGTGTTTGGTGGCGCACCGTGCGAAGACCAGCCTCACCTGCTCTGAGCTCCCTGGCTTCGAGAGCGGCCCCCATGCGTGAGGTGCGGGGCGGGTGGCAGATTTCGGAGGTGGGACCTGTGATTAGGGGAAGTTGGCTATGATGCGGGACGGGAACACTACCCTTGTTTCTGAAGAAGTATCATTTTTGCAATTGCCCTCGTCAGCATGAAAGGCTGAATTTCTCCTATCCCGCTGCTGCTAGCTAAACCAGCATGCGACATGGATTTGGAGACTCAGATGCAGTTTCTGGGTGGGTTGGGGGCCAATGCAAGACGTCAACCTGCAGCGCACAATGATTGGTTCATCCCATCCGACAACTCATGCCTGGCACCTTCACCCAGCACGCCCTGACAGCACCTTTCACCAGGTATTGGCTTGCACCCGTGCAGCCCATGCAGCCCAGCCGAACTAGCCCTGTTTGGGAAGCAAACCAATAATTATGAGGTTTGGCATTCTGAGGTCCATGCGAGAGGGACATGGAGAACTCACAACACTCCAGCAAAAATCAGAAGGTTTTCTCGTGTCCATGTCAGGATGCGCATGTCATGGTGGTCATCACACAGCATCAGCAACTGGCTTCACATGTTGTTTGCCCCATGTCGTCTGAGGCTGGTTTGCGGCGTCATGCGCCACTGCTCTGTGGAGGAGACCGGCTAAGTTAAGGGCGGTTGTCATGTACCCCGGTCAATGGGTGGACCAAGTGCTCCAAACCGTACAGCCCATACATAGTTGGCATGTAGATGTAAGGTCATCATCGCTTGATCTCGGATGAAGCCATCAATGAGACATGCAGAAGCTTGATAGCCAGAACTGGTCAAAAGATTGGCTAGCGCCAAGCTTGTGTCACAATCCAGTTGCATGTTGCCAATCAGGCACAGCTCGGTTCTGTCATTTGATTGTTCTATTTGCTCTTGCTCGCGCAGGGCAGACACCTAGTACAACGCGACTTTTCAAGGCGATGGCTTGCCAAGCTGCAACGTGTTCCTTGCCATCGAACCTAAGGTTCTGTTGCAGCGCTTGGCACCAACGTTTGCCCCAGGAGCTGTGCCACGTGCTTGCGCCGAACGAGCTTAGCACCCCCTCACACCTTCAGTCTGTAGCGGAGGTTGTGGGGTATGCCCCACGGCTGAAGTCTCGCAGAGAGTGTATTGGCAGTAGCCTTTATAGGTAGGATGCCAAAGGTTGATATGTAGAACTCTGGCGGATGCATCAAGTGTTTTGTGTTTTGTTTGTTTTCTGGCTTGTGGGATGGGTTCTTACGCAGTTCTGTGTCTGCAATGGGGGGCAGGTTTGGGTTTAAACGGTTGGTCATGCTTCCAGCTTTATTAGGCGCGCTTTGGTGCCGCGCCACTTCCCATGGCTCAGTGATTGCCTTTGCTGCGGCCAAGGTCATCTTTTGGCTCCAGAATGGTCGACATGTACCTATGCGAAGTGTTCTCACTGTTGGCTCTCTAAGGGTGGCTGTCGTGTCGCAGTCTAGGTATGGTGGGAGGCCATCCATTCTCTAACATGCGGTTGCTCGTGCGGGCTTCTAACGAACGGCTCAACCCCAAAACCAAATTAGCACCGCGTTGTAACGGTGAAGGGCGTACGGTGTAAGATGTTTGGGCAGCTTGGCTGAAAGATACATCAGATTCCACGTTGTTCGTTGCAGACCTGAACAATATCCAAAGTCCGCAGCACGGGTGAGCCTGGCAATAAGATCGGGGTGGCAGAAACCACTGCGCCACTCCCTTGCAATCTCTGTTTGGTCTGTCCATTTTAAGGGGGAGCGCAAGGATTGCAAAGCGCGTCAAGGTATCGATATCCTGCTTCACCAAATGTGCAATGGAGACAAACGACTGAATGCCCTTTGAACGGCTTCTTATCCAAATGCCATTTGTGTCAACGTTTGCCATGTGGGTGGCTTGGACCAATGTGTAGAGAGGTGTCCAGTTAAACCTCATGCTTTCAGGAGAGCACTTGTCCCTAGGTGGGTCTCATCATGAAGGAGCGAGGCGAGATTCTGGAGGCCCGAGTTGAAGAGCAGTCACGGGACTTGCTTCACATCTTGGCAACGGGGTTTCTCTGATGGACCCCTCATGGCTTGGCATGCGGTGGAGCCAAGCGATTTGCTAGCTAGCAAATGCTTCGGGCATGCCACAACATGGAATGGCCATCCGGCAAGTGGCACAATGTGGGGATTGAGCCAACTCATGCTTATTCTCCACGAGGCTTTGGGAGAGATGGTTCCCCAGCCAAAGGCCCGCCGGGCAAAACTCAGACAATCTGAGAAGCTGAACTCAACCTCCGAGTTCCTGGCTTGACATTCTTGGGACAAATCGTGGCAAACAAGCATGTGGCTTGTCAATCAACCAGCGAGTTCAGGCCTTGATATCTCAGTTTTCTGGAGTGAACTGACTCACTGACAGGTCAGCGCCTTTGGGGAGGGCCAAGGGCCACCAGCAACAGGGCGACTTACTTTTGGGGGCAAAAGGGCAACGTGCATACCCTCGCAGGCTCGCAGGAATGGCCGCGCAGGAATGCTTGCCCTACCAACAATCACGGTGAATAGGGAGCATTCCAAGAGGGGTCTTCCAAACCCATGCTTCCATTGGACAGAGGCTTAGCATGCAGTTTGGGACTTGGCCCCCTGCATGTTCCAGTTAACTTTGGAAGGGTCATACCCTCCAACAGAGGACGGGACTTCTGAAACCAAAACATCCAGAAGAGAGGCCCAAGGCCCCTCTCTTTGTGAGGCGTGCCGTCTATACCGGCGCGCGGTGATCATGTCTCCCGACCACGGATCACTTTGCTTGAATCTGATGCGCCCCTGGCAGCAGAAAATGCGTCATGATGTCAAGGTTTTGTATCTGCCCAAATCAAGACTTGCCCCGGCTTGGGGTTCCGGTTGCAGCGATTCCTCCTGGAGCCTCCATTGTAGCAACCATTTGTGCCTTCCCCTGGTTCGATACACATACTAGCACGTTGTAGTGCTTTTTCTCCACAATGGCTTTCAAGCATATTTGGGCCTCGAGCTGAAATCAAGTTCGGTAGTTTCATGTTCTTTCAGAGGCGGGTTTGGGAAGAGTCATCAACGCAACGAGAGCACACACATGCAAAACGAGCGCAACTCGGCGCAAAAATGTGCAAACAAGCGCAAACAGGTGCAAGCAAGCGCAAATCCAAAATATGGTAATCTCTTCCCCCTATTAGTAAATACGGGTCCCCCCCCCAATTAGTAACAATCCTCCCCATTTTTTTTAAAAAATTGGGGTTTTCGGAATTGTTTTTTGCTTTTCCAACAATGTGAGGGTTCACATAGGATTTGGAGGAAATGGATTGAATTGTAAGATCCGCGAGTAAGCGGTTTAATGAGGAAATTTTATGTTTCATTCTATTTGTTTTTCAGTTTACTGGTTGCTTGTTTGCAGCCAGGCAGGTTAATTAATTAGCCAGCATGTACGGGAGAGAGACAGTCGCAGCTAGACAGCTTTTGGGGACATGTTTTCTTTTGAGGGACACCACCCCAATAAAGGACCCAATTAGGATTGGGGCTGGAAGCTTGTTAAAAGTGCCCCCTAATAAGGATTCCAAGACTTTAGTATTGGTGTAGTATTGGCGCAATGGAAATTCAATTGTGCGGAGTGGAAATCTGGTCCCGGGCCCCGGATTTCCATTTTTTATTAATTGGGGTCATTCATTAATGGGGGGAAGAGATTACAGGGAATGGGTTCCGACAGGCATGATTGCTGACAACTCGAGCATTTTTTGTTGAATCGTACATGCATTTTAGAGCAGGTTGTCACGAGTAGACATGTTTCGTAGCAACAATTGATGTATCAATGGAGGCTGCATTCTTGTTGGGACTGGCGATGTTGTGGAAGTTCGGGCGAAGGGTTTGCCAGCTTCGTTGGCACTACGATGCGGGTGTCATGCTAGATCATGCATCCTGTTCTGACGGAAATCCTGATCCGCTAACCCATCCATGACCTACGAAGTTGTTCCTTTCTCTGCCTTTGAGAGGAGAACTTCTTTTTGGGCTAGCGGCGCTGTTTTGTGCCACAGAACATTTTTTGCCTTTTCACTGATGCATGCTGTGCGTGGCAACTTTAGGCAACCAAGAGGCGACTTTCCCCGACCAGAAGGTGAGTTTCCCTGACCAGGTTTGCACACTAAGCACATTTGGAACGATGCGGCACTTCTTCGGCCAACAGACGCAACGTCCTGCCTTTTTTTGAGAAAGCGCAGATGTTTTTAGCGTCAGCCACAGCAATGAAGCAATCAAGAAATATCAAGAACCTCATCAGCGAACGATCATCAACCATCCAATCAGTGGGAGCTTGGATGAACGAACCGCAGTTTGAATATAGTCACAGGTGTGTGTCGCCTTTTGGAGGGGTTCTTGACCTGTCCACCAGCCAAGCAGCCAGCCAGCCAACCAGCCATCTGGCCAGCCATCCAACCACCCAACAAACCAACCAACTCGTCGAGCTAAGTGGGCAACATTGGTCAACCATCCGGCCAATGTCGTTAAAACCGTCACCTTCTTCCCTAGCGGAATCTCTATCTACACAGCCAAGAAAATAAGTATTTCCCGGTATTTGGCAGGTATGGGGAGAAAAGGCATGAATGCCCTATTTCTCCCACCCAAAGAATTCCATGTATAGGTTTCCACTTCCATTTTCCCTCTTATGGGTAGCGGTCGATCTTTCGGAGGCATACCTACGCCCTCCGCCGGGACGAGCTCCGCGCCTTGGCGTGGGCCAAGCGCTTCCTGTGCCGCCAGCCCATCTTCGCCCCTCTGCTGGCGGTTCTGCAGAACCAGCGCCTCGGACGTCGCGCGACGAAGTTCGCGGTGCTCCAGTTGGCAGTTGGCAAAGCCCCCAAAGCCCACCGCCACGGCCTAACGGCTCCCGGATGAATTGTCAGGTGGCTTCCTTTGGGAGATTTTCACAGGCCGTTTGGCGGGGCCTAGTAATTACGTGTTGTGTTTGTTTGAAATCTTTTGCGTGGCTATTTTGTGATGTGTGCTGCGCCCGCCTGTGACGAAGCAAGGTGGTTGTGCGTGGTCATGTGTGAGGCTATGTGCGTGTGCGCGTGTCCAAGTGTGTCTGAGCTGTTTGTTTGTCTACCTGTCCGTCTGTCTTTGTCAGTGTGTCCGTCTCTCTGTCTGTGTGCGCGGTTGCGCGGTTAGTTGTGTGCGCGTGAAAGCCGTTGATAAGCCCAGTAGCCAGTAGCTGAGTATAGTTTGTAGCCAGCGTTGACCTGGGTCTGCTTCCCACAGGGAGCTCAAAGCGCCTTCCTGACAGTCCCGGCATGCAAGCCACATAGCCGACCGATGTAAGGACCGTACCAGAGGCGGCCTTTACAGTCAAGGACTTCCAGGAGGAGCACGAATTTCACGTGGCGCGGCGCAGGGGCCGGTTGGGCTGTAGGGTGGAATTATGTCCGTAATTGCTGGTCTCTTTGGCCGCCGCCCGATCCATTGCAGCCCGAAATTTCAGCGGAGCCATGATACGCTTTTCAGGAAAGCACGGCAGTTGCTTGCGTGTTGTTGGTGAATATGGCTGCCTCAGCAGGGGGCAAACCACGCCGGTGGTGAAGGCCCCTTTTCTTGAGAGTTCCTTTGTTCAAGCTGGTGGTGATACGATTGTGTGTCGCAGCTGGCAGCTCAGCTCTGCCAACGTGGCTTTCGGGAGAAGAAAAGGAGACGGATGCCCTTGTCGTCACATTGTTTGTTGCTTTCCGGAGAAATACGTCCTTTCACGGGGAGTTGCCATTTGTCTGCTATGTGCATTCATTTGTGTGCATGTGTGACTGTATATGCACACATATGCAAACCTCTTTGTGGACCAGTGTTCTGTTAAACGTCGCACGTCAATGCTGCGCGGTTCGTGATGTCCAAATGCAGGGGGCTGTTTTGAAAGGTGAAGGGCCTTAGACTCTAAGACATGTGCCGGAGGTCTCCTCAAATACTCTCCTGCAGATTTTCGGCAAATTCAGACTAAGGATGGAACCCAAAAAAGCGACCAACATGGGTCCACGCCGAAAACAGATTTCTGTTGGAACTAGAATTGTGGTTTAGAAGTTGGCTTGGGGTAAACAAGATTACTCTACTTGAGGCTACTCCTGCTCATCCACCTTCATGACAGCTGGCCCTGCAGATGTGCGAATTTGCTGGTAACGCAAACGTTCGGGGATGACATGCCCTCTGGAACTTGACAATTCGTGCCCCGCTGGGATTTATGCGCACACACACACACGCTTGCCTTCTCGCAGCTGAATTGCCGGGAGAATCTTTGCCCGCTTGGGGGGTCCCTTTGAACACACTCAGATTGTTGAGCAATTGCGATTATTTGGAATCAGCTCTGTTTTGAATTTGAAATGAGTTTGTAAAGTTGTCAGGGCATACGTAGCGTGCTTGTTGACAAGGTGACACAAGTCGTTTTGTTTCTTGGACGTTTGTCACCTTCTTCACTGAACCTTCGTTAGGGCTCTTTGGCGCTGTTTGGTGGGCTGAGAAGTTCAACCCTTTGACGCAGGCAGTGGGAGAAACACCCCTTGAACCCCAGCCTACTTCAAGCCCTTACCCCCAACCACAAGGGGATAAACATCACTGTAGAGCCTGAAAAGGGCGCAGATCGCGTGCCGTTGGCCAAGATCCTGAGGATGCCGTGGCCATCGGCCTGGTGATCTTCAAGTTGCTTTTCTTGGCGCAGCCTTTCCAGGGCACCGAGACCTCGGAGCCCTCGTGGCTGCCGCGTTTTGGCAAAGACCTGAGGGAGGATGGTGCAAGTCCCGGTAGATGTAGATAAGCAAAGGGAATGACGTGACTAAACAAGGGGGCAGTTTTGTTCTCTACTTTCACCCAATTCTAACTTTGGGCATGTTTGCGGTAAAACCCGATTCTTACGAGTTACTCGAAAGTGGGATGTTGGAACCCTCAAGAAGTTCACGAACATGAATGTGTTCCGTTTTAAGTTTATTTGGAGGGTTTGCTTGTCAGCCGTTTGTTGGTTGAGTTTCACATCATCCGATGTCACGAAGCATGGCATGAGGGTTCCCGTTTGTGTCCTGATGTTTGAGGCGAGCAACTGGCCAAGTTCCATTGTCTATTGAGTCATTCTGGCTCGCGCGAGGTGGTTTTTAGAAAGCACTTCGGCCCTTCGACTGTCTCAAGGGAATTTCGGGCTATAGGTTTTTCGAGTTTCCGCTTGGTGTTGCAGAAGCCAGGCCTTCCTGTGCCCCCATGGTCTTTGGTTTGGGGCCAATTGCCCAAGGCGTTTGCGCGACTGCGACGTGGAATCCCACATCGTGGGCCCGCAGGTGCAGTCGCTGCTGGAGGATGGCCTTGGAAACAAGCTCTCTGGGGTTGTTTTGCAGCAACCCCAAGTCAGGTTCCGTGTTTGTTGGTTCTTGCTTTGTCAAGACGACATTGTTGTTCCTGTGCCGAGGGTGAATGATTGGGGCCGAAAGATTTGAGCAAATCTGATTTGTTGAGCACTGCAAGTGCGTGGGGGCAAGCTGCGGTAGCTGAGAAGTGCGTGCGTGCCGGCCGAACGCTTGGGGAAGATTCGGGTTAAACTCGGTTGGTTTGGGTTTGGTTCGGATTGGTTGGTTGGCTTCTTTGGTTTGTGACGCTTTTATAGCGTTTGCCCCGGGTTTCCTTCAAAGCTTTCCTTGTTGTTACGATTCCTGACTGGGCTTTCCTCAGATCCCCTGCTAGTTTGGCTTTTAGTGGGCTAAACGGGCAACCCAGCCTCGGCTTCGAACAGCCTCAGGACCTGTGGCGGCGCCCGGCGCCGCTGACCTCCAAGGCGCTGGTGGGCGCCAAGCAGCATGCGCAAGTGCTGCGCCGCCTGGGGAAGCTGCGCCTGGGGTTTTGCAAGGACGCGGATCGATCCGGGGGGCGGTTGGGGGGGAGGTTGGGGTGGTTGGGGGGGTTTTGCTTTGAGGAGAGCAAGGTTAGACACTTGAAGGGTGGAACTGGGTAGGGACTTGGCAACTTGTCTTTGGGGGTTCGTGTGTCGCCCTCTCACCAACAAGCATGGAAGTTCACAGTATGTCATTTGTGTGCATCTTGTGTATGTTTGGTTTTGGAGGGTGCCTTGTGGAGGGCAATTCGTTTGGGGATCCTTTTTGTTTTCCTCCGATTCTTGAGGCTTCTGTGGCTTCTGATTTCTTTGGCTTTCCACACCCGCGGCATCACCAGCAACACCCTTTGCCACCCCTAACCCTTGCGTAAACTCTAAGCCAACTCTGAAGTCGCAAAGTCATTCTAAACCAATCCTAAAGTCACTCTAAACCAGCGCTATCCACCCTCAGCCTACCCTGTATGAACCGAAGAACCTAAACCAACCCACCCTAAAGAAGCCACATGTTAGTTCATCCATCCACAGTGCTCAAATAGTTCATGGTTTAGGGCAGATGGGCGTGTCCCAACTGGCTGCTAAGAAGCCCACAAGTTTGCCTATCTCAGCAAAAACTGCACAACGGGATTGACAGGTCCTTTTCCTGACCCCGTACCTGTCACCCAGCCAACATATTGTCTCAAAGAATTGGGTGCCGAGATTTACCTGACTGCTTTGTAAATTGGTCCCTAGTGTGTTCGTTTCCCGAATTGGGTGGCAGGACGGTGGTTTAGTGCTCGTTCGCCATCGGCTGAGGTTGGCAAAATGCTGCCAGGCCGGGACGTGTGATCTCGACTGGTTGGTTTTGCCCGACGGTGCTACATGGTGCTACCCTACATTCTAGAGATTCTCCGGTTAAACCGCTCGGCAACGGGCATTTCTTGCCTTTCACATCTTTAGCGCTTGCTTGGTAAAACCACATTGGAAATCCTTGATCGTTAAATATTTGCCAAATATTGACCCATGTGAGAGGGGAATGCAGGGACACAGCTCCAGAATCGAGGTGTCCTTTCGTTTAGTACTCTTGCAAAACATTTTCTCACAAGGAAGCGTGACCCCCTGGGAGGGATGCGAACCGAATTCTCGGAGCTGCCCTGTAGGCTGACAGCTTATGGACTGAGGCCCCCTTTGGTCAGAGGAGTCGCTGCTCCCCTCGAGGGAGGGGTTGCGCAAATGAATATTCACCATTTACAGAGGGTCCATCTAGCCCTTCGCTTGCATCTATGCCTATTTACTCTTCCTCCCCCTGGATTGGTTGAAGAAGGAGAGGGCAGAGAGCATTCAGACAGCAGTCATCGCAGTCATGTCGACCCCCCGATGGGCAGTTGGAGAACAGCATTTGCCCGGATGTTCCATGTTCACGACCTTGGAGGCTTGCATGGCATTTGCGCTGCTAGTGGAACAAGACACGGTATAATATGATTGTTGTCGTTTGTCGGCTGATTCTGCACTTGATTACAATGTTCCTTGCAGAATACCAGTGCAAGAGGTACGTAGCCCCTTTTCCAAACCACAGCAAACATGCCGTTTTGCGCTTCGTCCTTCGGGTTTCCTTCATTTGCAGGGGGTCCACCTCTGGCCAAGTGCGTGGAACCCCAAGCCATGACGATCATTCGGCATGGGAGGGTCATGAACTTCACCTGACGGCGGTTCGGAACGAGAACGCCTACTTCAACTGCATCAAGGAGTGACAGCTGGGTGTGTCTGGTTGACGGTGCCCCTTTTGAGCTTTGACATCCGCATGTCAAATATGGCTCCCCCTTCCTTTCTTGAACAAAGCCCCAAATGGGTCATGACCTTGGACCATTTGCCAGCGAACTCACCACTGAGGTCTTGTCACCTCACCCGCGAAGGTTCCGTCATGTTCCTTCTTGGGGTTCGTTAAGCGCGACTTGCCCAGATGAAGCTCGGAGGTTCGGCTTGAAGCAAAGGATGGGCGCATGGCGTTGTCAATGGCTTGGCTTGTGCAAGGTTCAACCCACATAAAGCGATTCAGGTTCATAGGGACCTGTTGAATCATGTGCTTGCTGCGGTTCCCTCCAGCATCCACAACCCTTCAGCCCACCTGGCTCACGTAAAATATTGTAAAATGCTCAATGCCGGCCTGACATATGACACGTTTTGGCAGGTAGGATCGACGAAGCGCTGACATTGCCCCAGCTATGCACGTAAAAATGATCAGGCGTTCTTCGGGCAGCAGCGGGTGGTCGTGACCTTTCAGATTACAAGTTAGTCGATTGGGCTTCTGTTCATCCAGCGCTGACCGGCACATGCGCTTAACTTCAGTCGAGGATTGGGGGCCAGGTTTTGCATTGACCCCTGCCCATTAATTGTATCTAGCTTGAAGAGTGGCAAGGCGCTCACGGAATATATGACATATTATCCGGGGCAAACGGGGAGAGACGAGATATTGCCATCGTCGGAACATGTGGAGGCGAGGGCATTCACGCGAAAGGATCGGTCGAAGATGCGCTGCGCAGGGGGGGAAAATGCGAGGACATTCTGGCCTGCGACACGGGCGTGCCGAAATGCCCCTCCTCCTTCAGACCTCTGCACCTCGCATTGCATCGGTCTTTTACCAGGGTTAACTCTTGAGCTGCAACCAGTACTTTACGAGTTCCATAGATTTCCCTCTCCGAATGACTCCCCTCTTACCTTACCTAATTTTGATTGGAGGGAAACTTGAGCAAAATCGAAAAAAAACGCCTTCCGCCTCCAGTGGTTGCTCCAAAAACTTGTCCAAGAACTGAGCGGGTCAAAGGCAATCATATATCCTTTCCTTGGGTTACGAAAGGGTTTCCCTTCGTAGAGTGGTTGCCCCAATCATATTTTGAATTGGGTTTGGCCAAGCCGCTATGCTCTTCCTTGGACCTGTGGTGCCTTTGGTGGAGTTGTTCCCCTTTTCACAGTTATGTTTGGTGGTTGGAAAAATGGGCAAGCCCCAAAGGCGTTCCCCTTTTGCAAGGGACACTGGACAACTGGGTTGCCCAAATCCTTCTTGGCTGGATTTTATGGGTGCCGATGTTTGCGCGGTTGCTGCTTGGGACATGGTGCGCTCTTGCCCAACCCTGTAAACCAGCACCACTTAAATCCTCACGGAATATTCTGGGTGGATGTCACTTCCTGCATGTCATGAGCGGTTCCCTGCGCACATCCAGCTGGTCTTAAGCGACATTGTTCCACTTGCTGCTGGACAAATTTAGGGTCGACGTTCATCCCCCTACCTCTTGAAAATGACAGGCCTGTCCTGAAGCCATTGCGAACTGGCGCCATGGGGTCCCATTCTTCTCGGACAGGCTTTAGAGGTTTTACTGCAGCGCTCGCAGGCCACCACATCAGCCAATTTTGTTGGAATTGCTGCCCAGAGGCTGGCCATATCCCTTTGAATAAGGATTTCAAGGCTTCAGAACCCTTGGCCTGCATCCCATTGTCTAAGAGTCTAACTACAGGATGCGATGGGCAGCTTCTTGAGGATCATCTTCCATCGTTTCTTTGTGTGCATCCTTGAATTTCTTGTGTGGCATGCCCGACATCAGCCATTTTCTCTAAGCGTCACGCTGGAATTATCCGTGGCCAATGGGTTAAGCGAGTGGCGTGGCAGGTATGTGGTGGGTGACTCCCATGTGCTGCCTTTGGCCTGGCAATTCCTGGACATCCCTGCGGAGGCACGTTCCCGTGGTTCAATACCAATCCAGACATAATTCTCATGCCAGATGGCGTAATGGTAGTAGTCTTTGTAGTTGTGTCCCACTGAGGGTTGGGGATGAGGGCCTCCCCATGTTGAACAAGGCCTTAAACAGCTTATAGGTTGTTCTGCAAATTCGTGTCGCAAAACGTGCTTGCCCCCTCTCGTGATGAAGTGGAAGAAGGCCTCGCCCACAGGTTCCTTTGATCTTTTCTGATGTTGCCTGAGGGAATTGGATACTGACAGGATCTCTTGCGTTGGAACTGAGCTGGCCGTGATGCGATCGTTTGGGTACCATTGGTGGTTTGGCATCGTAGGTGCATCAAAAGTAGGTTTCTCTGGTAGGTTGATTGCGCCCATCGCAGTTGCGTTTGCCGGGGTTCAATGCGCATCCCATGTTGTAGCTTTGAGCCATGAAGTTAGTATGTTGACATTTGTGGATGCAGCTGAAATGTTCGGCACTGCTTTGAAGCACTGCTGTTCGAAGCAGTTTGAGCTCTTATGGATTCCTTGCGGGTACAAGAGATATCATGTATTTGCCTATTTTTTGTCGCGCTCACCTGGAGCAACCAACTTGGCCTGAGGAAGGTACTTTACCTGGGCATCCGTTATTCGTGGTTTGCATAGTAGTACAAAATTGCAGAATACTGAGTCAGAGCCATAGCAAAAGGATTATGGCCATGAATGGCAACGGGCCTTCATAAACACACCAATGTCACTAGTAAGCTGCAATGGCCATTTTTGGCCATGGTTTCTGCCCCAGGCTTCCAGTGAGTTGCTTCCCTTTGTCTTTTTGGAGGGTTCCCACGCTTTTCCCGGTCGGGGCCAGGAGGAGGAGGAGCACTTCATCTTGGTGCCTATGTTGGTGACTGGCGCAAAGGTTTGGCACCTCAGGCGCGAGTCTTCGCGTCTTCGCGTCTTCGCTCCGCAGGGCTTCGCGAATTGTCCGAATAGAACACTTGGGCGGCTCCCGATTTTGAGAGGCACTCGTCTGGTTGAGTCGGCGCGCCCCGGGCTTGCCAGCAAATGCCCAACAAAAACGTATGTGTCGTGCTGCTGCTTGCTGTTTGCTGATCTTTGGTTGGAATAATTCTGGAATAGTTGGATTGCCATAATTACCAGCATGATGGACATTGTGGCCCTTTCTGAAATATACAACTTAGGGTTGCCAAGCAAACAGAACTGCAAGCAATCTTGAGCCTGCCCTAGTTTAACACAGTTGCTGTGCAGCTCACTGCCCGCGAATTCCACAGATGGCAAAAACAAACTGCTGAGATCGGTGCAAGTTAAATTGTCTCCGCCCTTTTGCCATCAACATGACCTAGGCAGGTGCAACAAGCTCACCCAGTCCCTTCCAAGGGTAGACATGTCAGTGAAGGCCCGCGGCCACAGCGTGCAAGCACATTAGCTTGTTGTTTTCGGCCGCTTTACTTCATGTTCAGCGCAAAAGCGTGGCAAGATGAGGGAGAAGGCAAGTTGGCCCTCAAATCCGTGCCTCTTGGGGCGAGGTTTAGGGCGAACTTGTGTTTGCAATTCCAAGCAGCAGGGCAATTCGGACAACAAATATTACATATTACACACATACACTATAATATATATATATGTATAGATATACATGTGTGTGTGTGGATGTATCAATCTTTATAAATACAGAATGGAGGGTATGGGGCCTGCGTTGTTTTTGCTTGAAACGACGTGTCTATATACACGGGATGCTACAGATACCTGCTTGGAGGGAGGCCATACCACATGGGCCAAGCACGAGGCGTCGCAGGCAATGCCTGGTACTTGCTGCAGCGGGAGCGCATTACACAGCGCAGAGTTTTTGTTTGTATACTGCCTGGGCTGCCTGTGTTGGCTAAAAGGGCAAAACTAATAGATGCTGGTTGACTTGTGTTTGTTTGTTGTTGTTTGTTGTATTTTGCGGCCGGCGTAGCAAATCGTAATGATCAACCGAGCATGGCATGAATGTTGAATCCTCAGTTGTGGACCTGGGACCTATGCAGCATATGCGGTCAGCTGCAAAACGCCTCGGCAGGGAAGAGTCCAAGTTCTACACCATGCCTCTTGGCTTTCTGAATCCAGGGGGCTTGGTGTTTCCAGACTGTTGAGAGCAATTTCCCACACATCAGTTTTTCAAGCGCTATTTCAAATGTGCGATGGTTGATGATGTGGTATGTTTGCTCTCCACGCTTCCAAATTGAGGCATGGCATGATTCAATGCAAAGCTTGCGCACATTTTTTTCAGATCAAGGACATGGCTTGATGTAAGTAGTTAGCAAGCGCATTGCTCTGGAGCGTCCATTTGCGGCCCCTCTCTGAGGAAATGTGCCAAATGTTTGCCGGAAAAGCTCGGCTACAGGAATCGGACCATCCCGTTTTGCAGCCATGATGCATTTCTACCATTTAATTTCTACAGGAAGCGAGCCAACAAGCCTGGCGAGCCGCTTGAACTGACTCTTGCGACTGCCGCGATGCGAGTGTTCAGGTTCTCATTCTGGGACAAGCTCTCCATCCTGCCGGTGGATGCACCAGCCGCTTCGTTTTGAGTTGATGGACGCCCCGATTCCCAACAACATGTAGGCCAACCTTTTGCCTAGTGGGTGAAGCGCCAGCTAGGGATCTTTTGCAATTACAGTGCCATTTGATTGACGTGATGGCATGATTCTGGTTGAGCCCTGCTGAAACTGCTAGAGGTCTGGGTTCAAGCTGCGACTCTTACTTAACCAGCCTTCCCAAAAAACACAGATGACTACATATCGCAGTTTGTGGTTATCCGCCTGTATGCTTCACAGTTTGCCAACGTGTTCATCTGAATTGGGCAACCAAAGCCGGTTACAGTATGTCACGATCCAATATGACTTTACCGCTTTTGGCTCAGACCGCAGACATTGCAGGCCTGATTTCTTGCAACGGGATGTTTTGAAGGGCACGCTTTGCGCTTCATTGCTGGGGCGCTTCTGTTTTCGGAATTTCGGAGATTTTGCAGTGTTTTTGCCGGTATTGCATACCCCACCAAACGGTTGGTGGGACGTACGTCCCCATAATAAATAATTGCTTGTGTGAGACAATTACGGGAAGAGCTGCAGAGCTTCAGCCGTCAGGCATCATGTTTGTGCAGGTTATAGCTCTGACGAACAAGAACTTATTTCTGTTGCAGGGCTCATCTTCCTTTGAAGAACCCCTGACCTAGCCATTGCCCCTTTCAACCCGTTTAAGGCTGTGTGTGTGCGTGATTTTTGAGAGTACCCTTTTCAGCATGGGCTTAGGGAGAAACATTTTGGGCTCCTCCTCTTGTGAAATCTATCCTCAACTTGTGCTGGTTGCTCAGGTGATGTTCATGCTCGGGGAGATCGATTGCCGGGAGGGCATCCTGCATGCAGTCCAGAAGGCACGTGGACGAAGGGCGCCGATGCACGCCTTCCAAAAGCATACTAGGGGGAGTGGGGTGAGGGGGAGGGGTGGGGCGGTCAACGAACCCTTTGGGCGTTGTACCCTGGTTCGCTGGTTCAACGGGTCAACTATAGAGCACGTTTCCGGATGCCCGACGCCGTGCTGGAAGGTTAGCTTGCATCACTGGCTGACGCCAGCATTTTTGAGACGTATCCCGGTAAGGCATTGGGTTCATCCGTGGTATGGCGTTGCGGGAGCTGACCTCAATCGCTAAGCACAGGTTTCTCAACACGCCGCCATTCCAACCTAGGACCTACAGTAGTTGCCACACAAGAAGCGGGGCTCGTGTACAGTCATGTGTTGTGTTCGATCTGTCATGTTCCTCTCTTTCACTTTTCTTGAGGTTCCACGTTTCTTTCCAGGGCATCCACAGACGTTTTGCCCCTTTGCCCCTCGCCCACGCATGGCCAGGGAAAGCACAGCAGCGTGGAGGAGGCCCTTTCTCGGATCGTGGATGTCTACGTGCAGCTTTTGGAGCAGGTCCGAAAGCCCCCCAGCCAGACTTCAGACCGGGAGGTGTTTGCCAGATCCACCCCACCCCATTTGGGGGTCTCCGGGGGAAAAAAAAAACATGATTGGTTTCGAGCATTTTGGGGTCTCGACCCAACAAATATGGTTGAGGGGGAAGGTTGAACATGAAGAATCTGACAGCACCATTTTTGGTGCAGGGTACTGGAAGTGGGTCCCCTTGTCCGCCTTGCATGTGGAAAATCATGCATGATCAGGGGGGCGCCTATAGTTTGCAGTTAGAGTTGGGGATTGTGTGCCTGCCGTACCTGGCGTGACGCTCTCTGGGGCTCGGATGGCCTGGCTCCTGCTTTTTCGTCTGGAGGTATCTGCACGGGCACTTTACAAGACAAAATTGATGGATGTGTCCATCGTGAGATACCAGGAGTGCCACCACCGAATCATCCAGACACATGTCCCTAGCAACTAAGTGCTAAGCGTGAGGAAACACAAGCCAACGTGACAGCCTGTGCGCGAGGTACCAGGTGGATGTAAAGTGGTTGGTCCAATTGGATGGACAAAGTATATCCTTGTAGTTCCCGTGGCGCTTGGACAATTGCTTGGCCCCAAGAAAGCATTCCAAAAGTGGGGGGCACAACACTCAAATATAAACTTGTGAGGATTCATGCGGATCAAGGAACTTTTTGTGAAAACGACTTGACTGGCATGATCCTAGGGCTAATGTTGGGCCAAGCCCTTCAGGCACAGCTTGGGATGTCAGGCAGTGACGCTTAGGTTCATTTCGTGTGACTCAATTCGCCCGTGTCACTCAAATCAGGAAGAGGCAAACTAGCCGCCTCTTCGTGCACCCTGTGTGCGGGGGCCCAGCTCTGCGAGAGGGGCGATGTTCTTTTTCCAGAAAGCTTTGGCTGAAAAGCGGCATGACAGCTCCACTCTTTGCATGGGAGCAAGAGTGGCCCCGCCAGTACAGGGCCAACGCAAAGAAGTGTGTAGGTTTGTGCATGTTTTATATGCGTATTGCTGTGAATGGTCAGCTACTTTTCACTTGGAGCCCTCATTGCCAATGCTTAGCCGCGTGCTCGACTTACAAAGATCGGTGCTTGTCGACGCACACTTGGCGGAATCCCTTTGCCAAAATCGCAGCAGGGATCAGGAACGTGCCTTCGCTGGGATAACTCCACGATCCACTCGCACGCACCTTTCAATAGCATCAGATGACGCGAGGGGAGTCTCTTCCGCCCTGCCCCCTTGGAGCGTGGCTTTGTCAGCCGTGTGTGCGAGCGGCCCATTTGTCAGGTCTGTTGAATACAAGTATCTGCCTGACGATTGCAAGTGGCTTGCCTTCGAAATGCCACCAGTACGTAAGACATGTGTTTGTATGTGTGCATGTATGTGTGTATGGTATAAGTGTGAAACTTTACTATCTATCTCCCTCTCTCTCTATATGTATATATATATATATACGTATATATATATATATTGTTTCTCATTTTTGTACTTGTCATGTTCAAATATGAATAAGGCCCTGGCTTCCCCGGCTCCTCCAGCCCGTTGCCTCAAGGCCCACAGTCCTCCCAGAGACTCGGTTCCTCACCCTGGCCATGAACGAGCTGCTGCTGTCAGAGAAGACACGCGCCGACATGGCGAAGGCCGTGTGGGTGAAAAGCGCCAACTAACGCTGCTAGCTAGGGCTGGTGCATGAGAGCGGGATTCTTGCGATTCGGGCCGAAAGGGGCATGCATTGCGTTTGTGAACTTGGCTGTCCTAAAGGATGATTGTGTCCATATTTCGCGGACCCCTCCTTATCTAACAACCATAGTTGTTACAAATCTTTGGATCCTCCAGCCATATAGCAAAAGGCCGTTATTTTTTGTGAAGTGCAAGTTCTGCCATTGGGGACCTGCACGGCCACAGCTGGAAGCAGGCACAGGATGAAATTGAAGGATCCCGTCTTAGAGGTGCTCTTCTGGCTGGATCGCGCTGATTTGCACGACCCAACGGGGCAGGCAAAGTCAAAACCGGTGCAGGCGGAGGTTAGTTTGGAAGATCGGTGTTTTTCTTGAAGTCAGAAACCCTCAGTTCTCCAAGCTACCAAGCACATGCGCGACATTTCTTTTGTCAGACAAGGGACTTGGTGTGTCCCACGCCGCCAGGTTTGTGAGAAGGGCATGGGAGGGGAATGATGATCTGGGATGCCATGGTTGCAATCGCAGGGGTTCGGGTTGCTGCTTTCGCACACCTCGAGCAAAGTGTGTCAAGCTGCATGGGCAGCTTGGAAATTGACTTGGCCTGTCTTGTGCTCAGGTGAGGGCGAAAGTACTGGATGTGGACAGCCGCTTGGTAAAATGGATCCTGCACGGCTACTTGTGATTTTCGAGCCCCTCAGGACAGCCTGCTAGGACAGCCTTACCCAGCTTGTTAAGGGCGTCCACCTGAGATTGTGTTGGTGGCCCCTGTTGCACCCTTCCTCCCACCAAGCTGGCTCATGAAATCAGTCATAGAATTGCTTGTGCACGGAACAATATGTTTGAGAAGCAGCTGCATTGAAAAATGCAAGTGCTGTAATCCATTGTTGCTCAGGTTGCTTGAGTTGCCCTTGCTTACAGCACCTGTTCTTGCCAGCCCTGGGCGCAAGTGTGAGATCGGATTCAGCTGTTTGGGTTCGTGCCTCAAAGAATGACCCTCCTTCGGCCGACCATCCAAGGCGTTACAGGCATGTTTGATGGAGCAGAACCTCGGCAAATGCTCTGAATTTGGTCAAACGCTAGGGTGGTAAGAGCACGTTGGCCTTACATCACCTACCGGTTGCCATGCTGAGCCAAGTCACTTGCCCCTCGTTGCCAGTCCTCATTAGCGCGGTAAATGACAAGGAAGTTGTCCCGTAGGTATGCCCTACGAGTCCCTCTTATTTAGTGCTCGCCAGTTTGCAGCATACCCAGGTAAGACTGTTTCAGAGGCTCACAGCAGAGGGCGCCTGTTTGTCATCACCTGCACGTTAGCAAGGAGTCGAAATTCCAAAAAAGAGTATCCCACAAATCTCTTCCCAGAATTATGGTTGCTTGGATTCCATTATGTCACTACTTGACTTCCCACGGCGGAGGCATCTTCCGGGGTACCACCAGCGGTGTGACGGACGCCGGCCAACTGGCGGCGCTGCCCATCCTGCCGGAGCTTAAGCTCGATGGCATCCATTTGCAGCTCGGCTGATAAGTGCGGCTCCGGTTTTTGTTGGTTTGGCAGGGTGCTGTCTTTCACTTTGTTGCATTTTGCCAAGGGATTTTAGGACTTTAACTCTTTGCATTGTGAACCACCAAAAGTTAAACTTTTAGCAGGGGAGCATGCAGAAAACAACCAAGTTCAGGATAACGCTGGCTGGTGGTTTGGATTGGTGGTTTGGGATGTGGATTGGCTCCCCAACACCACCAAACCACCAATCCAAGCCACCAATTAGAGGGAAGCCGAGCTTTATGCGCCCCAAGGGTGGCAGTGCTCTTGCTTTACTACAGGAAATGTTTGCCAAGAACGCTGTGAACGGGCACTGGTTGAAGCGCACTGCTCGCTCACAGATTCCGCACGTGTGAAAGCCAGGGGAGAGGCAGAACAGGAGCTTCCCACACCCCCAATCTTTGCCCGAAAAGCTGCAAGCAAAAACTAATCTAGGAAACTGCCAGCCTAGCTTCCCTTGATTTGTGACGTCAACAGCTAAGGGCACTTTCAAAGGGGTCGCTCAACTCTTGCTATAGAGTATAGATCCTCCAACGGAGCCGTTGTTTGCCAGGAACCCCTCGTACGTGCAGTCGCACCTCATGCCGGCTTTGCAGCGAGCATGGACCAAAGACGATGAGCGGTGATGGCTAAGCCCCATGCATTCCCTGCACATTGATTGGGCTGTTCAAAGGGTCCTTCCAGCGGTTTGCCAATTTCCAGTGTGGATTCGGATGGCAACCTCTCATTTTGAATAGCCCGCACTGTGCCGTGGTCGAAGACCTGGCTGTAGCTGAGTACTAAGCTGGCCTTGGCGTTTGGGTCTCAAGTGCAGTTGCATACAGTATTTAACATGACTGGTGCTCGGCCAGAACATAGGGACTGCTAAACGAAGGCATCCATGACCATGTCAAGCCCAAATGTTCACATGAGGCATGCGAGTTGAGCATGATCACACCCTTTGCAATGCAGATTTGTCATATTTATCCGATAGCATCGTGACAATCACTTCCCAACTTTCGGGGGTCTCCGAGACACGTCAAGAACGTTCTAGCGGTGAACAAATTTGCCAGAATTGTTATTCACTGATATCTTCCCCTTGGATTCTTGAGGCAGCTCATGAATGGCTCTGTCCACTCTTTTCTCTGATGTCGTCTCTATTTGGCTCGTGTTGGTAGCTGATGTGATTTATTTGTGAACTACTTGGGTGGCATGCGAGAATGAACAGGGCTGCAGCCGAAAGGACGCCTGTGCAAATATGTGTCCATGCACCAGGAGCGGAAAGCGACAGCATGACACTCCGCCTTTTGCTACAATACATCAAACATCTCATCAAGTGCCTATTTATTTAGCTACTTTTGGACATCCCCAGAACCCACGACCCACAACACGGCATTTTTCCAAAGACCGAGATGGACAAGTTTGGGAGGGGGGGTAGGAAATATCCATGGGCTGGATGAGGCTCCGAGGGTGCTGAGAGCGTTTCTGCAAGCCAGGGAATGCTGGGGCATTGCGAGACTTCCCTTTGCTGAAGATGATGCAATGATAATGCATTATGTTTCGCTGGTGGTTTTTCGTCGACCTTTGTTTGAGCAGCACCTCCGGCAAATGGAAGGAGATGCGTCTCTGGGCGATGCATTGCCGTAGGGGAAACCAAGAGAGTGACGAAAAGGCAGTGGCCCGGCATGGGCTACGCTGAGACTTTGGTTTGCTGAGAACGAGATTGGCCACTGGGTAGCCACCAGGCAAGATGAATGATACATAACTATTATATAACCTACGTACTGTAGGCCCCATGTGATGTGTTTGGTTCTCAGAAGTTTGATCAGCTCTTCCGTGCTTTGTAGTTTGGACTGCGTTTTGCGTCAGCCCGTACGGACATGATTGATCACGTTCACCACCCGGGACCTTTTTTTTTTTTTGAATATGTCCAACAAACTTGAGTACAGCTTAGATGTTTCCGCCTGCCCCCCCTTCCCAATAGCTTGCAACTTGGGTGCCAGCAACGTTAGGGCAACCGATAGGCGCCATCCCGTGTCAGGCCGCTTTGAAGGCTGCTGAGATGTGGAAGGGCCGCCAGATGGCACGGCCCACGCAAGTATCAGGCTCGCTTCATGGCATGGGCAGCATGCGGGCACAGTAGGGCAGGTTTCTGGGCAAATTGCAGTGCCCTCGCACAAGGAGTTTGCGACTTCACCCATGAAGGTTCCTAGCTTGAAAGTCCCCTGTTTCAAACGTGTGAATTATCATAGTGTGTGTTCAGTGTTTGTGACGGCCCGAAACAGCAACTAGCTGTTGCCCTGTCAATAGTTACAGCTGGGCTTGAGCGGCCAGACCAAGATTCATTGCAAGCAGGGCACGGTGATATTGCCTAGACATAGACAGAAGCAGTCGATTTCAATTTGCTTGGGCAGGTTTGGCCGCACCCTGACACCATGGCTGCGTGCATGGTACATGAAGGAATTGCTTGCTTAGGAGTCAGCAAGCACTTGGGCATACCTTAGCGCCCTAGCTTGCACGGGGCAGTTTACAATCGCCGCAATAAACGTTATTTTCAAGGCATGACCATGGCGCGCAGAGGCATTAGGTACTTAATTGCAATGAACCGCATTTTGATGCCCCACGGCCCCAGATTTCACGTTCAACAATGCCCAGACGGGGAAGTTCATGGCTTTTGGTAAAGAAGGTGCCGCATGGAGGCTTCCCAGCTCCAGTCAGCTGGGATGTGCCGTTTTAGATTACGTAGCTTAATAAGTGCAAATGTGATGACATCATACTCGTACCATATCATACCTGATCCAGTCCTGATCCCACTCTTTCCTTTGAGTGCTTTCATCATTCAACCCTATGGACATGCAGGGCTGGTGTGAAGATGTGCGAAGCAATGCGTGCGTCAGCCGTCTCGTCGCCTTTGACCCTCAGGTTCCATGAATCTGCCTGGCATGGTGGTCTCGCCTAGGCCGGTCACTCTCCGACAGTCATTTTTGCCGAGGGTGGTCCCTTGCCCGAGACATTTGGAGGTACGTACTGCAATCTTTTGGCAGTCGCTTGGGTCGAGACACATGTCTTGCGCGTGGCACCTACATGAGATAAGCACGCACACACACACACATGCCTATATCTCTACATGCACTTTTTCCCGCCTGCCTTGGGTTTGTTGGGACCGCGCTGCACCATGCAGCCTGACAACAACGTACCATGCAACAATCTTTCACTGGCTCATCGCACGTAGGTGTGGCACACCCAAAGTGTGAACTGGCAACTCGTTACTGTCGTGTTCCAATTGCTTTGAAAGCGGGAGCTTTCAGGGGCCATGCTTCAAGAAACTACACAGATTCCTGCTCATGTCACGTTGCATTAGTGGGAAGTCCCAGTATCAAAAGACGAGAACTTGTATTGCCATCACCCCACGTAGCTCCTCCGTTGCATATCAGGCTTGACCATTGAATCCCGGAGTTCCAGCATGACGCAATAATGGCATCACTACTGTTTCTTTGAACAGATGCTCAACCGAAGTAGCAAACCAAAAGAAGTTAAAACGACCACTTATACACAGGCTAAGAGGACGACACAGCATCACGTAGCAGCTACCACTTACGCTCTGCCAAACAGCATGGCAGCATAGTGGGCTTGTCGTTTTCCCATACTAGTACCATTCTTTCGATTCAACCAGGCTGTTGCGGTTTGTACATGACAATTTGCAGGGCTCAAGGACTGTCCGACGGTCCACCTACTTTACTGTCCATCAAGTTTCTAGTTTAACGACGGTCTGTCTTGCGCCTTCTCATGAGAGTCAAAGATCCCCAGAATGTTTTGCGGGTCACATTGGGGCGTTGAAAAGGAAGGGAGATACTGAAATTGTGTCTGGACAATCCAAGCTGCCATTCTAGAGAAAGGATGACTTGATTTGAAGCTAAAAGGCCTCAACCATGATTTTGATCCCACATTCACGCGCCCAGGGAGTGGCCCTTGAATTCCCTTGAATGAGGCACTTTGCCTCGACAGGAGCACCGAGAGAAGCTTGAATCTACGAGGCTGCTCGGCCGCAGGGTTGCTCCTGTTGGGGTGGATCACGCAGGGCCGCATATCTGGGGCTAGCCAGGAAGGGCCCTGAGTTATGCATAGCAAACGTCGGCCAACGGAAGGTTACCAAGCAACCTGCCCTTCCCCCCCCTCCCGCCCTTGAACCGCGCAACGGCACTCCAAGCACAGCCTAGGAAGCAGCCAGCCTGGCTCAGTTTCTCCCGGAGCATCCAGAAGGCCGGCACCTCGCCACAGTGAACCGGCCTTCCCAGAAGACACACCCTGCTCCTCTGAGATGTTGCTAGGGGAATCAGTATCAGCGTCAGTGCCAATGGTGTGGTCGCAGTCGTTGTTGTTGTTGTTGTCCTTTTCTTCGTCCTTGTTGTCGTTGTCGTTGTTCTTGCCGTTGCTAGTAGTGTTGTGTTTGTTGCACTTGTCGTTCAGGTTCTTGTTACATTTTTTTTATTGTGCGTGTGTGTGTGTGTTGTATGTGTGTGTGTGTGGGCGCGCTTGTGCTTGTTATGTATTATGTGTGTGTGTGTGATGGTGTGGCTGTTCGCGTTGCTGTTCTTGTTAGTACGTTCTGGCAGTGTTATTGTTTCTGTTGTTGTTTCTTCTTTTTTGTTTTATTGTTTTTTTTTCTTTTTCTACCGTTGTTGCCGTTGCAGTTGTGGTTGCTGCTGTTGCTGCGCCTGCTGCTGTTGTTGGTGGTGCTTGTGCTGGTCGGCGCCGAGTTGGTGCTGGTGCACAAGCGGCTGCTGGTGCTTGTGCTTGTGCCGGTGCTGGTGATGATGCTGGCGGGGATTCCGCTGCGGCTGCTGGTGCTGTTGTGTTGGTGGTGCTGCTACAGCTGCGGCGGCTGCTTTCGCTGCTGTTGTAAATGGTTTGTCAGTCGTTGCATGTGTTGTTGTTTTGATGTTTGCTCGCGGGAACAGCGGATATGCATCAAGCAGCTTTTGTGTTGTTTGTCGTTTTGCTTTGGAGGAGCACCGGAAGGCCGGAATCAAAAGGCAACTTGGCAGCCTTGGGCGAATGACAGCAGTTGGGAGTGACAGTTATGTTTAGCACAAGCTTGAGTGTGCTGTGCTGCGCGTGGCCTATTGAGGCGACTGGGATGATGCCAGCAGTGCTCGAAGCGCCTGGGATAGCGATGGGTCACCTGTGGAGACCAGTCAGGTCAAGCAGAATCCTCTTGTCGGGTGTGTCTGTTTTTTTGTTTCTTTCTTTTTGTTTTTTCTTTGCACCCTTTTTCAAACAAGGGAAACCGCCGATTTTGAGGGTCCCCTATTTTGAGACAACCCGACTTCTTCTTAGTGGTTGAAAAAGATGCCCCAAAGCTCCTTTTCTATGCGTAGCTCGGGCTGTCCGGGGCTGCGCAAGGACCTAAATCTCCAACCTAGGATCTCGCTTTGCCAGCGAGGCAAAACCTTTAACAATTGCAAGCACAAATAATCACAAAGACTTTTTCCCCTTTTTTTTCCGCAACCGATTCTTAGTTCTTGTTTGACTTATTAGCTGTGCACCTTGGCTTGAGGGCTGGCAGGCCAAAGCCTTGTGAACAAACTGACGTTTACTGGCAGCCTGGAGCCAAACATGGCCAGCACGAATAAGCGTGTTGAATGAGGATATTGCATATTGCTTTCCAGTGTCTTTGGGCCAAAGATCCCAGACAGCAAGCTGTGACTTGAAATTGTGGAGGTCATGTAGGCCCATCGTGTTGCGAGCTCGCTTCAAGAAGCGACCTGCTCGGAATTGACACGGTCCCTTGCTTCTGGATGTTAACCTGGTGCTTCATTTTTCACCGGCCAATAAAATTGAATTGTGAACGCCCCTCAATGCATGACCGAACTGGATGGGAGAGGGGGTTCATGTTAATTCCCTTTCAATACAGAACGGAAGCTTCCTTTGCTTCTTCATTTGACCGGCCAATCGGAAGCTGTCTCATCAAGGCACATCAAGGCCCCCTCCTATGGTCTGTTCGCAGGTGTAAAACAGGATGCCTAAAAGACATCGAAATACCTCGCCCAGCTGGGGTGCCCCCAGTTTATGCCACGCCCAAGTGATATCCTGAAGTTTCGTGCACGAAGGGCGCCAAGCCAAGGCACCGCCGCCAGCTGGCGACGCCCAGGCTCGAAAGGACCAGCCGTGAGCCGTCGACCCGCGAAGTCTGGTTAGCGCAAAGTCATGCGGGGGGACCTCGTTGTCAGTACCATGACGCAGCATGAAGCACCATCCTTTGGAGGTACAAGCCACTTCATGAATGTACCAGGAAGAGTCAGAAGGTGTTACGGTTTTGCCCAGGTTACTGTACTTACCCTGACTGCCTCTTTGCTCAAGTAGGTCCTCATTGCGCGCCTGCGCCTGGTTCGTCAGTGTCCGGTGTGACTCGCGCCTGGATTTCCAACGCAACGCACATAGGGCCAAGCCATACTCTTGTTGATGCATTCTCAGCATCGGTTGCCGGTTTCTTTGTGTGGAACGTGGTTTGCACGTCTGTGCTGTGTCCAGTTGGACAGATGTTTACCAGCTGCCAGCCACAAAGTTCGGTCCATGCAGCTGGCTGCGCTTGCGGTGCGTAAACGTTGCTTCGGGAACCCAATGAACGAAAAGGGAAACGAGGTGCTGCTAAAGAAGTCTGTCATAGGTGCACTTTGCACTGATGCAACAATAAATGCACGATCTTACAAGCAAAACGGCAGGTCCAAAGAAACACAGTTCAGACTGGTTCAGCATGAGGCTAATGATATCTCACTGGCCCTCTCCTTGTTTGACGTCCATGTCGTCATCACCGGTCGAATCGTGCCTAGTGGCCCTACGCATGGGTAACAATGGTTATCCGCATATCCTCGCCACAAGGAAAGGCATTGATGATTTGACAACCACTGAAACCCGTTCAATCTCGCGAGATAATTGCAGGTTCTCTTGAATGGATTGAGGACCATACGCCAGGCCTAGCCCACAAAACATTAACAACCCTGATCAGGCCGGCAAGTGGCTTAGAAGCAACAAGGCCAGCAACCAAGCCGCAAATAATCAAGCATCTTGCTGAAGAAAACGATGGGACAACGCCAACAAAACACAAAAGAGGGCCAATTTGGACCTGTTCCATTCAGATTGGCTTAGCTTCCGACGTTGCTTGGCCAGGCAGCGCTTCGTCCACACGAGGCTTTTCCAAGCGAGTGCCTCTCTGAAGGAGCGGTCGCTTGCAGAACAAATTCGCTACCACAGTTGTTGAGGTGGACAGCGGGAAGGACTGCAACACTCGCAAGCAGGAATGGGAGCCCATGAGAAAATATTGCTTACAGTGGGGTACGTATGTTTATTGCCCAAGCTGTGCTTTGCACAGCCCAGCGCGTAGACTAGGATGGCTGGCTGGCGACATAATGCTTCGAAGAGCCGAGGTTGTGCTGGCCTGCACAGATCATCAGATGCCTCACCCTAACCTCACCTCAACACCCAAACAAGAACCCTGAACAACCGCGGGAAGATGTGGGAAGCTTTATTTCGACAGAGACGTAGGTCGGGTCTAGGAGAGAGGGCTCGTCATTTCCTTCAGAGCTTTATGTTCCATCCTCAGATGGCAAAGAAAGTCAGGCATTTGGCACTAGGGTGGCGTTTGAGCCACCAAATCATACCCGGTGTTTGACCATGTAATGAGTCGCTTTCTCATAATAAGACGCATGTGTGCACCTTTGTAGGCCCCTGTTTTTGCCTTTGCAATTAGGTTCTCAGGTGGATTCCTTGGAAGACAGCCCAAAAAAAAGCAAAAACAACCTGTTCTGAAACGACCGCCGTTTCCATAGCCAGTCCTTTGCAACTGATGTCAGCTACAAGTGCTGCAGCTGAGAAGCCCTGCTGCAAAAGCAGCGTTTGGCAGTGCCGTGGATTGGAAAGAAGCTTGGAGCAGAAAGCCGGTCAGGAGACATTGGGCCTTCATAAGGTTTTCCGCAGACTGTAGTGAGGAGTCTAGGCAACTGGTACGTTTAGCCCGGCTCATGAGAGAGAATCCGTGTGTTTGTTGGGCAAGGCCTCCAGAAGCTGATTGCCAGCTGCTACCGACCTTTTTACATGTGCAGGCACCGTAAACATTGTTGGCATCAACCGTTCCCGTCGTTGCACGGCAAATCAACACATTCCATGCATCGCTTTGGGGCACCCCCACATTTAGTTTGAAGGTGGCGACAAGCTCAAATCAATCATGTTGGACTTGTTTCGGTTGGTCCATTTATTCTCCCGCGGGCTGTTGCTTCGCATATGCGGTGGTGGGGGCACTCCGTACATTCCTCACAGATGTGCTGAAAAATGAACATTATTGAATCACTTCCTTAGCCGAACCAGGTGCTGCAATGGTATGTGTAGCCGGATTGTTTGTTTTCTACGCATGAGAATGCCCCAACCATCCCCGTGTCATCCTGAGGCACCCAACGTGCCTTTTTTTTTAGGTACGAGAAAAAAACGCTCGAATTACCGATTTCTGCTCGACCCCCCAAAAAACGCTCGCCCCCCGAAAACGTTCGACCACATCCCGTTCTTCCATCCAGAGGAAGGCGGGATTGTTACGTTTTCTAAATTTGCACTCGTTTGCGGATATGTGCGCTCGCGCTCGTTTTGCACTTCGATTTCTGCTCGCTCCTTTTGAATATTCAGCGACCGATCATCTTGGAGGACCGACCAGCCTGGTTTTGGGAAAAACGCTCGAAGCAGGAACAAGTGTACGTTTACCATATTTTGGTGACGACCCCTGGTTTTGCAATACGTTTGGGCTAAGGGCAGAAATTTATGTAACGAAGGGTGCTCCAGGATTTAAAAGGAGTCCGCATAGATCATGCTTGGCCGCTGCCTCGCCAGCATTGGCTCACCGCTCTCCCAAACGGGGTCCTAGTGGATACCACTTCTTCGCCCTGCGATTTCTTCCGTCGGACCGGCCCATGTCAAATTGGGCGGAGATGGAGAGTGTAAGCACGGATGGCAGCTCGAGAGACTTGGCTCAGAAGATGAGTCAGGGGGCTGAAATCTTCTCGCAAGCTGTATGTGCGAGTGTGTTCACTTCTCCTTGTTTGGCATCGCTAATTTAGGAAAGGGGGCATTTCTTACGAACACAGGGGCAGACAGGTACTAGTCATGTTTTGGCCGGAGCTTTTATGAGGCCAACCCTGTGTCGAAACAATCTCCAGTTTGAAGCTGTTCCTGAAGGAAACCTGACACGGGGTTGCGGCATCCAATGCGACCTTCATGGGATTCCATAGTTCCGTGGAGATTGCATGGGGTGCGTCAGCGAACGGGAAATTAAGGGATGGTAGGCAAAATGCTGGCGGACTCGCGTGTCAAGCGTTGATGTGTTCTTTGTTATTGGAAGGTTCGGGGGGTTGAGCTTCATTTCGCAGCTCCAAAGCCGCTTTAATTTTGTTTCGCATGCTCTTTTGGACCCACCCACCACCCTACCCCCACCCACCCCACCCAAAACTCCACCCTACCCCCACCCCACCCCACACCTCACCACCCGCCACCCGGGCCCAGGCGACTTCGACAAAGAGCCGGAGGTGGACACCACGCGCCGGTGCTGCTTCGCCGCGGCGGGGAAGCGCAAGACCATGGCTCCTCCGCTGGTCCTGGTGGTGGGATTGGTTTGACTTTGCCAGAATTAGTTCCTTGTTTTTCTGTTTTTTGTTTCTTTTAGTTTTTTTCCGCATTTTTGGGGTCCCCTTTGTTTTCCACTAACCAGGCAAAACATATAGTGTCTTTTTTGTTACTGGGGTCCAAATTCCAGCCAAGTTGAATGGAAGTTAGAGGACCGCAACTTGCTTGCTGTGGTTCATGGCAGCTTAGCCATGCCCGACTTTGAGACATTTTAGAGCTTGGAGGGCCTGGAGGGGTTTGTCTCCTTCGAGACTAAGATTTAGAAGGGGATCAACCAGCCGCAAAGGTGTAAAGTGAAATAAAAGGGGCGCTGCCCGTCAAAAGCTTGCATGTTTGACGGCATGAAACCGATCCATACCTTCCAAACCTGAAAAATGGGGGCCAACTTTCGGCTCATAGAACCGGTTTGGGTTAGCTGTCGAGCTGTGTTTGCGGCTGGTTCAGGGCTGCGTTTGGTGTTTTCTTCGGTGTTGGCATGTTCGGGGGTGGCTGGGGGTTATAGGCACGCTTGTTTGTTGGTCTCTGAAACCTGAGGCATCTGTCCTGGCCGAGATGGATCATGAGCCGACTGAGGGTACCAGGCCCAGATGCAAGTGCTCCGTTGGCTTGGTATTTTACAAGTAACTCAACGGTGCTGGTAACTTACAGTTGGATTTTCATGTTATTCAGCTGGCCTGGTTGAATGAGCAGGGATGAATGAATGGCCGTATCCCAAATGAACGCGCCAACCAGCAGAGGAAGGTTTTGATACACCAGTCCGATGGCTGTACCCAGCACCTTTACGCTCTGGGATGGCTTGAATCTCAAACCGCTACCCTCAAGGCATGGAATATACAGCCACCAGCCACTAATTAAATTGGTAAACCATGGTAAACCCCTGTTTCTCCCAGCGGCCTCATTGTGATTTTACATGATTTTACGGGTTGCTTGCCAGCTGATTTGGAGGGAACCCTTGCCAATCAGACCAGGCTGGGGTTGTTGGACCTCCTGTGCATTGGCATTGGCTCCACGGTGGGGTCCGGCGTCTTTGTGCTCACAGGGGAGGTCTTACCCGTTGCAGGCGGGATGCGAGGAGACGAGCAGACCGCGGGCCTTGGGCCCTTGGGCTGTTTTGGGATTCTCAAGTTACGGAATTGGGATTTCTGAGGTTCACTCAAGTGTGAGCTTGGCATTCTTGTTTCTATGTTATAAGGTTTACGCAAGTAACCCACGTGAGTCGAGTGCAAGGTACGAGCAAGTGATCCGTTTGAGTGACCCAAGTGGCAGACATCAGTTAGCGTATCCGAAAATTGTGACTTGGTAATTATGTTGCAGCCAGTCGGCCAGTCAGGTAGCTACATGGTCAAGTCTTATTTTTTGAGGTCACTGAACCAATGATATATAGAAGACCTGAACGTACAAATGAGCAAACATAAGCAGCCCACGGAGCAACAAGCAAGCTTGCCAACTTTGCTCGCCCTGCCAACGACGGCAGCTTGCCTTAAGCTCAGGCAGCACTGCTGGCAAATGGCATCCAGGTTTTTTATTTTTTTTGGTTTGCCTCCAACTAGGCCAAACAATCCAGCAAGACGCCTCCATCCACACAATCCCCGCGTGTACAGTCAGCCTGAGGGCACGTGGCCGATTCCCCAGGACTCCTTTGCACGGCATTCCCCGGAATGACCGGCTGACCGCAGCCGGAGCCGCAGTGCAAATTCGCCGCACGCAGGCCCCGCAGCCTGCGTCAGCTGGTTCTTTGCGGGCATCGCGTGCTTGTTGAGCGGCATGTCATACATGGAGCTCTCAGCGCCTTGGCGAAACAAATCGGACAGGCCGAAAATGGACCCCCCCAGATAAACATGGAAGCACAGCTGGAGTGCCCGCCTGAGTGAGTGCGCAGAAAAAAGCAAAAAGAGGAACCCCAAAGGCCATGATCTTTGGAGGAAGCCCCTTTAGGTTAGGGCAACGAACCCTGCTTGCAAACAGTCTTCCAGGAATGAGCTGGCTCCAGGAATCGCGGTCGGTTCACCCAACCTGCTTTGTCTCAGGATGCTTGCCTGACGCTCTCCCACAGGGCACTTCCCTTAAATGCCATGTCAGTACATCCTGCTTTTAACCACTGGCTGTTTTCTTGGTTTGTTGGTCTCCCCCAAATTTGAGGCCAGGGCATTCCACGCCAGGCCCGCTTGCCAACCCGCGGGTCTTGCTACACCTTCTCCTACCACGGCCTGGGAGAGCTCGCAGCGGTGGTAGGCCTTCACCGGCGCAACGGAGTTTCGTTTTTTTGACAGGTTTCGGGGGTTCAGAGCCCCAACTTGGGTTGGGTTCCCTTTGGCTTCCCGGTAAGGCTTGTTCAGATAAAGGGTGCGTTCAACAACACCCATGTATGTCTGTGCGCAAGCTGGCAAGGGCCAACAACAGGTGCATCGTGCACCCGTGGCTAAGAGGAAGCTGTGAACCATGACTCGTTCCCGTGATGCGAGGGCATGTTCGAGGCAGGACTTCCATGTGTAGAGTGGCGGGCAAGAGCAAGGGCATCATAACAGGGCAGCATTGTTTTCAAATACGCCGTCGAGTTCCGGCTCCTTTTGTCATGCAAGTGTAGATGCACAGTGAGATGAATCGCTTCAACACACCCCATTGCCTTCTTCCGCTAGAGTGACTAGAGCCACTGGTGACTGGTGAGTGAGCTTGCCGTGTTTGTGGAGGCCCAGGCGCCGAGCAGTGAACGCTTGTCAGGTCCTGTGCTGTTTGAGATGGGGTGCGCTTTTCACACCTGTCTGAACACCTGGCCTTGATTGCCAGTTTTCGCATGGGATATCCTTTTTTGCGTCTGCAGGCGCCTTCTGCATCACCTTGGAGTATGGCATTTCGGGCGCCGGAGTTGCCCGAAGCTGGTCAGGGAAGCTCTCCAGTTTTTTGGGCGCCTCAGCCTGCAGACGGGGCGGTGGGAAGAAAAACAGTTGCCTGGAAGGATTTGACTTTGAGAAGGTGTTTCTTTGTTGAGCGCAACCCTTTTGGGGTTGTTTCAAAGGGAGAAGGGTGCAACCAACTCGCTTGGGGCCCTCTATGTTGACAGAAACCCGTTTGGAGGTTTGCTCAGCCGCGTGTTGTTGGACAGCGCCTCAAGGGTGATTCATATCAAGGCTGCAGGCTTTGCTAGCTGAGATGGGGGCTGTAGGGGCCAAGTTGCGGCCAACCGGCATCGGGTACATCGTGCATGTGTTGCCAAGTCTGACGCCGACACGCAATGCGTACAATTCGTTCTGCGATAGTCTGCGATATTTTGGCACGTCTCCAATGTTTGGAGGCCCTCTGCTCCCTACCGCACGCAGACAATTGTCGATCACCACTAGCCGCTATCATTCAGCATCCAGAATCCCTCTTCCAAGTGTGAACAAGGGTCGATTGCCCGGATCCGAGGTGAGGACTTTAAGCATTCCGTCTACTTCTACTTTGGCAAGGGCACCTGGGCCGATGATGCAACTCCGGCGGAGCTGGCCGATCCCTACGCCCGGACCGGGCGCTGTGGGGAGGGCTGGACATGACCTCAAGGTGGTTCATGAACATGGCGCGGCGTGTCGGATGCATGTGTTTTCACCACCTTTGGTGGCCTTAGTGGGCAAGCCGTAGATGTCACACCAAACCGTTGATGCCCAGCATGACCGAGTAAGGGCCCAGTCAACATGTTGCTGATGTACCGTGTGCCCAGGTTCGCTTCCTCGATGCGTGGTTGAATAGGGATGGTGCAAAGACTTGTCATGTCAACATGGGCCTGTTGAAGGCATGAACCTGAACAACAAGGCTGAGCTAACTGGGGCTGATGGGTACATGTAGCTGCTTGGCCTGAATTGCGGGGCAATTGCTTTCAGTCGGACTCTTTTTTCCTTGCGCCCGGCACACCTGCACCTGGCGCATTCCACTAGCTTGTCCACAGCAAAGCTGGGCCAAACAGAGTCATAGGACACGTGGGGAGAGATCACTTCAATGTATCCAGGGTGAATCTCACCAGAGAGCAAACTGGACACACACTGCAAACTCAAGGGTTCTGCCAAGGGTTCACTGGCGAGGACCGACGACAACTACTTGGACCTCGCCGGAGCCTTGCTGACTGCGAAGCTTGCTCCGCATGGACCTCGTTTGGGGTCCCTTAAGAAAAGAGGGCGGTTCCATGGACAAAATCTGCGTGAGGGTATGAGGTTGCTAACAGAAGGGGTGCCCAAGTTGTGTGAAATGGAGCGTTGAGGAGTCTCAAGGATCTTTGGGGAAGCTTACCTTTGCCTCCTGTGCTGAGGTCTCTTGGACAACTTGTGGGGGGACACATATCAGATTGAAGCTCCTTTTGATCGCCCGCAGAGAAAATAGATTCCATAGTCTAGCATTGATGATGGAACTGCGTGGGGGCCCTTTCTTGAGGTCCATGTGCTTAGTTTGGCACTCTCTTTGTCACTTGGAGTATTGCCGATGCTGTGCAGTGTTTCTTGCAATTATAAGTTGTTTAGCAACTGTTTCGATCGCAATGAAGTGGCATGCCTGCCAGCAGGACTGCGCTGACTTTCTCGGGGGAAGAAACATGTTATTAGCTATCAAGGGTGCTTAATTAGCAGGGAAGGAGAACAAGAACTGACCACTGCAGCTGTCCTCGAGAACTGCCGTCCATGTATTTCGCCGTGTCTCCTTCAACAATCCTATGCAGGTGGTACCATCACTTCAGGACAACAAAACCGTTCTAAAGGTACTCCCTTGCACGCCTGTTGACAAAAATGACACTAAGGGGTTGCACGCTGCTGCTCATGGGCGGCTTGTCCCTGAGTAAGACAGTGGTGAACGTCATGACTTTCGCAAAGGTCGCGCTGGCAGCTTGGCGGGGTCGCGAATCGCGCCGCCCGTTCAGCATCCTTTCGCCCCAAATGTTTTTGCCGGTCCAGCTAAAAATGTTCAACATTGTTCAACTAAACGGGCTCTCTATTTTCTAATGCCACTGACTTCGCCCTAGCTTAGCAAATTTGGCGGGACACTGCTGCACTCCAGATGCGGTCCAAGTTTGCACATCAAACAGCCGACGCCCTTATCAACACGCGCTCTCTTTTAGGGTCATCCCTTAGCACATGTTCAAGCACTTTCGGGGCTCGGGCAGGCTCTTGTGGTGGCAAGGTCAAAGCAGCGACGGCCTTTTATTGGCTCCATTATTGGCACTTAACTGAAGCCTATTGAAATCGTTGTTGTTGTTCGTTCGATCATTCGCAACAGTTTTGAATGACCTGTTTCAAGTCGCGCCCCTCCTTGTGAAGTACTTGGAGCAGTCTTTTATGCTGCACACATCAGACTATGCTTCCCATATACACGGTTCTACAGCCTTTTACTGTTTGCCTTGCAGAGTCTCCGGGAACCATCGGACGAAAGCGTTCAAACCCAACGCCCGGTCCTTGCAGTAATCGCCTTTTTCGGGCCCAGTGCGTTGAGGTTGCCTTTATGGTCATCCTCGGCTTTGCCGGCGCTTCGACGCTTGCACCGCAAGCCGCTGTCAACAGCATGCTAGCTGACGCCCCCCGCTCGGTAGCTCAACCTAGTTTTTCAGGTGCATTTTTTGTGTTTTTGGTTTGGAGGTCCCCCACCAAAAGTCAACTCCAAGCAAGGTTCACTTTGTCTACCGTGGTCGCTGGGCAACTGACTAGATGCTGACAGCGCACGATTGCCCGACCCAGTTTTTCCTGCGTTTGCGCAGCCGGGCTTGTGGCATCGCATGAAAGAAGCCCTTCTGTTGCTGCGAGCCAAATCAGAGCAATTTTGAGTTCCCTGTTGTTGTTCGGCTTGTCCTTTCATGTCCTTCTGGTGCCTTTTGCGGTAGTCCCTGCTGCGAGTTGGGGATAGCTTGGGCATTCAAACGCCTCGGATGGACGCCGCATGTCGCTGGCAATGCTTCAAACGCGAAACTTGCAAAGCGCACAGCGATCAGCCCTGCCATGTAGTGCCTCTGCACGGGAAGCCTTCCAAGCGTCGATGGCTTCCACTTACTGAGGACCAACATCTTCGAGTCTGGTGAGACCTTTGCGCCTGAGGGCATGCGCCTCTGCACTTACCGCCGTCCGCTCTTGGCGTGCTTGATTTGTACTCGGGGAGGGTTTTGGGAGGACAAGGGGCAAGTGCACGCAATCGTGAGGGCCTGCGTTTGCGCGGCAGAGTTTTTGCTTTCCTGTTCGCAATCCGGTGTGTGGCTTGTCATTTGTTTTGGTTGTCTTACCATGTCCTTGCAGAGTGCATGTGCTGTTGTGGGGCTTTGCTTGTGCTCCGGCAGCCTGGTCGAGCAGTCCAACGATCCAAATGCCTCCGTACCCCCGGAGGCTCCACATTTTGTTGTTTCCCTTTGAATGGTATGCACGGGAGCTGGGATGGCAGCTTTGTTTCCGGGCCAATTGTGGCAGCCTCGCAAGGGGCTGTTCGACCGCGCCCCTGACTTTCTGTCACTGGGATTCCTTATTTGTGGCTGGTGAACGAATCCTCCGCTGCTCTTTTGCCTCTATTACTGGTGGTGTGAGACCTGAAAGGCTCCAGGTCCCAATTTCCCTTGGTCCTCATGGATATAAATGGGTGTGTCTTAAAATCGGGGTAGTTGGTGTTCCTTTGGTTTCCCTTTAAATCAACCAACCAAAAGGGGTACCACCCAAAAAAAGACAGACCCACATGGACAAATTTGAGTGAGGTAGACCATTTCATGGAAATGGTACGGCGTAAGGAAGGGCATCCTCAAGGCCACGACTTTGCTCTTCTTCGGCTTCATCGGCTTCGACGAGGTCTGCTGCCTATCCTCCCAGGCCAAGAACGCCGCCTCTCAGCTGGGGGGGTGCGAGGTGTGGGCGGGCCACTGGCTGCCGGACCCACCCTGGGCCATACCAGCATACCTGCGTAACATGGCACGGTCCAAAATATGCAGCTGTGGCCAGAACACATTCACAGGCGAGTGTCTTGGTGAGGCGCCGAAGGTGTGGACATCCCGGCCCCTAGCCTGCCCAAGCCAAACGAGCGTGGAGCGTGTAGTGGTTTCCCAAGCTTTCCCCAGCCCTTTGGGACCACATTCTGGCAAGATGCTGGGTCAGCCAGCAGTGCGCGCAGTTGCCACTGACACGGGGGCAAAGCTACTGTCAAGCCCAAACAAATCTAGGCACTGTGACTCAGCAAAACAGGAAGTTGGGGAGCATTGGTGTCCGTTGGGGCTTTTGGGAAAGGAGTGCTACGGCTAGGGATGCTTGCGGCCCTTTAGGGAAACCAGAGCGACGCACGAATCGCGAGAGTTTGTTTTTGCCTGATGGAGGTGGAGGGGGGGGGGACTTTGAACGGCAATCACGAACAGGTAAGCGTGGTCCCAGCACGTGTGTATGCAACCCTTTTGAGCGCCCGACAGATAGTCATAATGCAGTTTCTAAGTAAGGCGTGGTGAGGATGGTTACGAAGGTTTTCTGACTCTTGAGGGCTCCTCATTTAGATAGCGCCTGGAGACCGGTCGGCAGGCTTGAGGTCTGTGAAGTCTGGTTGCTTGATCATGCGGGGCGTGAAACCGAGGAAGGTTTAGGACCCCAAGCCCACCGTCAATCCCTGCGCCACTCACTGAACGAAGCTTTAACAAAATCTCACTTTGCCCTTGACAAAAGCGCCCAGTCCAAAGTCATGCCGATTGCTCTGATCGGCACCCTGGGCGGTGCGGCGGCCGCTCGGCTGAGGGTGCAGATGGCGCACGGAAGGAAAGAGGATGAAACCAACACGGAGGGAAGTTGTGCCATCACCCAACTGTAAGGGTTTGCCTGTGAAACAGGTACCCACTAACCTGCAGGAAGTATATTGTTATTCACCTTTGGCGCGGGAAGCCCACGCTAATTGATGCCCGCGCTAAGTGAATGCAGCAGCTAGTCTTGCTGACCTGGTGGGTATGCACTTTGGCCCCCCCGTCCAGCTTGACACAAAGATCTGTTCCTGTAATAGATTGCTGGTGCAGATAGGCAAAAAGAGGCACGGGTCCAAAACGGGCTCCTGTCGGTGTGTTCGCCCTTTAGGGAAGTTGGGTGGAATCACTTGCTTACGTACTACTAAGGCTCGCAACCCCTATAATTCAAAGGGAGTGCTTGTCCACTGTTGTGGAAGGGCTTGACACTTGGTATTGACTGTCGTCATATCAACGGTTGACATGTGCGAGGAGTCGGTGCAATGATCTATATACAGATTGCGAGTGTACCAGTGTCTTGCAGCATGGCACACTGTGTTTTTGATCCGACGGACTCCGTTGTCCTTGAGTGGTGTGCGACCCGGTGAACCGGGCAGCTTCACGTCAATTCCTATGACTTGTATTTTAAAGAGCCACCCCACAGAAAACATGGCCCTCGCCACCTCTACTGAGTAGACTAACGCAAGCACCAAGAACTGCTTCGGGTAATATGTTTGTGCTTTGGTGTTGTAGTGTAGGTGCTAGTCTGTCTGTTCTTTTCCGTTTTTTTTTCTCTTCGGAGGGGCGATGGCAGGCTCGGATGACGCACTCGCAGACGGAGTCAAACAAGCAGACATGCACACTCATAGACACACGCACACACACACATGCGCACACATACTCACATACACACACAGACATACACATACCCACACAGACACACAAAGATACAAAGAGACACAGACACAAGGACACAACGACACACAGACACGACGACACAAACACAAACACACAAACACGCACACACACACAGACAGACACATACACACAAACACAGACAAAGACACACACACACACACACGACACGCACACGCACACACACACACCCACACACACACACACACCACACGACACACGACACACGACACACGACACACGACACACGACACACGACACACGACACACGACACACGACACACACACACACACACGACACACACACGACACACACATGCCACACACACACACACGGCGCAGACACGACACACACACACACACACGCACGACACACACACACACGACAGACGACACACGACACACGACACACGACACACACACACACACACACCCACACGCACACGCACACGCACACGCACACGCACACGCACACGCACACACACACACACACACACACGCACACGCACTCGCACACGCACACGCACACGCACACACGACACACGACACACGACACACGACACACGACACACGACACACGACACACGACACACACTTGCATATATACATGTATATATATATTATACATATATATATATATATGTGTGTATATGTGTGTATATGTAGAGATTTACGTATTCACAAATTAATATACGTATAGGATTCATGCATGTTAATGTTTACATGTTCATACATGTGTGTGTTATTTGCGCTGGCCACCCTCGAGCAAGGGCTGCTGACAAACGTGGGCTTCACAGGCATCACATGCTGTTCCTTGCAGGTTGCATTCCGTCCTGGCATTGCGCACAGCACATGCAAGAAGCACACAATACTATTTTCTCGGGAAGCCAGAGCTGCGAAGCATGATTAATTGACTTCAGCGACAGAGGGTGACTGCTCGCTCAGGTAATCTCCTTCACTGCGCAGCTGGCCATTTCGATGAATGCCCCGCCGGGACAATCCACAGATTTCGGCGACGCTTTTGCGGCGAAAGGCAGCGCGGGAAGCGTTGGGCAGTGGTGGCTTTTCCTCAAGGTGGATTCCCAACAAAGCCTTCAAGCAAGGATGCCTCTCTATAGACTCTATATTGCAACATGTGGTTGGGGATTTCATTGGGGCTGCCTTGAAGGGCAAGACCATGGATATCACTCTTTGCGGGTTCTCCATTTGGTGGCAAAGCAATGTACAGTAGTTCTACCATATTCCGCCCGAGCTGCAGCCAGCGTCCATAAATGTGCGTTGTTGTGATTTGAGCATAACTTCCTGGGCGGTGCGCAGTATGGCCATGAAGCATATTGTTCCCTTGAAGCAGGGCGAGGTTTAGCAGGGGCAGCCGTCAGCCGAGCTCCAGCTGCGTAAGCACGCCCCTCCCGATCCCGGGTCCATGTTGAATAGCCCATGTAGGCTTTGTCTAAGCGTTTCAGTTTGGTTGGTTCTTGCCATTTTTGCGCACCCCAGCTAGTCGCCTCACCTCAACCCTTGCGCCACGGGCGGCATGTTTTTGTGCAGAGGGTGTTGGGCAGTCGGCAGGTTGGACAGCCTCCGCCAGCATCGTGCGGATTGGAGAGCTGATCCTTTTGCCGTTAGTCGTGCCACTCGGGAAGCAAAAAGGAGAGAGGATGAGTCCTATTGAGTGGCCAGTTTGAGACCTTTTGAGGATGCCAACTGGAAAATGTTTTGGATGAAATGCGCCCTGGCCAATGAAACAAGCCCTGCACCACTACGCGATTGATTGATTGATTGATTGATTGATTGATTGATTGATTGATTGATTGATTGATTGATTGATTGATTGATTGATTGATTGATTGATTGATTGATTGGGTCTTTCTGTAAATAGATATATATATATATTTATTTGATTTGATTTGATTTCATTTGATTTGATTTGATTTGATTGATTGATTGATTGATTGATTGATTGATTGATTGATTGATTGATTTGACTTGATTGGATTGCATTGGATTGGATGGGATTGGATTGATTGTTGGATTGGTGGATTGGATTGGATTGATTGGATTGATTTGATTTGATTTGATTTGCTTGCTTGGTTGGTTGATTGGATGATTGATTGCTTGCTTGCTTGGTTGGTTGGTTGGTTGATTGAATGTGGGGCGCTTGGATCTGCCTGAGTAGCCATGCCCCTCCAGCTTACCCCTTTGGAAGGTTGCACTCCTCGTCAAGCAACTGTCAGATTCCATGTTTTAGGACAGAGAAAGCCCACTGAAAGGGAATTTCAAGATGGCTTTTTGCTCCCGCTTGAGGCTGCAGGGGCTCAAGCTTCAGGAATATCATTCCAAAAAGCATTCCACAAGCGGGGTGGTCCTGCTTGCCGACGGCAAACTCCAATTCAGCCAGAAGAGAATCCTTTTGGCTTGTGTGTGCGCGTGGGCCTGGTTTCCCCCCGCAACCAGGTTGCAATGTCCTGGGCATGGCACTGGTGAGTATGGCCTGGGCCAGTTGCTTCCGTTGCTTAACTTTTGGGGCAATGTCAGCCCCAGGTCAATCATCACTTGGTGTCCCTACATCCCTCCAGCCAAAAACATAGAAGGATTGCCTTGGATAGCCACACCCCTGCTATCAACTGCGAGATATTGTCCAACTTGATTCGATATATTGTTTCAACCTGCGTTTCTTCAACTAAGGGCCACCTGAGTTTCTTCAATCAAGGATTGCCTTGCACACCGTGGCGGTTGAGGCTGCTGAGCATCCTTCCACAGCCAGAGGTGTCAGCAGCGATGTCTACCGACAGGTGGGATAGAACCGCGGGACCGCCGGAGAACGATGATTTTTTGACATGGGTTTCTCCAACTGCTGCAGTCAGAATAGCCTTGTGAATGAGTCAGACGTTCGATCCTATGAGCTTCCTATCTTTGAGTAGGGTGCCATGCCATGATTGGACTTCTCGGCGCTAAGCGTCCTTTGCTTGGCCTGGAATTTGTGCTGAGCACTCGAAGGATGGAGGTCAGCTTTGGGAAGGGATGACCAGAGGTTGATTACAGTTTGCTCGGGGATTGTGGCCTGCCGCTCCCTCGGAGCCCTTGACCATTTCCGAGCCTGAGACCAGTGATGTGTGGGCCATAGCAATTTCTAGAGCGGAATGAAGGGCTCTCCAGCTGCACAGCATCCGTCATTCAAGCTGCAAAGCGACTGTGTTGTACAAATCCAGAGGTGCCTCATCTAGAGAATGGCTTTTAACTGAAAGCTGCATCCACCTCTGAGACGTAGCCCTGCACTTGGAGCTCAGTTCCGCTGCTTTCCTGGAGGGCCAGCCTCCACCCCTACCTAAAGCCCAAGCAGTCAGGCTGATCCCCTCAGTCTTCCGGCGCCAATCCAGCCTCTCGCCGGCAAGGTCCCCGAAGGGTTTACAAGGGGCTTCGCCTTTGGGAAGGGCAAGGTGGCCCTCGATGAAGGTGTACCCCACGTTCTTAGGATTCTATCTTCTTGCCGTTTGCCGCCTTGGCCTTTCCATTGACACACTACTTCTGTTTATCGCTCGAGTTGTCAGCAAACATGCCCGTGGGAACCCACGTGTGCGCTTGATTGTGGAGATTTGCGCTCGGTTTGCAAGTTTCTCGCGTTTCATTGGT